ATATATAATATATATATATATATATATGTGAGAATGCACACTTATATGTACAATGGATTTTTCATATGGATAGAATATTATATATTTGGCCAAGTGCATGCAGGAGCACAATGCACCATATGTGTATGACGATGCCCACTTATCGGTGGCTACGTTCCCACAACTCTGCAGCAGCATCCATCTACGCTTGTCTGTAGCGCATGCATTGCAAATACCTGTAGCTGGAGCACTGGCTAAACGAAAATTGGCATGCTCTCTCCTTATCTGTGCTGCAATGTTTTTTCTTACTCAGCAGCTATCTATTGGGTTTTGCTTTTTACTTTGCTAATGTTTGCTTATATTTCCCAAGAACCCAGAAGAACGCACCGGCTGTATCGCGTGTCCATACACCCGAAAATTCATAGTGTTGTGGTGGTGGCAGCCGCTCCACGTACAGCTGCATACAGCCGAAAACTGAGCATTCCCCCAAGCTTTTTGTCTTGCTGCCTCGCTGTGCTTACCTGTCTTTGCTTGACACCGGAAACTGCATTTCGAGATTGTGCAGTAGTAGTTCTATCTGCAGTTATCCATTGTCGATTTAGGGTTTAGGGTTTAGGATGTGATGTTTAGGATATGGTGTTTAGGGTCTAGGGTTACTGGGTGGGAGCTGAATGTGCGGAAGACGAAGTTGTTGGGCCGAAGGCTGCTGCTGTCGGTTGGTGCATTTTGAAAGCAAACCACAAGGAGGAATTTGGTATTCTTGGCTGTTGTGGTGTTTGTCTTTGGTTTTGTGAGGAATCCGAGTCTCAAACAGCTGTCCCTCCAGGGGCCCCTGGGCTCGGGGGCCCCCACCAACACGCCGTGCATACACTTGGCCTCGGAACAACAACCTCCTTTCCACGGCTCCTCGCAAGCGGGCCGATAACCTTCAGAGACGGCCTGGGAAATTCCCAGCAGCTTTGCATCCGCTTGTGACCAAATGCGGCGGCAGTCCTGCGCAAAATCCCAAATCTAAACCCTATAGTGTAAGTATCACGCCGTCCACCACAAACCCATCGTGCCAATCACAAATTCTGAAGGTTACCAATACCCGCGTTCTAAAGACAGCCATGCTGATTGGCGAGACGTCCAGGCTGCAGTCTTGAGTGATAGCAAGGAGAACGTCCACTTGTTGCTGTTGCTGCTTCCGTTCAATGTCCTGCAGGTGTCCCTCCTTCTTCTTATGATGATGCTGTAAGTCATCAGCATCGTCGGCATTATCAGCTGCATCAGCAGCTGCAGCAGGAGAAGAACAAGAGAAGGAAGGAGTTGAAGAAGAACTAGAAGAAGTGGGGGAAGGGGGTACAGACACCAAGAACATCGGCGCGTTCACCCATGCCGTGTCGAACCCTTCGGCTTGGCGTTCGTATCGTACAAAGGCTGAGGAACGGCTAACTGCGGAGTATGTGCAGCTGCGGATAGTGCTCTTCCTCAACTGCTGTACGGATTGTATTGTTGCGGCTGCTGTTGCTGCTCCCCCAGCCCCCGCAGCAGCGGCAGTAACCGGAGCAGCTCGTCCTGCTGTTGTGCAGTCTGTGTTCTTGGTTCCTGTTTGGAAGGCAGCTGATTGAGTTGTCTCCACTTGCTGCAGTGCCCACGTGTTGCAGGGCCCCCCCGAAAATGGCCCCGTTGGTGCGTTGAAGGAGTTTGCGCTGCTGCCTGTGGCATTGGTGCTCCTCGTGCTGCTGCGGGGTGTCTGTTGGGGGGATGCTGCAGCAATGACTGAAGGGCTGCGGCTCCACTCTCGAGGCAACCCACAAAGAGACAGCCCCCTCCAACTGTCTCCCTGCACTGTCACATACACCTCAGCGCCACCAGCGTAACGCCATACTTCACTTTGCCCTGTCCGGGGAAAGGTGGCATCGCTGCAACGCCAGCACGCACTACAGCTAGTATCCCAGGTAGGCCCTACTGCCAAACCCCAAAACTAGAGCTTTGACCTAGCCGCTAAAGCCTATGGCATGCATTTTGAAATCTTAACTCTCAAATATGTACCCATTACTCTTTTTCACTGGCCTGAATGCTCAAAAACTAGGCTGGGCCATTAACGCACCGCTTGGGTTCTTGCGCCGTCCAGTTCGACGCTGGGTTTTCAGTATCTGCATACGCCTGTCTGGTAAGAGCAGCAGTTTCTGCTGGGGATGTTCGGGGCGATTGACGCGCACGGGGCTGCAGGAGGAGGGGAGCCCGCTGCTGCGGAGGTAAGCTGTGGCAGAAGTAGATGTCAGTAAACACCTCGAGAAATGTCTCAAACTTCATCCAAAAGGCTGCCGGAGTGTCTCCAAACTTGTAGTTGAGTTTGTCTTTCAGATCTGCCGCATCGCCCCAAATAATTCGCGGGGTTATATATCCATGCCGACGACTGCACCTTAGGTAGTAGCAGCGATGCGGCTGCAGCAATGCGCTACTGCGGCAGCAGCAGGGCTGCTGGTGGAGTGCTGCTCAGTTCTCAGGTATCGTTTCCAACATCAGCCCACCTGGGTACTGTGTCCAGGAACGATGATAGTCCGAAAATTCCCCTCTCCATGTCGGAACTTTCCACGGGTTGTGAAGGCGCAGCATCCTCAACTCCTCCACCTGCGACAGTCGAACCCCCCAAAGACATGCAATAGCAGATGAAAGGGATTGACCATGGCCTCTTGCTGTTGATGTACACGCCAGGATTGCCATCCCTCTACCGCCTGTGTACGCACTCTGACAACGTCGACAATTGTATAGTGTCTGTCCGGCAAAATGTTGTCTTTCTCGAGGTCTGCCCCCCGAGCAACGCAAGTTAGAAAACAGCCCCCAAGGTTGAAAGCCCTGAGCAGAACACCAACAGGGGAAGGGCCTTCAAGCTCAGTCCTCACAATCAGCAACGAAGACCTCAAATGCAGCTCTGCTAAAGACCGTAGTCCCTAACCCAGAACGTCTCGATCAACACGTGGAGGCGTTAGCACTCCAAAAGCAACAGCGCTTAAATCGTCCTAGCACAACACCTTTATATCAACGCCAGACTACTCTGCCCCTATGGCGCTTCCACAGGGGATGCATAGGGGTTGCGTTACTTTCGTAGTTTGGCCCAAAGGACCGCATCATCGAAACCCTGAATCTCCCTCTCTTCAACTGTACGAACACCCAGCAAGCGCTCCAAGCTGCCTAATATCCAATGCGCTAAATGTGAATCGTAACGTCCTCAGTCCTACACCCTTCAAATCCCCAGAAACGCACCGACGCCTCCAGTCAGGTCGACAGCAATGTCTCTGAAAGCCCTGAGTCCTCACAACGTGTTGATGAAAACTTAGTGCACATATGAGACCTTCGGAGAATATATATATGAGTAACACACCCTGAAACAATGCTCACGAAAGTTGTTGCTCTCTTCTGGGGCAGTTTCGTGGAACCCGACTTGTGAGTCATTTTCTATTGAGGTGTGCATTATCAGCGATTGCAGAACTTGGGTCCTATATTTAGTGCTGGAATGAAGCGGAAACAGTAAGATTCTTCATCCGTACCCTGAGGATTTCCACTATACATTATGTGCGACGTATTGCTGTGTAGATGTGTATTCTTCCATAAAGGCGTGCCCTGCGTATCTTCTTGTAAGCAGCTTCTGGTGGGCCTCACCTCTGTGCCACTGCCTCGTACGACCCGAGGAACTTTGCATACGCCTTTTCCAGAAGTGGAAGCCACACCTCTTCGAAAGCGTGGCAGTGTGAGAACCTGACAGAATGAAAGCAAGTCAGAAAATAGGGAGGATATGCAGCAACCTCAAGGAGCGCCGACAGCTTGCCATGGGAGTGGATGGCTGCAAAGGAGAGAGCTTTCAAATATTAACAGGCAAGCGCAAGTTGGCGGTGTGTTCCTTTGCTTCCTGTAGGCGTTTGGAGCAATGGCATGTGGCCAGAATAGAAAAAGGGAGAAAACGAAATTTCAACAACTTTGCGATGCTTGACAGAGCAGCAACTGTTCCGCTGCCATCTTGCAAGTTCGCCAGGTGGTGGGGTCAAACAGAAATAGTCCAAAAGAATCTGTGGTGAATTCAACACTGCCACGAAGGTGCGTAGCCTACGCGAAGTCTATGGCAGGTTCAGAGCAACCTGCTTGTGTTTCTGCAGGTTCTCGTTGGTTGCGGATGTTCTTTTGCTTTGCTGCATTTGAATGCACAGTAGGGGACTCTTGACCAGCTGCTGCATCCTGTTTAACGTCCGCACCTGCAGCCGCAGTATTACCAATAGAGCCCTCGTTGGCCGGTTGAGTTGCCCCTGCCCAGATGGTTCCTTTTCTGGTACTGCTTCGAATCTTGCGGTTTTCCGAGCCGCCAGATCTACTGGCACAGCGAGACCTCCGATTATGTTCTTTCGGCTGCTGCGCGAGGCGGCAAGGAAGACGGGTGTCAACGGAAACCACTTCGCGCTCCCCCGATCGAAAGAAAGCAGCGCAAAATATCCCACGCGCACTGCAGCGAGATATCGAAGCAGGAACAAGTGTGTATATACATTTGAACGCCTCTAGCGCCTCAACGTTGGAGCCTTGGAGCACGTCGACATGCGGACCTCTTTACACGAACTATGCCACTGTGCAACTCCGTTGTTGGCGCTCGTCTTTGAGCACGTTGAAGTGAGAGGCGACACCAGCAAACATGCGGCTAAGGCCTAGGGCTTCATTTACCGCCATTCTTGGGGATGTACAAGAGCTTCTCTGATGACGCGAGGGTTCGACGCCGCTAGGCCACTGGCAGCACCAGCGAATGCATGCGAAGGCAGAATGCCCTGTGCCACCGTTGACGCAATTCTGTTGTTGCTGAACAGAATAGCGGTCTTCTCTGCCTGCTCCTGTTGCATCGACTGTTCCTGTGGTTGTTGCTGCTGCTGAGGGCGCGAGGCCCGCTGGGCCTTGGACTGTTGCTTATGAATGCGCTGGACGATTTCGTCAGGCCGCACCCACAGCAGTCCCTTCACAAACTCTGAAGGTTTTTCCCCATTCTCCTAGATAGAGTACAAGTGGACAAGTGCACACACGGGTGTGGCTGATGCACACTAGACTCCGCTATTGCATTATAAGCAATGCTGACACCTCACGGTGGGGAGTTTTTACTTCAAATGCCCGCAGTGTAAACACACGGAAGGCTGCAAGGAATCATCCGACAGAACACGAGGAAACGTAGAATCTTCGTAAAGATCATCTTCTCCCCATGTCCCAGGATCCTGCAGGAGGGCCTTGCAGGCACACGCCGAAGTTGGAGAATCTTGTTCCTGCTCTAGCTGTAGCTGCTGGTCTTGTTGTTGCTTTTGCTGCTGCGGCTCGTGGTTCAGCATCGGCGTTCGGGGGATTGACGTATCCAATACTTTTTGGTTGGCCGGTACAGGCTTGGAGTCCTCCGAAAGCGTAATTTGTGACTCAATGGGAATTCGCCTCCAGAGTTGCTTGGCTATGTGATGCTCCCTGAAAAGTGAAACCTGTCCGACCCTCTATGCACTCCACCGTTTCTGAATACCAGCCGACAATATTCGCATAGTTTTGTGACTTCTGGTGCAGTGAAACATAAACAGGCCAGCGACACAGGCTTGAGTAAAGCAGTTGAAGCTAGACTGGCTTAGACAGTTGATATGGTGGCACTCATAAACAGCGTTCCCAGCAAGCATGGCTCACAGTGAAATATCTTTTGTAACTCGCACATGGGATCCCAACCATCTGGTCAGTTGGGTGTAGTCTATCAAAGTTGCCGGAAGTAATTTATTATGGGAGACGTTGAAGTTGATAGTAGAACGTTTGGCAAAGGAAATATCGCTCTCTGTAGTAACCACCTGGATATTTCTTCAAGGGTAATGAAGGCTTTTTATTATCGGTTCTATTGGGTGCTATTAAAATGCATGCACCTAATGCTAAGCCCCATGATTCAGCACCTGCATCTATGGGGAGCCCCGTGGTTCAGCTTGACAGACAGAGAAGGTTGCCTTCGACAGGAAATATTCGACGTTATAGTTCTGAAATCATCCCACCTTGACACACACACTTGTTTGCGTGCCTTCGTACTAACAGCAGTTATACTATCGCAACTACTAGGTACAAGCACAGCACGATGTCTGATGGTAATCCAGCTGAAGCCCCCTAGGATGCGACGACACGCGTTACAAACAACGCACAGTTTCAGGCCACTCCTTCCACTCAGCATCCGTGTTGTAGCATTATGAGCGATCCAAAAGTGCCGTTAATACGCAACGGCTGTGAAATACTTGCGCTGATATCGTGCTGACTCTTAGCTGTGACCCCCTTGCTAGCGGCAAACCTCGAAGCTCTACCTATTAAAATGGTTATTCCTGGTCTATGATCTACGGCTGTTCGGGGATATGTTGCATTTACAAGGTAACTTCATGCCAGTACAAGTCAATCACCACTCGCTGCTCTCGGGCCTTGCTTGAAAACGGTCTTGCAACGCCGACTAGCTGCAGCACGTATGTTCACACACACTTCTCGGCCTATCTTTGAAGTACGTACAGTGCATCCTGTTGGAGACTGTCAGGAGAGGGACATCTTAGCTTGAATGTATCTAATAAGCATGGAGAGCCGTTCAGATTCACGTTGGTGACGAAACAGCCTTATTAGTTCCTTTCACACACACCAGAAGCCACAAAACAACTCAAGTGCAAGATGACCTCTACGCCAAATAATCAAGCAAGCATTTCCCACATCTTACGGAGATTCTCCACAATATATACGCTTTTCTGGGCAGGCGTCACCGACTACTGCTTGTCTCAAACAAGCAGTCTCTTTGAGTTCAAGCAAAATATGCGTCCCGGATTCCCCCCACAGGAGAGATAATTTGCTTAAGTGACTGCAACAAGCACTGGTGGGGTGGCGTTCCCCTCTACTAGTGGAAATATTTAACTCCAGGAACTGACTGTGTAAGTGTAGTGCACGAGGTCTAAAAAGGATCCCCCGTACGGCCTCTGGAGGCCAGGAATAAACAAGAGCATCAAATTTGATAATATTAACGAGGAAGTAGACCACTTTAGGCTGAAAGTAAGTCCATATGGCCCCGACTCCCGTGCAGCCTATCCGATGTTTGGGGCTGATAGCGGCGCCGGCGGAGTGGGCTTGGCATTATTGGCACGCTAAAGGGGTCATGGCGTTCAGATCTACTTGAATCTCCTTTTCCCGCTATATATTGACAGGAGTTTGTGGTTTTCACTTATAAATATGTTCGGTTATTTTATGAGGCATTAGTTCACAACTATTTAGATGCACACCTCATCTAGATCCTTGTAACTGCGTAGTCTCAACAGAGTACGTGCTGTTGACAGCAAGCGTCGAACGTCATTGGAAGATTTGAGAAAACACACCCCACACTCGAAACAGACAAAGGCCTGAGCCAGGCATAATCAAGTAATAAGTGGAACTTTTGTAAGTAGCTGTTTTAGCCGTTTGTGTGAAGCGCTATACGCTGACAAGCAGGCCTCAAACCCACGCACCGCCCTGAAAATTCTGTCAAATGCGGACACTTTGCTGCACACTTTGCGGCACTCAATATAGTTTGGTACATAGGAGTGCGTATATCCCCACAAGTGTGAAATACAATCATGAAAGGTAGCGGACACACAAAAGGATCACGAGTGCCTGCTGGTGCAGGAGGTCACTAGGTGACCGCCGCCAGTTCCTCTTCGTCCGAGGGAAATCTGCTGTATTAATGTTAATATATCAATCCAGCATCAATACGTACCCATGAAATTAAAGCTAAGCTCCCCAGAAAAGCTCAAATCCGCAAACAAACTGGATTGCAAACCATTGTATAACGCCGTGCAACATCTCGGTTGCAACTCAGGAGCCATACGGTAGCAATACAGCCTAACCATAACCTGGAGGAGCAGAAATCGCATGTTATTTGTGTGGCCAGAACAAGAAACCCTAAAGCGAAAACGCCGATGCATGCCGAGAACCCATGTATGTGAGTCTCCTTGCACAATGGGAAAACGCTTGCGCCTGCGCACGAAACCACCGGATCCTAAAACTCTAATCCAAAACAGGGTATGCCGTGACTTACTCTACACCTGAATCAAGCTCCTCTCCTCTGGACAGTCTACAAAGCGAGCGTCAGTACAGTGACTGACGAGCTCCGAAAGCTTTTCCACAACAACTTCCATTTCGGCTGTGCGAATTTTCTGTGTGCAATGTTCGTTAGCGTTGCGAAAGCCCCTTCACTGATCAAGTAATCCCTCCTTGCAGGACATGTAAACACTGAAACTTCAACGATGGGTCAGCGTGAGCTAGCCTTTGCCCCCTCCTGGTGGTGGATGGCTGAGACCTCTTGCCCAGAAATCTAAATTCGATAGATCAAACGGTGTCATGGCACCCATTGGTCGGCGCGTTCCCTCAGGTGGCCAAGGCCCCGGAGGGGCACCCAAAGGTACCCCATGGAAGGGTCTTCCACCACTTCCCAAGAATGGTACATTAGAATTTTCCATCTTCACTCCTGGGCGGTCCTCAGAACAAGCAGCATGCTGGAAAGGGTTCGGTGGAGAGGCTGAAGACGAATGGGACTTGCTTGTCACCGCTGCAGTCTCAGACGAGGAAAGAGAGCTCGAAGAAACCAAGGCAAAAAATTGTCTAGATAATAAACGTTGCGCGGGTTCTGTCAGTGCTGAACGCGCGGTTGATGGCGGTATGTCTATTATTGTCGTGCGGTGAGGGGGCAGGGAATTGGTTGAAGAGTCTGCTGCAGTCCCAGAAGATTCACTTTGAGCTCTTTCGTCTTCTACTCCTAAACTCTCTTCGCCTAACACTCTTTTCGTAACTAGCTCGTTTACTAACCACTTTATCTCCTTTATCTGGCCTTCAGCCCCTGGTAGAGGGCCACATGCAAGAGCCTTCTTTATGCCTACTTCGCCGAAAATTGGCCGCAGTTTAGTTTCCTCTTGAAGCTCGTTAAGGCAATATAATGCTGCCGGAATCCTCAGCAATTGCATCCGACGTATGCGGAGTGTCCCAGATACTGTGAAAAGCACTAGCATGCTAGTCTGCTCCAAAGGAGGCCCGTCTGGGGTCGGACCCCACCTCTCCAGCTCTAGCATCGCCCGGTAAATTAAAGCCCATGTTTCATGCTGCACCGTTAGGAATTCTTCTAACAACTGCACAGCATCCTCAGCAGTCATCTTTGGCAGCTTCGCCTGTCTGCTTTGACTTGCTGAAAAAAACCTGCACACTCGGATTAGGCGATACACCGACTTCGAAAACGGACCCCTGCGTGGGGTACCACGGACAATGTATAACGACATATTAAGGAGATGGGATGCGGTTTGCCTCCTCTTTTCCTCCAAGTTATCAGGCAGGAATCCAGAAATGACAGTGTGTTCCATTGCTGCATATTCAGTAAGGAGGCACAGCGTCTTTAGCCTAAGAAGAGAAATCATTTTAGGAACTGATCGCCAGGCGGACAAAAACACAGAATGCTGCTTTTTTAATAGACTCCGAATACTCGACTCCAGTTGTGGGCCTATCTGGAGTGCTGCGTCGGCAGCATTATTCGGAGAAGGCTGGATACGCCTACCGCAAGCTTCGAGGTAGTCGTCCCCCTCACCCAGCACCCTTCGCGAGGTCTTTCCAGAAGTATTAACCTGGTTAAAGGCACACCTCATAATTAAAAGAACAACTGCTGTCATGGCCAATGTGAGGACGAGATGAATAGAGAGCTTACTGGGAGGCGCCCTCTGCCTGCGATAAAACGAAGCAGCCGCCACCCCTCTCCTCATCCACACCCAGCTTGAATCTCCATGGAAATCACTATCAACAGAATCACCATACGTGGGGCTTCTCACCAATGTTAACCCGACTTCACCCTGCTGTGCACCTGCAGGAAGAACGTGCACGGGACCACCTCCAGCAGCGCAACTCACTCGTGCACACAACAGCATCCACAGTCCAACCACCCACCGTACACAAATGCCCCTCCCCAGCAGAGTGCATCTACAGACTCCTCCCAAAGAGAGTGGAGGGAGCTCCATGGTAAGGAAGGGCATACCTAGGACAGCCATGTGGATTAGTGTAGGCACTGGGATGGACTCCGGTCTAGCCAGTGTCTGTGCAAAGACCTTACGAAAAAGGCTACCTTTGACAAATATCTCTGAAGCCTTCTATGTCACGGATGAATGACACAGTTCACTGAGTGTGCACATACGCTACGAGCAGCTGACGAGGAACAACCCCCGTTGAGTCGATGCTCGACTACCGAGAAGCAGGAGGCGAAGGCACTGACTCTGGAAGCACATGCCACTAATATTATTCAGTAATTTTCTATTTTTTTCATCTCTCTGTTTTCAGCTGAGGATACACATGGGGTTCCAATTATATCTGGTGTCCTCGCTGCATGCCGCGCAGACAAGACCTGGCGGGCATGCCAGCTTGTCCGGGCTAATGTAAGTGAGCAGGGGCGACATTCAGGACATCTTGCAATGATTTTAGTCATTTCTAAGGAAGGGAAAATGGTCTAAGTCTGGTTTCTGTAGCAAGCATGAGCGTCGTCTGGCGGAGCCGTTGACGCGACTGTCAGAGATACACTTAGGTGTCGTAGATTTGAGCAATCAAAATATTGGAAAAAGAAAGGCTAAATTGTAGGTCAATTGTGAATCCCATTTTTTTCCTTTTGAGCATAGGATCATTGAAGAAAATGCGGGCTCGAACTGCCGAGCCTTGCAACTATACTCCCTTGTCGCGTCGCTCAATATATGGGCAAAACGCAACAATGAGAATGCGCGAGACATGGTTGCCCGTCCCATGACTTCCTTTTTAAGGAAATTCATGAACGCCGTTTTCACATGGAGTCGCTTTCAATTGGCACAGCGGTTTTGGTGTGTGTGCGTGTGTGCACGTGTGCAAGTAAGGAACGGCCTGTCTGGTCACGTGTATGGTCTCTGTGGATGCGCTACGTTTATTTTTTCGAGGGTACACGTTGGATTCTAAAGACCATGTACATGCTTAGCTATTGACTACATTGCTAATGCATGCATCGAGAACGGGCATGGCCACTACTTCGTGCAGACAGTATCGCAGGAGTAGCAGCGGGGGGAGCTTCAAGTCACCAGCAGTAGCAGGCCGTTTCCTTTCCGCGTAAGACCAACCCTTTTCGCCGCTGGGAGCAAGTCCCCTGGGCATTGGAAGGACTTCACATGCTTTCGTACTCCTTATCCTAACACTTGGTAGTATCGCCTGGCTTCTCGGATCAGCGAAGGGCAGCAAAGTTTAATACCACAGCAGGGATTCATTCTGCACAGGGATCGGTGGCGTACTTTCTCATTAAAGAGAGAGAAAAAGGCAGTTCTATTTCGCTGGCTGAGGTAAACGAAGAAGGGTCAAGTCCGACCCACATGTGGGGCCTGTATATCTTGGGATTGGGAATTGCTTCTCCTAGAGAACGATATAGAAAGAGAGCGAGCAGCGATAGGCGCATGCTGGTCTCAGAAGGCCTGGTGGACGTACCAACCTGATATTTTGCTTTTTCTGCAACAAGGAAGCATTCTTCAAGAAATGGTTTGGCTGCCAAAACACTTTCCTCAGGGCGGGATAGCGAAATTGAACTTCTTGCAACTCCCAAATGTCCCCATCCGTTGGTTTCATCCCCACGAAAACGGGAAATCCTAGTCAACTTCCTCTATTCAAGAGAAGTGGGAGGCTGAGATTCGACAAAGCCTTTTGGTGAAATATCCCGTGTGCATACAGTTTTGTAGGGTGCCATTCGATGCTGTTCGCCTATGGCTGCAAACAGAGTCCTCTCTTTCTGCTAAGGATCCCCGTGTGCTGCAATGGAAACGAAATACTTGAGGGTTCTTGAAAAACAGCTGAACATGTCTCCAGGCTTGCTGGCCCCAGCGACCCAATAGCCTACAGCTGCATAAGAGGAGGCAGCCTGGCACAAAGTCCAACGAACATAGTTGCTAGTCACGCTGCAAGACAGCCTCACATGCAAGCAGAACCTTGCCTCCTCTACCGAATGCACTATAACTGTAGCCAAGGGTGAAGCATTCTACTAGTGTGCAGGCCCTCTATATAGCCAGTAACGGTGGGTGCGCCAACATAACACAGGCCCCTGCTGACCCCAGACGTAACGTGCGTTTTCAATCATACCCTCTGCGAGCTAGAATGGAACCACAGTATTACAGATGAGAAATCCTTAAAAAGCGCCGGACCTCCCCCTCCAGTGTTTAGGAGCCTAGAGCGAACCGTGACCAGCATGTGGATCTGGGAGAAAGGAGACGGCCTAGCAAGAGTTGCAATGCAGCGTGCTGCAACCAAATTGCAACACAGCCCTACACAAGCCCAAAAAACCCTTTTCCACTTAAGGCAATGGGTGAAGACTTCTGCTTGCAGACCGCTTGCCTACTAGGGCAGTGTGACGGTTTATGCGCCAACTTGAGGCAGAGATTAAATAATCGGACAGCGACTACAATCGAAGTTTGGTTCCGTCGACTGACGGCGCTCATCACACAACCTAGCAATTTTCGCAGGACTGTGAAGTAAAACAGTGATTTAGTTCTAAAACTGCTTCATAAACATGAGACCAGGAATGGAATATAGTGCAGACAGCCGGACCAGAGGCGAAGACGGTATGTGCAGTGGAGCAGCTAGGACACGCAACAGGAAGAAGCGTGCGGAGGCGGCCTCGTTGGCCCCTTCCACTTAAATGTAGTATTAAGTTGAATTTTAAAAATACTGCAGTTGAAGGAAGCATCGGCGCATCGTATCCGGTGCCCCATTGCTTCTGTGGTCGATGCCAGCTGTGTTGGTAGGGCCCCGAGAGGGAAACAAGGCTGAACGAGTGCCATGGTGGTTGCGTTTATCGGTTCGTGTTGATAAAAGCAGGCACGAACTGAAGGTTTTGGCTGAATATATCCACTTCCCAAGCCGTTATGGTGCGCTTTCACGTTTTGTCGAATAGACATAGAGTCAGGCGAGTAGCCTTCCAGTGTCTCGCGGGCGCTGCAGTTGCCGCTGCTGTTGGAGGTAAGCAGACTGAACCTAGATATATATCTATATATATATGTATATATCTTTTTTTTGTTGTGGGGGGGAGGGGGGGTGACAACTGGATACTGCTGTTGGGTCCTGTGCCTACCTACTGGTTCGCCAGCCGCCAGCAGATGCTTCGGCAAAATACCGTGCGTATAAGAAGTGCCTCGTTTGTTGATACCGCTTGCAGGGCCGGGAGCTTTTTGTTGTGGATGGTGTGCCCAGGTGGAGGGTTGCTGCTACTGAGACAACACAAGCGGACCCGCCCCCCATCAGTGAAGGGACAAGGAAATGTCCCCGAAGTGTATGGAACGCCTTACCAACCCATCACCGCAGCAGCGCTTGCGAAGGACGTTGAATTATGTAGACAGCGGCAGCTACAGAGGCTTATCGGCCTAGGAGTATCCGTTCCAGTGGCACAGGCAGCAGCAGATGCCGCAGCGGCCGTAGTAGCCTGCGAAATCCTCGACACCTCTTGGGCGGAGAAAGTTGCAGCTGCATGCCCAAATCTAGGGCCTTCCTCTGCACTGTTTGCTGCAGCGAAGTCAGGTGCTCCACTTGAGCTGCATATGCACCTAAAGGACATCTTCTGCGCCTCTCTGAGAGCGGCACTATTGAGTGGTGTTGCAGCTCTCCAGCATCAGCAGGTGAAACAGCCCCAAGGGCAGCTGCTGCAGCCAGAGACAGATATTCACTGGTTGCTTCTGGAGACGGAAACTGTTTTTAAGGATGTCTTTTACGACCCTACCATTCGTGCTGCAGCTTCGGCCTGCGACTTCGCGCAGCCGGCGCACGAGCTGTTGCTGACACTACAGAAAATCCGCGCTCCTCAACCAGCGGGTAGCAGCGTTCCAACAGGATCGCTACTACCGCTTTTGCTGACGGGAAATGGTAGAGAAGCGTTGGAGGCATTTATTGCTGCAGTTGATAAGCAGGTTCTTGGAAGTCTCTGCAGTAGCTGGGAACGCAGCGGCGTGTTGCACAAGGAGGCACACCAGCAGCAGCGAGAACATGAAGGGCCCCCACGACGTGTGCGACAGCTGTCCGCGCGCAATACAGGCAAAGACGCTGGCACTCCCATGGCCCTTTCATCTTATGCAGATGCAGCAGAGCGGTAACCCCCGAATAACATAACACCACGGCTGCTGCTGCTGCCGTTATTGCAACCCCAACTGCAGCAGAAGTGACAGGAGAACTGCGATGCTGCACTGCCGCAGCTCGCAAACGAACCCTGTGGCTGGAATCCCGTAGTAGCTATGACATGCAGTTGTCTTATTTTGTGGTACTGCAGCTGCAGGGCAGACTTACACTCGAAGGCCCCGCTGAGTGCCCCATTGTTTCTGAGGGCTTCAGATATCAAGGCTGCCAGTGAAAGCATTTCCAAGCATGGCTTCTGCGTAATAAAGAACGCCCTCACCCCCGAGCAGCTGCAGGAGGTACAGCAAGCCACCTTTGCCTCAAGCGAAACAGTAAGTACATTGCGGGGACTCACACGGTGAAGAGTGGCACTTGTTAAATATTGGGCCTGAAGTGTTAGCGACTGCACTGAAGGAGGCAGACGAGCCCAATGTAGCGAGTGTCTGGACAGGCATCAGAAGGAGGGTTGAAGATGAAAGGAGTGGACCCCAACATTTACTGTACAAGGCCTACCTATGGTGGGTGACGCGGCTCTAGTCTTGTTATTGCTGCTCTCAGCTGCTTGGTTTGCTGTTGTCATTCCTGCTGCCGGAAGAACGAGCGTTGTCGTCCCCAACTGAGCGTGCGCTATTTTGTGCCTATTAGGGCGCTTACACTGTCTCCTCCGCGGGTCTTTGATAGAACAGTCTCTAATCAACGCGCAGCGGTTATTTATGCCACTAGTGCATTCATACCTTTCGTCTGGAGCTCCGCCGGAGGCAGGCGGTCATCAAGGAAAGACACTGTGGGGAACCCCGGATTCGTAGCGTGGCCACGGCTTACAAGTTGCTTCAGTTCTTTGGAAGCTGTCTTGGGAGCAGCCTATGGGTGCGGCAGTCTCGTTTGTTTCCCTCAAGTGTGTACAGAAACACCGGTTGTGTTGCCCTGTGTTTGTGCTGTATTTGCTGTAGGGTATTTGTGTCCGAGATGCAGACAGTAAATGCAGGTGCGGCGGTCTAGAGTCTTTGTTTCATACCGTTACTGCACCGTCAGCGCGTGCAAGTTGGCGGGGCGACCATAGCTGTGGTGTCTATCATTTGGTGCCTGCTCAGATGCACTGGCGCTTGCACAGCCGTGGCATCGCGACAATTCACACAGGGGACTGACTGTGGTGTTGCCCTTGGTGCATATTGACCCCAGAAATGGACCTACAGAACTGCTTCCTGGGTCGCACGTCCTCAGTGGCGAGGTAACCACGAAACGCTGCGTAGCCGTGTTTTCTTTTGGTGTATGGAAAGTGGTAAGATTCTGGCAGTTGGACAGCCTCTTTCAACGATTCTATATGCCATACTTCTGCAGGGCTTGTCTTTCCTTGCAGGAAGGAGAGAATTGGCTTAAGTGGCTGTGTTTAATTCCAGTGTTTTTAAAGACAGTTGTTGCAGGAGGATCCACAGTAAAGGCCGAAATACAACCAGGAGATGCACTCGTGTATGACTCCAGGCTTCTACATCGGGGCCAAGGTGAGCAAGTATCCTGCAAATTGACTGCTGAATGCTGATGGATGCCTGCCTAGTTATTTGCTAAGGAAGGCCGACGATAGGAAGCATAAACCATGGTCTTCGTCGTTTATGTGGACTGTCGTCCGTCTTAAAACAGCAAACGAAACTTGGCACCCTCGCCCAACCCTGATCCTCCGTTACGACTACAAGGAAACACCGCCTCCTGGACAGTACACGAGTAGGGACGTCGTTTGGCTCATTTCCCTCCATATGCTTTAGCTTTCAGGACCAGTTGCGTGCCCGCATGCGTTGTGTTTGGGTTTTTCGTAAAGTGCCAGTGAGCATGAGTTACCTCGAATTTGTCTGTATGCATGCTATTTCTTGCAGATATCCTTCGCTCCCTTGGGGCTTCGGCGTTTGGTCGAGTAGTGGGTGGATTTCTGAATATGTACGAAAAGCTGTAGTCATTCACTGTCGAGTGGGCAGTGTGGAAATTTGGGAATTCGGTTTCACCACGGCGTGTCATTTGTGCAGCGTGCATATCCGTTTTTGTAGAACAGCTATCCCATTAGGTGAGGAGCGCAGATGAGGAGGCTTTGCTCCGATGCTACGGTTGGATTACAAGCTTCTCGCTTGTTGCTCACCCTTAGAGACATCCACAGTCTTTTGCCCGCTGGTACTGCACGCTCAAGACTGTCCATGTCCATCCCATTTGTTCGGTCATGTACTGTCGAGCACTTCCTGTAGGCGAACAAAAGGCATTATTGGGCTGGCGCCGTCAGCACAAACTGTTGTTCCTTTAGACAAGCCTTCTTGAGGCTTGCATGCCATAGGATTGGTAGCATGCAAAACAGCAGCTTTTACCGTGCACTTCAAAGACGAAATACGTAAATGTTGGTCAGAGTAGCAGCCGCGAGGCGGTTATTTGATGGAGAACTTAGGCCTGCAGGCGTCAAATCGATAGCATATTCCACCCGAGAGGGAACAATACCAGAGTTGCTGTTTAATAGTATCAGGACACCAAACGCTTATATACTAACTTTCACTGTGCAAACAGAGGCTGTTGGCCGGCCACGTTATAAACAGACATTGATGACAGCCAACCCCGCATCTGGAAGATATGTCCCCAAAATTGCATCTCAAAGATAGTCTAGCAGAACGGAGGCGTTGTGACTTTGGAAGCTTCAACGCTTTTTGCAAGGGTGGCACGGGCCACCCAGGCTGCAACAAACGGCCTCCCTCAGGCATCTACGTCCGTTTCAGCATCTGCCCTTGTTCTGAGCCAGACTGACTGTGCTGCTTGTTGTGTACAGCTCTTCTATTTGATATGTCTTGCACGTTGTTTTGACGCTGCATGTTCCCTTCACTATGCTGCAACGTCCTCTAACGGCATTCCCAAATTGAAAAATCGTGTGCATCTGCCACTAAAGGAAAACCAGCACAACATTTGGCATGAGGGCTGTACAGCATCTTTACCCCGTTAGACGTGCTGGGCTATGCTGCAGAGGCTTGTGCTCAGCTTACGTGTTGGCGGTGTTCGACCGCTTCAACTGTGGAAGTATTACAAAGCAGGAAGGACAGTTCCGTCGTCGGGAGGCGTACGACATGCAATTCGGTGAGAATCTACTATCATCACAGGGCTGCCTACGTCTGCATTCTCAGTGGGGAGAGCTTTACACACTGCCAGAATTGTGTTCAAGTCTACTCGTGAACGTGAAACCGATCGTCGCCAACCCCGAGTCGTCAGTGGCCCTACACTGTATGCGAGCAGTTCTGTATCTCTATGCAGGCTGACTCTGCAGTATCTTAGTAGTACAACTGACAGGTGTGACCTACGGTGTACGCCATAAACTTTTATACAAATGTGCAACGGTCGTACGTAGGGTTCTTAAACAGGATCATCTGTCGAACAGAGAGAAATGCATTGTTCTTCATTGGATTCAACTACCAACAAAACTCAAAGGGTGGAACACTTGAGTCACACAAAAGACTAAACGCCCTCATGGAAACTGCTCTAAATGCATCTTTCGTCCATTTAGGCTGCGCAGAAAAACTGCCATCCACGGTAGATTGCTCTCCACAGCTGGATTACGAGGATAGATAACCACCCTGGGAAAGCAACTGAGTTGTATCAACTGTTCGGTACAGCCCAGATTCCCTGTATACCACGCATAAAGCAACACACTCCTTGCTAACTGGTGGGGCCCCACAGTTCAAAAGTAGACCCTGAAGCAGTAAAGCAGGATAGTCAATTGACTAGTCCGTGTGTGTAGGCCTAAATAATACGCACCGAAGGCAGCAAATCAACCAGATATTGCCAACGTGTCCACCCTGGGGATTTAGTCCCAGCAGCGGAGTATGCACGTGGTCGGAGGCAACAAGCTTAGCTCTTAATCGGAGTCAGTTCAGCATTATCAAATATGGAATGACTGCCACTACACAATTCTGTTTTGAATACGTGGTTATGAAACACGGACAAACACAAAGACAATTCATGCCAAACGAAGGCCAGGGCCGTGGAGCCCCCATGTCTGAATGCCACCCTCCCTGGTTGCGGAAAAAGAACTGCAAAGCCCTCCACCAGATCCGGTTTGATATGAACTGCAACCCCCACTCGGTCTCAACCTTTCAGCTCCGAAACGCCTTGTTCCACCCGACCGCGTTGGATATGCCCTCTTGCGGCTTAAAGCTCTGCAGTCCTCGGACAGTGCGCTCTGTTCTTCACTTGTATCATCATACCTCCTAGTTTCACCTGTTAAACGGAATCACGTATCCGTCGTCGTCCAAACACAGAAAAGCCAGACTGAAGATTGCTGTCGTAGTCCTTGCAGCAAGAAGCACCAGTGCGGCCGGCTTGAGCCTTTGCTGTTCTGCGGCCTTGTTGCCCATAACAAGGCCTCCGCCTAAGGAGCGGCCCACTACCTCTGGGGGTTGGCGCATGATATCTTAAGGAAGCTCACGGGGCCCTGCGGCTGTTTGAGCTATTGAGAACCACCAGAAGCAGGGACCCAGCTGGCTGCAAGAGGCGCTCGTACATAGGGGCCATCAGCGATTCCAAAGGGCCCAAACGTGCCAGACCAACCTGGAGAGCTATGGTGAGGTTTGGTTTGCGCTAATGGTGGGGCTGGCATATGGCCATTGCCAATACCCCTGTCAAAATGCGCTGCAGTTCCGCTGCCTGCTGGGATATGTTGTAGTGGGAGTTGAATCTGCTGGCCGCTTGTGGACGCTGCGGTCTGTGCAATTGATCCAAGAGGCTGACTGAAGCCAGGCGAAGCTGATATTAACGGATGAGTGACTCCAGATCCGCCGCTAACTCCCAGTTGATTCAAATAATGTGGCAGTGCGTTACCACCTCCAGGCCGCACGGGCTCACCCGCAGGCACTCCAAAAAACAAACCAAACGGCCCGGAAGAAGTGCCTTCCTGCGTACTCAGAGCAAGTGATGGCAGGCCAGAACCTCCCTGCTGCAAGGGTTCACCGGCAAATACTCCAAAAAATGAACCAAGCGGCCCAGTAGAAGTGCGTGGCATGGGTAACATCAGAGGCCCTCCGTTTGGCGGGTACGTGAACTGAGGTCGCTGCCCCTCCGGTCTTTCTTCGTTGTGGCTCCAAGCTCGTTCAGCTGAAGCAGAAGTAACTCCGCTCGGATATCCAAAAGGCGCTTTTGGAGGCCCCCCAATGCTGGTACTGAACATTCCCCCTACCCAAACAGCTGGAAAAGTCCCCGTAGGAGCCTGATATATCCCAGGAGCGGTCACTCCACAGTATCCGGCTAAGTGCATAGGGCGGTTCTCTGCTAGCGACCTAGCCCTACTTCCAGATAGTCTCATGGAGGCGAATGCACGGGCACAGTTCGCAAGAAGAAACACTATCGCTAGACTGGCGGCAATGCAGCCGACCTTAAGGAGGAATGGGTGGCGGAATGAATCGGATCTTCCACGCCTTCGAAACCTCACACTGGTGGCCGTGACACTGCTTGGATGATTATCCAACGAACCCGGTTCGGCTCTATTAGATGATATGGTAATAGAAGGAAGGAATCCCTCTCCTCCTTGCATCTTGACAGCGTCTTCTCGTAATTACAGCTCCGCAGTTCGAAGAACACCGTCAGTTTGTCTCAACGGCCTAACATGTCGTTCAATTACATGCTTCATGGGAATTACAGACACTGAACTAAAGGTGATATATATAGATATATAGACCATGTGATCTGGACCTACCAGCTTGCGAATCTACGTGTTCCTTTGGGGTCATCTCCCCACGGGCACGACTGCTTCCACGCATCTTGCCCGGGTGCCAGGTAGCGGCGGTGGACTCCTTGCGGTACAATACCACAGATGCTGATAAATGAAGTGTTTAAATTTATATGGCGATAAAACAAACAGGTTTAAGGTTTCTTGGGCTCTCCGTCCCCATCGGTGTCTACAGGGTTGCTCCACAAGGCAGTCAGATTAATGGTCCAAGAAGACAGGCTTTCTCAAATTGACACGTAGCTGTAGCTGTAGCAAATGTTAAGGGATAATCACCAACGAAATGTTTAAAAGTTGTCTTCAGTGTCAACTGTCAGCTAGCTCTCTTGCAGGCTTCCCGGTTCTGGTGAATAAAATGTGCGGGAGGCGGGCGGGTGTTGTTTGACTTCACACGCCCCAAAAAACTACGATGAACCACGTTTCCAATGAACCTGGTTGACAAATTACTAAACAGCTAGCAGTCTAGTTATTATTTACCTTCCGGTGCACCTACGCACTCCACTGCACCAAATGCAGAAGCCTGAATTCCACTTTATCACTCTCATATAAGGATAGGTTTTTCCATCGAGGGGAATCCTGTACCTTCCAAACACCGGTGATAGGTTAAGCAACCTTCCGTTGGACCGACAAAGACGGGTAAACTGCTCTGCACCTGCCGACGTTCTTGCGTTAAGCAGGAATACGGAGTACTTGCAGTACCGGGGGTGTGCGCTGGGACTTCGATGAAAGGAGGCGTCCGTAGAAACACGAGAACCGGTCTTACACACAAGAAATTACCTGTTTAGAGTCTAGAAGTCTGAGCCAGATCTAGCAAAAGATACAACAGTGCACACTTGTTCCTTGCTTTCCAGCATCCCTTTTTAACATCGAAACACTGTTGTCGGCCAGAAGCTAGACCTCGATGTGGGAAGTGCACATCCATAGCCCCCGTGCCACACACTGAAGCTCCATGGGACCGCCCTAGAAGAAACACAAGAATGGAGGGCAGTAAACTATAGTCTACGATGTTCGGCAGTTGTGTTGAGCCTTGATGGCGTGGTTCTCGAGGATTCGCCCCCTCTGAAAACGCACAAGGGGTGGAGCAGCAGAAGCTATCTTTGTGTTGGGTAGGTCGCTTTGCTGCTTGTTCGCGGGTCGGAATTCTGGATTGCACTGCATATTTGTGGCCAGCATGGGCTTGCTATCAATACATCAATATAGGTTTCATTTCTTTACTGTTCAGTACATGGTAAATCCAACCCAAGGGACAGCAATATTATTGCCACAAGACACAGCAGGACTAAACTGAGGGTCGGGACAAGCCCTTCACAACTCGAAGGTGCCATAGAAAACGCGAATATTACTCTGATTGGCTGCTAGGAGGACAATTCAACTGTTTTTTTCGTTGACAATTGGGGGGATCATTTAATTAGGAGCATCTGCTTCCCCCCCTCCACACACCAGATCAGCGACCAAAAGGGCATCACACAACCATCGGAGAAGCGCAAAGGGCATTGCACAAACAGTGGAAAGGACACTTAGCCGGCTTGGAGCGAAGTGCTCCTGCACAGCAGAGGCAAGTAGTCGTGTCCCGGCTTGTACCCATGCCTCTTTCCTGTTTTATGTTTGGGGTTCTGCACTCTATCGAGCTCTTCTTCGCCCCTGTTGGCGCACTTATCGTTTGTCTGAATGCGAGGCACAACAGTCAGGCACAGCAGCTCCATGGGATTGGGCCGCTGGGACCCGGACGTCTGGATACTGGGAAAGGGGAAGGCTCAGCAGTTTCTACAAGCAGTGCGTCTTCTACTATTAGTATTTTGACTTCATTGCTGCACCAGGTGGTCACCGTTGCAACTAATGGTACAAGGCAGTCCTACGTGCAAGCGCAAAAACAAGTCGTCCTGTTTGGCGTAGTCCTAGGAAGGCACGGACGACCCATTATAGCCTTGTTTTGCAGCAACAGTCCCTTGTGCCACTGCACAAACAACTCATAAGTACTGGAGCGGCGGTCATGCGTTCCGGATAGAACACCTGGGCGACCATCGACAGCCCTAGCAACACAGCCTCAAGGGCACGGCAACGTACAATACACAGCAAATCAAGAGTTTTCCAAGTCTGCAACACTCTTAACAAAGCAAATGCCACTTTGAAAGCAACTGCATTAGGCTGGGTGGTGCAGCATTGAAGCAGTTGTCGAACTGGATGAGTCTAAGGACAAACCACGTTCGCCCGTAGTGAACGGGTCGGCCGGGATTCTGCAAAATTCCTAAATAATGGGACAGACTCGTTTCTTTCAGGGTTGGGAAGTTAAACCCGTAAATACATCCAAAGTTTCAGTGCTTTCGTGCACTTTGAGAAGGCAACACCCCGAACTCTAGCCCTGTAAAGTTGGCCTACGGGGCATGCGAAGCGGTGGGCTGCAGTGGACGCTTTCGGACTTCAGCCCAATGATCAGGCGGCCAGATAATTCACTGCGTCCCATCAGCGTTCAGATGGCCGATCTTTTGGTTACTCGGGGGCCCCCTGAACTCGGGCACTGACCCACTTGGGTCAATCTTGCTTTCGACAGAACGGGGACCCACCAACAGAATGGGCCAGGGGAGAGGGGATCCCCCCCCCTCCGCCAAAATCTTCTTTTTTGATTTAATTGGAGGCCCTTCAGTGCACTGCAGTTGATCTTTTGACTTCTCACAAGGTATGAAGGGACAGGACCCCTCTTCTGTGTCCGCGAGTCTCCTGGGGGCCCCAGGCTCCTCACGTTCAGGAGGAGCCAAAGGGGTGTTGACATCCCATGGGGCCTTTCTTGGCATGGCAGTGACTGCAGCAGTCATAGAAGTCGGTCTGGACCCTCCAATAAAGGGGCTTGACCCTTTGGTGTCTGAGGTTTGCGGGAGACCGCTTGCTCGAGTGCCAATTGTTCGCATTTATGGGCCTTGGGGACCCGGAGGCCCCCACTGCTGTCTGCACTTGCATGGATTGTTCCCGTATTTCTATGTCCCTGCCCCTCCAGAGGCCTACGGAGATGGGGCCTCCGCCTTTTTGCGTTGTTTCTCCCGCCGTTTGGTGCTGGAGGCGGACCGCCTTATGGCCGCTAAGGCTCGTGGATCTCAAAAGGGTTCTCGGCCAGCGGGAACCCGAGCTAGCAGAGATGGGTTTAATGACATTTCTCTGCAGCGGGAGGCGAGGGCCGTGAGAGGAGATGAACGGCCCAAAGGGGGCCCTCTGGTGCAGAAAATAGAGGTTGTGAGGCGTTTGCCCTTCTACGGATACCACAGAGACTTCCACTTCTTCTTAAAGATATCCTTAACGGTACCCGACATGGTGGGCCCCATGGCTGCTCTTTTGTTGAAGGGTGCTGTAACAGGCTCTCCCCTGCAACCCTTTGAGGTACACCTCAGTTTTCAGGTGAGCAGTTTCTCTGCTTGTCTTGCCATCCTTTTTTGCAGCTTTTATGTTCTATATCTTGCCTACTGTTCATTTTGTTGTTTTTGTTGTTCTCAACTGCGCTGCTCGATGCGCTGCCTACTGGCGCGTTTGTCGCCGCTATCATGTTATTTTTTGTTGTGTGAGTCACGCGAGGGGATACAGAAGCCCTCAGGGCCACCCTTGTGTGCCCTGCTCCCAGCCATGTGTTCAGACCAGACGGTGTGCATTTTTGTGGCAAAAAGACCTTTTCTGGTGTTTGACGGCCTCGCGTCTTCTGCCTATGCGTTCGCTTCACCTTGTAGTGTTGGGTGCGTGCGGCTTTGTTGGCACATTGTGGGCTCTGCAGACCCAAGTGTTTGCGGACCTCCACTTGAAAGGGATGGCTCCCGTGTTTGTTGACAAGCCCTTTTTCAGGCTTCCTGTCGTTCTTCACCCTCTGGCTGCAGCAGGAGTTCAGGAAGGTGTCCAAGGAAGCCGTCTCTCCACAGTAAGTACTGGGGAAGATTGCCACCACCGAGGATCTGAATGACTTAATGTATTTCCACGAGCAAACGGATAGGTTCCGGAGGGGGCCTTGGGGACCTCCCCTCTCAGCACAGGAGTTGAAAGTGCCTCTGGGGCCTACTGAGGAGAAGAAATAAAAGGAAACCCGAGTGCGTTACTGGCATGCCGCAGGACGGGACACCAGGATTCTTGAAGGACGAGAACCGGATGGCCTTGAGCCCAGAGTTTGAAATGCTTGGTGTAGGGGCTCCCAGGGCCTTCGCTGCGCTTGGGTGGGGAAGGCTCTTGCAGCAGATGTGCCGACTGCAGAAATCGTGTTTGGCTCCAGAAATAAGTGCGGTGCCTGGTGCTGCAACAGCGAAAGAAAGAGATGAATCTACTAAAAGGACCAGTAACAGCAGCAGTACTGTGGTACGGCTATGTGACCTTATAATGAAGGCCACTCCACCAAGGGGCCCGCAGGGTCTTCGGGTGCTGAGTGTCCCCCGCCGCAGCAAGTGCGTATTAGAGGTAGACGCAAGGGTGGAACAGGTCCTGAACCCGATAGCAGCCGCGGAGGTGGCAGAAATGGAAACAGCTGCAGTACCAATAGCGCAAAACCATCTGGGGCAGCACACACACCAAAGGACTTCACCCGTGCAGAACGAGCAGAGGCAGCAAGCTTGCTCACTGAACCCACCCACCTGCAGCAGCAACATGCATAGCAGCGGTCTGGGCAGCAACAACAATGGCGAAGCTTTTGCTGCCCGGCTTGTGGGCAGTGTCGCGGAATATTGGAGAGAAGAGGCGGCTAGAGCAGCTGCCCTTGGTTTTCCACCTCCTTCAGCTTCGGGCTTGGGGTCCCAGGGGGGCCTCCGAGACTCCTGCGTGGACGGTACTCCTGAATTGTGGAGGAATGCCCTTCACAACACTCTGAAGCGCATTGATGCGTGGAGGCAGCAACAGAAGCAGGAGCTAGGGCAGAAGTCAGTGCATCAGCGGCTCCCCATGAAGCAGACCACCAGCAGTACTATACTGTCGCAACCGAAGCAGCAGCAACAGCAACAACAACAGCAGGTTGGCGTAGAGGTTATTCCCTCTTCTTTATCTTCGAATTGGGAGGCTTCGCAACCGTCCGTTGCCTCTGATCCCGAGGCAGAAGGGGAGTCCTACACCCCGGGGTCTGCAGATGCAGCCCAGTGTACTTTCTTGGATGCGCCCCTTCAGCCACTAGAGCCCAAGGAGCATGATGCCTTCATGATGCCACAGCGTCGCCAGGGGCGCTCTCTGGGGCTCTGCAGCAGCCAGGCACATGAAGGGGCCCCATGCCTTCTCAGCCAGGGGCGGCCGCCGTCGCAGAAGGCCTCTGTCGGGCTACAGCCAGACGTGAAAGTCCCACTTCCTTCACCGGACGACTTACATGATCTTGCAGTAAGTAGCAGCAACAGCAACGGCAGCACCACCAGCAGCTGCAGCGGCACGGTATTAGTTGTGTCTATCTTCTGTTTGTTGTCAGGATCTCGGGGACGAGGCATTTGCGGCGTTGTTGACTTCCCAGAGGGCGGAGGGTCCTTTCTCAGAAACAGGGCAGCCGGAACGCTTAAGGGGACCCCAAAGAATTATCCCTGTCACTGGAGAGTTGGAGGCTCTGTCTGAAGGCAGCAATGCGGACTGCAGCAGCCTTAGCGATAGCAGCTCGCCAAGACGGCCCTCCCGTCCCCGAAAATCCCAGCAGATTCAACGAAGAGCTTCAGAACAAGGTCCCAGAATATCGGTACAGTGTAACAGCGGAAGGCTTGAACAGGCAACAGCCAACAGCAGCCACACCAAGCGAGGCAACAACGGCTGCAGTTGCTGCTGCAGCTCTGCCCACACTAGCGAACGAAAGCGCTGCTCATCGGATATGGAAGACCTATTGCTAGCATGCGAGGCAAGATCGGCAGCTCAAGATACTTGGTGTTCGCAATACTCCCAATGGAGGAGGTCATCGACCAGCAACTACGTGCGCGCTCATGCTTTTGAGGCAACCCCAAGAGATGTGCCAAACGCCGGTGAAATCGAGGCTTCCTGCCCTCGAGGTGCCTTCGGTGGATTTCAACGGGCTCACATGACAGCGGCGACAGCACCAGCAACACTAGAAACAACCACAGGAGCTTTTCGCAGGGTGTCGGCAGCAGAAGCGACAATAGCGGCCGTTTCAGCACCGAATAAATCCGACGAAGCATGCAGCAGCTCGTCATACACCCCAACTGTGAAGCTTGACCCCCGCTCCTCTTGCGACGACCTGTCTCCGACTCAGCCGATCAATGCATCTAAGTTGAGGTCCCTCTGGGCTTCCGGGCTCTGTAGTGATTCCCCAAAAGCAACAGCAGCAGCAGCAACAGCAACAGCATCACTTCCAGGAGCGGAAGACGCTTCCGCGGATACCGACCCAATGGGCAACATACGCAGCAGAACCAGAGCGGTGCCTCCAGGGTCGTTTGGAAGAAACAGAGAGTTGAGGCCTTCAGCTCCATCTGAATCCGGTGTATCCGTCATATCTGTACCACCTACGCCAGCTGCCATGGGAACACATACAGATGAGCCAGGCGCTGCTACCGTTGGTGCTGCAACATCTGGTACACCACAGCTGGAGGAGGAGATCACTCCATTCTACAGCAATCCACGCGATGTCCCAGCTGCAGTTAATCCTTTTGCGGCCACACCAGGGGGCCGCATGCTCCAGCAGCAGCGAGGGTTGACTCCGCCGCCGTGCGCATGTAATAAGGCAACAGCAGAAACGGTAGCAGGAGGTAGCCCGAAAACTTCCGAACGAGTGGAATTTCAGTCAGAGCTGTTGCGATTCCTCCACAGGCAGCAGCAGCTGCGGCAGCTAGCTGGGAAGCCGCATCCGCAGCAGCACCTGCGGGGCCAGCAGGAGGGTGGCAGCAAACGCTGCTTCGTATATTTTCGCCCCCCACCAGACGACGCTCAAGTGTTCGGGAGCTGCCCTATAAAGGTCAGACGAGCGTGGCAGCAAAGGATCACGCAGTGCGAACTTCAGCAACAACAGCTAGAGCCAAAGCAAACGTGCCAGCAGCACCTACCAAAGGACCACGGGCGGGGGCCCCACTTGGAGCATTCATATAGTCTGCCTCCATCCGACAAGGAGAGACCACCGCAACGGCAGCAGGAAATGCAAGACCAAAAGCTACATCAGGCGCAACATCTGGGGGCGACAACGTGCGGGGAAATGTTGCATCAGCTGTTGAAGGAGGGGGTAGGCCAGAAGCCACAAGAGACCGAAGCAAGTGAAGCAAAGACCCCTTTCCCACGAGCAGCTTTTGACATTAGCAACAGCAATAGCAGCAGCAGTCGAAGTAGAAGAAAAGTGCGCATGGCAACCCGTCTCGACAACAGCGGCAGGATTGTCAGCTACGTGGATCCGCGACCGATCCAACAGCAGCAGGAAGTGGCGTTTGCTGCTGCCACATCTCAAAGCAGCAGCAGCGGAAGTTCTAGCCAGGAAGAGCAGAGTTCTCAAGTAAGCATTGCTTCAGATGTACTGAAAGCTAAAAGGTGCCTATGCAACCACAGCGACGAGGGAACGAAGGTCACAGGTCACCAAGGGGCCCTTTCAGGGGCCCAGACAGCAACCTATGGTTCGCTGCTTGCGCTGGAGATCATCACAGAATGTCCAACTACGGCGGCGACGGAAGCAGCAGCAGCAGCAGCTACACCAAACCCGTGGACCTGCGCTGTATTGGCTATTTGCTTTGTTCTTAGAGATGAAAGGCTGCAACGCTGCGCGTCGCGACTGCAGCAGCAGCAACAGCACCAACAGGAACTGTTGTACTCTGATGTTAGTGGCGTAATCATATGCGACCCCGTGGCAGCTTCCAGGAGTTGTTGTTGGCGTCCTCCATTCGCTCTTGGGGTCCGGCAGAAGGTCTCTGGGAGCAGCGATTTCGCGAGTATCGACAGCTGTTTTGACAGGGACTGGTGGCGATGCGTGGTTAGTACCGAAAAGGAGTTATTGCTGCAGTTTTGCAGTGTCGTCGCAGCAGCAGACCCTTCCCTGTTGCTGCAGTGGGAAGAAGGGGGTCGAGGCTTCAAGTTTTTATGCAGACGTGCGGTTGCTCTGGGTATCGGACACCTGTTCAATCTGAGGTGCAGCCGTAGGTAAGGCAGGTCTGGCCATGCAGAAGACACAATAAGCGGGAACAACCAGACGAAATAGAACTTAGAGTGCTTGCAGAGTGGTAGAGAAAGAAACAGGTAGACTGAAAGGCACCAAGAAGAACGCACATGGGTGGCACCGGGTAGAAAGCAGAAGCAAGCACGCCCAACTGCCAGAGTGTTACCCCCAACACAGCCGAGCCTGAATTGCAGGCACAATCCACGAAGGTCACACCGGCCTAGAAGTATAGTATTGTCTTGTGTATGGTAGAAGGAAGAGCTAGGCAAGGCAAGCAACGGCAAGATTCCTCAGCAGAACCTAGCATCGGATGTAGGCGACTCACTCCGTGCGGCTTTTGTGCGTAGGGCAGATGACATCTCTTCTATCCCAGTCAGCTCGGCGGCTCCCAGATCGGTAGTTTCTGGGCCTGTAAGGGCTTCATGGGTTCTGGGAACGGCTGGACGCCCCGGGGCCGCTGGGGCAACGAAGCCAGTTGGCGGGAGGCCTGAGGTCCGGCGGAGGAGACGGTGGGTGCGAGGGAGCACTGCAGTGTCTGGCCGCCTTGTGCTTGAGGGCTGGCGTCTGCTGCAGAAGGAAATGAAGCTTCAGCACTCCGACCTAAACGGCGTTGCAGCGGATGTCTTGGGGATTATTACCCCATCAATTCCCTTGGCCATCACTGCAGCCATATGGCAACAGGCGCAGCAGACGCGAAGAAGAAAACTGCTGCAACAGCATCAGCGGCAATCACAACAGGAGGAAGATTTGGGGGCTCTGCAGTCAGTGGCTAATCTTGTGTCACACGTCATGAATAGGTGAGTCACACCCATGGTTCGCACCAGCTGCTCCTCGGTTGTAGCAGCGTGCGCCAGAAAGCATGGTGTCTGTGGACAATATGCTTGCCCATCTAGGCTGTTCCCTGCCCCATCAGAGTCCGGCTATGTCTCCGTCTCGTGGACACCAGCGAAGTGCTGCCCCGTACATGCGAACTCGCGAGGCTTTACGGGTGCTCTCTGCACTCTGCGCTGACACGCGGCAGTCAATTCAAGGTAGAAAATATTCTTCTCAGAGCTACGAAAAGGTTGAACTGCGTCCTCGTCTCTCCGTCCAAACAACAGGCATGCCGCAGCTACTTCATAGGTGCAGGAAGGAAGGTTGTAATGGCATACATCCTATTTATCGCGTTTAGAAGGAAATTTCGGGTTGGGCTATGAGGGGGCTGTCATTTATGGGACTTTGAAATGGTGGTTTAAAGCAGGGTTGAGGCTTTGTTGAAGAGCTTGCCACATAGAAGTCGCTTCGATAACAGGGTTAAAACAAGGGTTCAGAATTTCGCTCCAAAAGCGGCACGTCTATATAGGAGGGTTCGCACGGGGGCAAGTGTAAAGAGTTGTTCTGTGCTGCAGGTCACGGAACAGCCAGCCACTGTGGGAGTGCCTTTGGTTCTTGAGCCTCTCTCTGGGTTTTACTTCTCACCTGTTTTGGTGCTGGACTTTCTGTCGCTTTACCCCTCCATCGTAATTGCCAACAACATTTGTTATTCAACCTGTCTAGGGTCTGTCGAGGTCAGCACCTGGCAATTAATGGACGTTGATAGTACTCCAAGATTTTGCAGAATTACGTGAAGCGAATCAGTCAGGCTCCATTCTGTAGAATGTGTAGGTCTTTCTCCGGCTCACATGAGGTTTGAGTTTAGGATAGGTTTTTAAGGTTCATTTCTTATGTTTCGCGTTCAGGTGGACCCTTTAGAGTCCGAGATGAAGACGTTGGGTGTCTTGACGGTCCACGCACCTCCTGAGATCTTTGCACATGTTATGCAAGCGCATGCAGACGCCACTGCTGCAGGACGTGAGTCAGACGCTGTGGATATGGAACATTTAGACACCAGGGCAGCTTTCAGATTCCCTTGTTTGTGGTGTTCCCGTGGAAAAGAGAATGGTTGCTGCTGCCTATGCGATGGCACTGCTGGCCCATGCTCGAGGAATCCGCAGACATCGACAGGGCTGTTTGTTGGGTTTCCCTTGCTTATTCCACTCGGGATCAGCACAAAAATAATCCTCCTCCTTATCTGTTGCCTTTTCCCTGTCTTCTTTCGCTTCTCCGACCGCTTGTTCCGTGCACATATGTACACACTGCAGCAAGGAAGTTATTCCCCCTTTTATCGTACATTTTACCCGGGTTTTGTGATTAGAATTGCCAACGTCGTGTTAGGGTGAGTGCGCAGCGTCCTCCTGGCCCAGTCCGGGGGTTCCTGGAGACGATCCTATGAGGGTACTGCCAGGAGGCTGCATCTTCGTTTCGCGCCGCGTTCGTCAGGTCAGACAACGTCGCTGTATATTGTTTGCGCGGCATACTGCAGTGAATTCAAAATACCTAGTTTAGGGCAGGGGGCTGATCGCTAAAGAATTACGGTAGCCTACAAACACGAGACAGGCGTTCTGGAGGATGCCTCCATAACGCCCTGTGAGGGACCTTCCCAGGACAATCTGGAGTGTACATACACTCTGGTGGTTGCTGACCACAGGCTGCATGGTAGGTTGTGTATTTTTGGGCATGTGGAGCAGGGTATATTGCCGACACTCCTAAACGACATCTTGCAGACGCGTATCATGGTGAAACAGGCACTAAAGCGATACCAAGGTGACGGTTCAGCTTCAAGCTTGGTGTAGATGCAGTAACACATTGGTGCCTGCATTTAGATAAAACACCCCTCTCTCTTGGTTATGTGCCTAGGTAGTAATCGTTCTGCATATGTTGCCCTTACCTCTTTGAAAAAGTCGTGACAGCGTTGGACTGCGCCTCCTAGCAAACTCATATATGGACTGTGAACGCTGGGGACAAGCGCACAACTTCACTAGCCCTTTTGTCCTTGGTTGTCCCTTAGTTCGTCACTGCATTAACAAATATACACATTTTTCTGGAAAATATATCAGTGCCTCATTTGTTTTGAAAACGGTTGATTTCTCAGTGTACCAGGCAACTTGAGGAAATAAATGTGTTGGAGGCTTGACCGCTGGTATGCCTGTTCAGGTGGTGGGATCGCGGACCAGACACTCTTGAGGAAATTGGAATATCGCCAGTTTGGTCTGAAAATGATTGCTAACGTCACATACGGGTATTCCAACAGGGACACACCTGCACGCACATATGCACTTGCAACTGGATAGGCAAACATATCCACTTACATGCAAGGTTACCATGAGTGCACATATATGCATGCGTTTTTATGTGTTCATGCTTTGACACTATAGCTGACGTTGCTCAGTGGATGCACTGGCGGAATTTGATTGTGCATGCCTTGGGCCTCGTAGTAAATTTAGAGGCTTCCTGATTGGGGAAAGGGTTAAGTTTTCGGATGATAAGCTCTGGCCACGGGATTGCATGAACTGTGTTGACCGCTGCAGATACACAAATGCAAACGTGAGCGGTCGAATGCCCTGCGCAGATGTGGCGGATGCGATCGTTGAAACAGCACGGGCAACTTTGATCCGAGCCATGCAACTTATCGAACAAACCCAAAAGTAGGAAACAAGAAGCCGAAGATAATAGTGTTCATGCATAGGGGGAACGCCGTGCAGAAAATGTATATTAACAAGCATTAGATCTTGCACTTCAGAATGTTCGTTTGTCAAATTTCGTAATCGTACAGCGAAGAGCAATTTAGTTTCACTTAGTAATATATTACTCATCTGCAGCTGAGAAATATCTCAGATCATGCACTACGTTGCTTGTACGGTTTCGAAAATTGGGTCCATTCACTTATGCGAGGGCGGATGTGTGAAATAGCTGCAGTTACAGTACAGCAGGTGTTGTATATCTATGTATCTGCCCTGGCATGAGACCAGCGGATGGATCTAATGGACGGTTTTCCTATCTAATCGATCCTGCAGAGCAGCCGCACCCAGTGGGAATGTTGGCAATCGGACAAGCGGACTGTGGGCCCTAGAGGGCGTATAGAGGCCTCAGCAGAAGAGATTTGTGCGTCTTGCTGGAATTGTGCACCACTTTGCAGATGGGGCGCTCGCGTGTTGTACGGGGACACTGACTCGATTTTCGTGCTATTAAAGGGTCGGTCGCTGGAAGCTGCATTTACCATTGGCCAGGAGATCGCAGAAGCCGTGACGAGGAGCAACCCCGCCCCTATTACTCTGCAACTCGAAAAGGTAACAACAGCTCATATTTGTCATACAGGCTTCAGCTGCTGTACTCAATAGCAGCAACTGGAGCGCCATCATATGCACTTGGTGCACACGGAGTGTAGAATATGCTGGTAGTCATGCATAGCCGCTCTTGATTAGTGTCTGTGTGTATGTGTATGTGTGCGTGGTGGCTTAGTTCCTTATGGTGTTATGTAGCCTTTTACCTTAGTTCTGCGATCAGCAAAACAAAGCAAGCCTGAGGATGTTCACTGTTAACGTGCATGTGGTGGCAGTATGCAGTTGGTAGCATGTGCAGTTATCCACAGCCTTGCATTTAGATGGCACAGAGTTGGCGTGCACGCGGGGCTCAGGTGTACCTGCCTTGTTGTCTGATCACGAAGAAAAGATATGTTGGCAACGCTTACTTCTCTCCCACTGGGCCGCCGACGTTTGACGCGAAGGTACGTTTCTGATTCAAAGTCGTGTCTGTGCTCCCTATTGTACCTGATACACAATCTTCCCTTTTACCTAACTATGCATACCTGTTGTTTCTCGTGTACGTCCGCAAATGACAGGGCATAGAGACCATCCGCAGAGACCAGTGCCCCCTGACATCGGCCCTCTTAGAGAAAAGTTTGCGTATCTTCTTCCAAACGAGGGACCTTTCCAAGGTCAAGGAGCTGGTGTGTCCTGCTGCTGCCACCTCAAGGGGTTTCTTGCGTTTAGAGCTGAAGCCATCCCTTACTCTAGTTCAATCTGCAAGTTTGATGTTGATATAGTAATCGCTTATAATGACTGTGCGCGCGAGACGAAGGACCCCAGATCTACCTGTCAATGCATTTGTGAAGATGTTGCGGTCCGTGTGTCCTGCCACAGTCGTTGTGCGCTGCCACATGCACATTTACTTCTTCTTTCAGCTGGGGACATTCTCATATATTTCATTGTGTTGTATCTTTTCAGCTATACAGAGAGTGGAGCAAAATGTTACGAGGCCAGATACCGATCCGACATTACATTTTTCATAGGAGGGCCAAACTTGGTAAGGTAGAGACCCAAAATATTTGAATGTGCGCATGTCAGTGCATAGCACCGTTAGCATATTTGGGAATGTATCAGCAACCACTTTTTTATATCTACTCCGTGCACCAAACGTTGTAATTCAGACGTCCACAATTGCAGTTTTGGCATGGATATTACAACAAACGCCGCAGCTGCGTGACAGAGTATTGCATACAGATGAACACAGAAGCCCGCTTTAACGCGTTTGCTGCAAACCTGAGCGTGGACGTTTCACGATGCACGCCTGCAGGCCCCATGCAGAGTATTTGCGTGCCCTGAATACTTAGACTGGTACATGTGCCGCGGAACATGCCTCAGGCACATATCGTGCGGAGGCGGGGGAGGCCCCTGCTGGGACCCTTCCTCCACAAGCCAAAGTGTTGTATGAGCGGCTGCATCACCAAGGGCAGGAAGGAGGAGCAGCTGCAGCTGCTGATTGTTACGGCATGCGCGTTCCCTTCGTTTTTTCCCAAGTAGCGGGGGACACTGACGTGCCGCTAGGGGCAGCAAGCACTGGGCCCAAGGGTGGCACAGCAAGGCTTATCGATTGTGCCACGTCCCCTGAAAATGTCTGGGGGGGGCGGCGGGATCCCACGGAGATGCAAGCGCTGCTGAATGGGCGGGTGCATGCCTCCGTACGGCACTTTGCTCTGTTACAGCGTTCAGAAGAGGGCTTGCTGCAGCAAGAGCAGCAACAGCAACTCCAAGAACAGCATCCTGTGGTGCAGCTTCATTACCGCTACTATATCACCAAGCAAATTATTCCAGCAATTGACAGGCTCTTTTCCCTGTTGCCTCCTCCAGGGTGTGCAGATCTGCTGCAATGGTTCAGAGATATGCCCAAGCCTGCGCAGCCGCTCGCGGCAGCGATGGCTTGTCGTTCACCGCTGAATCGTCAGCAGCAGCAGAAGCTGCTGCTGAGACAACAGCAGCAGTCGTTGCTGCACCAGCTTGGCATAAGGTCACTGACGGCGAGCGGCTCGGCAAGGGAACGGCTGGTGCTGCAGAGCTTTTTCGCAGGTGCTTCGTGTCTGTTCTGTGGGAGCAGGTGTAGAGAGTTGGGACCCCTTCATTTGTCCTCCTCTCCTCAGAAAGTTCTCAGGCTCACACAAGCAAACAAACGAAAGAAAGCAATACGCGCCAGCGCAGAAGAAGCGGAGGAGGCAGCTGTCCGCAGGAATCTGGTGCAGCAGCTGCTGCATAGCGAGTTCAGCAGTCCAAGCAGCAGCAGCTGCAGCTGCAGCAATGCAGAAAAGCGACCTATCTCGGAAGGGCTACTTCAGAGGAGGAAGCGAAAGGGAGCGAGTACAGATATGAAGAAGAGAGTTGTCTTAGTGCCGCCTCCTGTCTGCAAGGAGTGTAGCAGCAATCCGGCGCTCGTTTGCCTCCGTCTCAGCCAGCGGCTCAACAAAATCGAACGCAGGCTGGCGGCAGCAGCAGACCTATGCAGGCACTGTGCAAGTGAGCTGCGCACTACAGATGGGAGAGGCCCGCCCCTGCACATCCTACCCTTCGGCAGCTAATATATGTATACCTGCATATTTGTTAAGTCCATAACACGTCTAGATACCTGCATTATTCTCAGCATGTACACACAGGTATCTGTGTGCATACTCGTATAAACATGCATGTACCTAGGTTTTCGCATGACGAGTAGGAAAGGATGGCCTACAAATGGCAGTTCTGGTGTTAGCTCTGTGTATCAAAAGATAAATTTTTTGGGAAGTACGGCGGAACAGCTTTGTGGCAGTGGATCCCCACTCGTGTCTAGGCACCAAGGGTGCTTGCTCCCCAGTGGAAGAAATCACTCTTCTGAGTCTTATACGTGGGCAGCTTTAGTGTATACGGCGAAGCCTATTTCATGGTTTCATGCCTTGTGGAGTGTAAAATAATAGAAAATAGTCAGCATGTCGTGATGAGTAATTTGGGCCACATGTTTTTGTGGTTTACTGCCCGCAGGCTCCCGCATATGCGCAGAAAGCTGTTTACAGGCCTGGCACTGCGACGTGTACTACAGAAGGAACTCAGAGGCTGAGAGGCTGAAAGTTGTACAGCACCAAATGCAAAATTTAGGGATATATGTTGAGAATGGTGCTTTACTGGCTCGGCAGTGAGCTCCAGAGATCTGCAGGAACAGTACACTTCCTCTGCTGGGTTTCCGTTCATATTTATGTGGGAAAAGTATCTTAGAAGCTGGTGCAGGAGCTGGTTCCGCGGTGTATGCAAGAGAGGTCACTGTGGCTAAAACTGTGTGCCTTTGTTTGAAGGAAATAAAGTTGGGGTGGCGTTTGCGGAATCGCTCTGTTACGCCAAATGGGGTTGAATATTTAGAGATAATTGACAGTTGAATTTGTTTTTTCTATGAGTTGGAATTGTGCAGCCCACGACCTTGCCTGCTCGGGAGGCTGGTCGGGAATATACCGCTGACTGGATCATCGACGATCTGCGCACTAAAATGGAGGTCAGCTTAAATAATTTGACCATCATAATTAATGTGGAGAGTTTTTAGAAAAAATATGTAACTAGCCACTTTTGAAGTTTTACGGCCTACCTGTAGTTGCAGTGAGCATCGCCGGGGCCAGCGGGTAACCGAGGGGGTGCAGTCGAGCGGTGGGGCCCTCCGTCCTTCGTCGGTGCTGATTCCTCTTTCCGTTGAAATCCTGTAGCTTAGATTCGGAGAGAAGGATAAAATTAGGGGAAGTCGACTGAAAGACTCACGACGTTAAGCTTCCACGTTGCCAGAAGCAGCCCGGGGAACCCGCCAGCGAACGAGCGGCGCTGGGGACGTTCGCCCCACCGGCCTATGTAGCAGTAGTACCGTGGACTGCATATTAGCGCTTATGCTGAGAGGACGTCCTTGCCCATGTCGCGCGAGGGCTTAAACTGTTCATGAGCCTTCCTTCGGGAACTTCCCGGCGACGCCTGCACAGCCCTATATCCCTTTGGCGCTGCAAACCAATAGCTAGCCACTAGCAGCAGGCTTTAGTAAATTACAGTTCCAAGCGGCCACATACTGCACATGTGAGCCACTGGCTACACGCTTTAAGGAGCACAGCCCCACCGCGCTGCTGCGCGCTGGGAGGTCCGTAATGTTCCACTCACATGGGGGGCCCTATAGGGCCCCTTCCTTGGATTATCTTGACTTCGGCTCGAGAAACATCGAACTACCTGCTCACGAAACAGGCCAGAGGGTGGCTCAGGTGACAGTCAGAAGGGGACAGGCATCAGCTGGCCGCGGGGCACCGCCCTCAAGAGGCCCAGGAGCGCACGCCCAGCCTGACAGCAACAATACTGTGCATAATCTTTTGGAGGATCTACTAGTTCGCGGCCTTCCGGTAACACTAGGGGTGCATCCAGGGTCTCCCGAAGGACCGTCGCTTGGCCTTAAGCAGGAAGGCGTTGTGCTGTATTTGCCCCTGGTGAGAGAGTGCCAGGGGCCCCCAAAGCTGCACGTACACGTAAACCGGAGTGATGCCCCAGGAATCCAGCCTCTTCAGGTCTGTCTATCGAGCTCGACAGTCTCCTTCTGTACAGAGTGGGGAGCATCCAGCGGCGGGGCTGCACCTGATGAGACCGCACGACGCCGCAAGCTTGGCGAAGCACTGCCTGCAGGATACTCCTCGTCGGCAGTGGCGAGCACTGCAAGCCACATAACAGAGCCCGCAGCAGCCGGCTCTTGTATTGTCCAGTTAATATCTTCTTGCGGGTCTCTCCTTTGCTTTAAAGCTGACCCGATGGCCCCACTGGAGAATCAACTTGCCCATGACGTCCTCTGCATCTTCAGGGCATTTGACTTCGATACCAGTCAGTCAAAAACCATAGTTTTGGCCGTAGGGTTGACTGCAACCTCCACAAGCCCTAAATGAGCAAACCAAAACTGTAAACACTACTGAGGGATTAAATGACTCACATATTTGTGGAGAGGCTGTGGTCCCAAGTGAAATCATAGGCGTAGCCCCACATCACCTGCGGAGGAAGTGAAGCTGCGGACACATACACTCACTGTTCGTTTGATGAAGCCGGCAGGCTATGATAGTTCTGCTTGCTGTATTCAGTAAGGCTGTATAGCTGCCTCTGTGCTGCTGTAAAGGAGGCACCAGCCCACAGTCAGTTTGAGGAAATCCTCGATTCTTTGCCTCTCTTCGCCTTGAAAAAGGGGTGGGTCGGCTAAGCCATGACACCGAGAGAGATCTGTAGACAACCACCTCTACAGGTGTAGAGAGCACGTTGCACGGTCGAAAATCAACCCCTCATCATTTCAATCTCGGTGTATCACGTGAGGCCCTTGTTTCTGTCTTGCTGAAGTACCGTTTACACTTGTCACTCCATTGTCCTACACAGCAGGCCTTCAGCTGTATCGAATGTGGCCTTCAAAGCGGCAAAAGTAGCAGCGAGCACAACGGCAAATACAAGAACAGCAGCAAGTGAAAGCCCCGCAGTGGGGGGCTCTGTTAGCCCGGAAAGGGCTCATGAAGACACCTGTCTGCAGTGGCCTTCATGGGGAATGGTTGACCCCGCCCTCCCCTGGGCCACAGCGCTAGCCTGCAGCTGGATTGTGCATATAGCCAACCACGTAAACGCCACTTTGACAGCAACAAGCATAAATGAATATAATTCCCAACTCCCTAATTCGTGACTCCCTTTTCTGTGTCCAAGAGGGCTATCGGCTTTCCTTGTGTTTGCGCTCTAACCAAAACCTCTGTGTGTGGTCGTCACACTCTGAATGTCTCAGGAGGATGGTGTCAGAGAGCGGCATGCACTTATCTCCGCCTTCCGCCGGTTTGTGTTTTCGACAAAAGAGAAAGGCCCTGGGATCGTCTCTGGGATCGTTTCTGCAGTCGAGTGTCCCAGTGAAGGTTCTTCGCTGGGCCTTGACACCACTGTCCCTTCCGAAGCAACCGTTGCCGTAAGCACTTGAAAGGCCCTCCACACCTAACCACAAAGCCCTCAAGTAATGAGTGGACAGATGCCGTTGACCGTATGTAAGGCTGGCTGAGAACTAATCCATACGATAATGCTGTGTGTTCTGTGGCAGGGTGCTTCTGCGTGCGGGGAAGCAGCGGAGCGCTGCGCAAAGACGAGGCAAGACAAGCTCAACATTATTCACCACTTACTGTGTGGAACCTAATGGCACAGCATAGGAGCTAACTCCAGGATGCATACACAAATCGTTGCGGATATTTGGTGCACCTTGTGCTTATCTGCAGCGAAGGGGAGAAGGCCTTGGCAGGAGGCCCGGCACACCACTGTGCCTCACGGAGCCCTCAAAAGTAAGTTGCTTCTTTCAAGATTGGCTGCACGAGCTTACTCTACAGTGCGCTCCTAGTCCGTTTTTTCCCTGCAGGTGTTCTTACTTAGTCTTGCTGCCTGTTATCCCTGCAGAACAAAAGCCCTTAACCCACACGCGGCCCCGTTTGTTCCAAGAGCTCCCTTTTCAGCATCAGCGAATCCCTGGGGATCGGCGGCCCACAAACCTACCCTAGGTGCGGAGTGTCCCGTTGAGGGTTCCTCGGCAGCAGCAGCAGTAGCAGCAGCGGACACCCCACGAATGCCAGCAGAACCAAACAAAGCAGCTGCAATAACCGCAGCTAATGACCCTAGTCTTATACAGCACTTCGATGCATTCAAGGATTCTCGACTGGCTCGCCAAGGGTGCCCTAAACAACCATCTGCAGGCCTTCTGGGTGCTGGAAAGCAGCACCGATGCAAGAAGTCGTCATCCGCCACAGCACAGAGGGCTCCGAGGGTCGACGTTCCAGAACATTCGCGCAGTGCGTTTTCTCCTGTGCAAGAGGAGGGAAATAGACCACAGCCACCGCTCCAGCAGGGGGTGAAGGAGTCTCAACAGCAGCAGCACGTACTCCAGAGCACACCATGGAAGCGCCGGCCGCATTCAGCCCCTTCAAGGAGTGCTGGGTCGGCGGCATCAGCTGCAAAAGCCTTTCCCAGGAAGTGTCAATACACTTTATCTGCTATGCTAGGTATGAGGAGACAGTCTCTGCTGCTACAGCCTCCAAACAAGGCCTTTAACTTCGTGCTGCAGCAGCAACAACTACAACGCAGCCCCGACGATTCGCCGATGCCCTTCTACTTTCCTAGTGCTTTGCCTGGTGCAGCAGGAGCGGATATATGCCCTGCTTCCCCATCCCATGCCTTGGGAAGGGCAGTTGCCCCTTGTGTCCCGAGGCCTGCTAACTACGACATTTTCTGCGCGCCTCCCCCACCACCTCATCCTCGTCGAGAAGGGGATTCTCTACACCATCGACGATTTTCTCAGCAGCAGCCAAAGAGGGGGCAGCCACCCGGCTGTTCAGGAGGCTCCTGGGATGGGTTCCCGAATGCTGGACCCCTTCTGCCTCTCCCCAGGACAGCACCGTCTGGGCCCCCTCTCCTACCCACCCCAAGAGGCCCCCCAATCGCCGCGGTGCCCTTTCAGAAACTCGACCAGCGTGGATTGCTCACTGGCTACTGGGGCCCTAGTGGACCAGGGCCCACAGGAGCAACAATCCATACTGGAGTCCCTTGGATCCCAGGGTCCCCTAGGACTTTAGGGCAACCAGCGGGCCCGCTGCTGTTCTCCCCTATGCAGCAAGACGGAAGCCGAGTTCCTCTGCAAGCAGTGCCGTTGCAGCAGCGTGATCTATTGCAACAGCAAATGCAGAACCAACTTCAACAAAGACTGCTCCTACAAGGGGTCCCCTCTGCTGCCTTTCCAGAGAGACCCGGCCCCCCAAACCCCCAATATATTCGCAGGCCCACCCGATCGTGTAAGCCTAACCGAAAAGGCATAGGATGCCCGCAGCAGCGTAGGCAGAAGCAAAGCCAACAACAGCAGCAGCAACCACTGCACAACCAGAGTGCAAGCAACAAGACAACCCCAGACCAGGGAGACAAACCCTTCTCTGGGGTCGTCCCCTTGCATAACGAAGCTACACTTCAGAAGCTGCTGGGGATGGTCACCACACTGTTGATGTCCCGTTCAGGATGTAAGGAACTGAAGTAGCAATAGTGGAAGCAGTAGTAATAGTAGTAGTGGTAGTAATAGTAATATTTGTTGGTGTTGTAGTACAGCTGCTCTTCGTACATTTCCTTTTGCAACACGAGTAGGCTTCAGGTGAATCGGCTGCAAGCAATGCTCTAAGCAAAGCAGGCGCAGCTTGCAGCGATGTTCGTGCGTTGACTAGATACTTTCCAGAATGAAGTGTTTCTGCAATGCACAGATAAGAATCCTAACGGCCCACAGAAAAACAAAAATTAACTAGGGATATCATTCGTTTTACCACTAGCCGCTATCGTGCAGGTAGATAAAACGCTGCTAGATAGCCGGCCACCTGTGCCCGTGGCATGCTTCTGCCACGTTGGCCACCGAAGCTGAAACTTGGATTCTGAATTCTTTTGATTTCTATTTGGGTACACTGTGCATCGTGATCTTCATTCGCTGCACGCTGGCACTGGTATGTAGCCGCCTACGTTGGGATGCCGCAATTGTATTCTTACATTTTCAACTTAAATTAGTCAAGATCCCAGTCAGATGTGTGCTAAATCACAGAGAACCCCAAATGCTAACAAAACAGATTTCTCTGCCAGGGTGTGGAGGATTGAATAAAGCCCCCAACTTAAGGCCATTGAATAAAAGAGAGCAGCGCCAAATACAGCTGTCCCCTGGGGCCTTGCTGGAGTTACTGGTATGGTTAGCTGAGCTACCTACTGAGCCAGTTGCTAGCTCAGTGAATCTCTTCGTTTTGGATAGATTTCCTTAGTGGGTGGGGGACGACGTCGTGGGAGTAGCCGTCAAGCCTTTCGGGCCCCACTAAGTCTGGATGAGCGTTGGTTTCGACGAATGTGATGGGGTCCCTGAGTATTTCCTTGTGATCATACCGCGGGTGCAAAGTGTCAAATGTGTGGTATACATTTGTCCTCAAGTGGGTGATAAACTGTTGGAAGCTGCGCGCCCCAATGGGTAGGGCAATAGGCTCGCCGTGTTCATCCAACGGCAGCTCCTCCTCTTCGTCTTCGTCCTCTTCGTGCTCCTCTTCAAACAACTCAAAGTCATCCATTTCCCCCTCACCGTCAAGAGAGCCGTCTTCAGGGGCGTGGTAGACCTTCTGCAATAATAACGGTTGCAGGTCTGCGTCTCCACTCCGCCGTGGGTCGGCTGCGGCAAGAAGAAAAAGCAACATAAGGGTTGTCCCCTCAAATTCCAGCTACACTGCACCAACCCACTAATTATTGCCTCTTCCAATCCAAGCAAAATTTAATTATATGGACTGCGAACCCTTCTAAGCAGATATTAAGGCCAAAACCAAGATACAAGTGAAGCACCAGACTGGAGGATAGGCCAGTTCATCGCCTCTGGCTGACACATAAGAGTTGTTCGCGGAACACTCCAGAAAACTCCATTTTAGTCCGTCACCCCTACCCTTATTATTAGTAATTGACTCCTCTGCACATATCCCGGTGTTAGCCAAATGCTGGGATAAGCTTAGCAGGTGTGCCCCTTGGGTTGTGTGCAGTTGGGTGATCTTACCTTCAACTTTGATGGTGCCGTCTGGCCGAGAGTCTCCACTGACTATGTCTCTCACTATCCAGTGTACGCTTTTCGGGGCCCCGTATTTTCGAAATGTTCTGTCGCTTCTTTTGCTGATGGGCAAAATAGCTCCATGGGCGAGGAAAGCCAAAGGCTGAGGCTTGCGCAGCTCCAACTCGTTGTTGAACACCCACGTGTGATGCATATGATCGTAGTACAGAAACATAGACGAGTTCTGTCCCTCCTAAACACAAGCATGCGACAAAAGCACAGTCCCCTGTAGTCTGTAATGCATGAAGTATATGCTAAAAGAAGCAGTGGGAAACACATCGGGCACTGGAAATATCGCCAGAAGCGCTGCTCGCTTATCTCCGGGGTCATTTACCATGTTCTGAGTTCATCCGTCAGAAAAGTCCGGAAATTCGAAACATGTGTATTTGCCTACCTTTTGCCAAATGAGTCTGCCGTGGTTGAGGTGTGGCTTGGGTCTCCCGTCCTTGATCATGTACATCCTGTATGTGCCCGTGATATCTGGGAGTCTCTTGCCACCGCTGACGCTTAGAAAGCGGGGCAAATATACCTTTTTTGTATGCACGCCGATGATGTGAGTGTCGTTGTGCTGTCCGTCAACAAACGGGAGGCGGTAGAGAGGTGTCTTCAACCCAGGAACACCCTCCGATATATGCAGATCTTCGTGAGATACCCCGTCCTGTGCGGACGCAGCAAAACACAATCAGATAAAACTGTGAACGAGAACACTGTTTTAAATTCGTTCATGATGCATGTTTGAATATGCTTGGCATAGAGAAGAAGGTTGGATCTAACCCCAGTGCCCTGTTACATGAAAGGGCTTTCGAAATTGTCGATGCTGCACCTGAGGCCCGAGATGTAGGTAGTTTGCTGTTGAAGCGTACCCATATGTCAATGTACTCTGGTTCATCTGGATGTTGTTTGCCTTCGTCAAGCTCTTCATTGCGGAGGTATTCGGAATGCGCTTCTGCCAGATATTCTCTGTCTAAGTGAGACTCTTCTTCGTCCTCTTCTGCATAGTCGTTGTCATCTTCATCTGTTTCCTCTTCATCCAAGTGTTGCTGTGCTTTCTGCTGCCCTTCGATTGTCATGCCTTCGCTGTCGTGAGTTTGTGCTGCTGCATGCGCTACGTGGTGGTGGGGAAGATGCCGGCGGTGCGGTTGGGCTTCTAGTGTCGACTGCACGCGATCCAGAGAGGCTATGCGGTGGCCAACAAGCAAAGGATCCTCCCCCGAAGTAGTAGAACCCGTTTGATGTAGGTTGTAGTTTTGGGAGCCGCTAGGCGACTGATTGAAGACGGATGACGAAAGGCAAAAGAACAGGATGAGGAGAAACGCAGCGAGTGCAAGCCAAAGGCGGCTGGCCTGGCGCACAGGGGAGAGAAAACTCAGACAAACATATTATGTAAGTTCATCGTTGTGGATAAGATTCTCGAGAAGTTACCTGCGATGCCGCTAGCGGCCATGCTCTATGCCTGCCACCTCGATGGTGCCTATTGGCGGGCAAGGCAGGGCCCAGGAAGGCTACATGAGGGGTCGTCAACTTACTTTTTTAAGATAATCGAATGGAGTTCTCTCTTTGGGCTCCTCATGGGAGTACGATTTCCCTGCTGCAGTTTCTAGGTCGAAGTCTGCGGAGGCCGAAGACACGCGGGTCCTCATTACGGGCACCTCCATGACGACTATAAGGAAAGGTGGCGAAGAAGAAGATAAGATAGCAAAGAGAAGTTTAAAGTTCAAGCTCAACGGTGTATGGCCAGATCAAGCAATAGAAGGCCACAGAAGACGACGCTCTGAAGGGTGGCTCGGCCAGCGCAAGTTGTTTACGTTCAACCAACCGGAGGTCCTAGAGCCACAGGCAGATCGAAATATGAATTACTCAACAAGAAAACAAACAAAAAACAATCAGACAATATTCGTGAGGGCAGATGAAACAAGCAAACCCAAGGTGCCAGCTAGATTCTTGCAGCGCCTTGTGACAGCAGCAGTCGCGGTGAGGAATTCGCAAGCACAGGCGGGCTGGCGGGAGGGTGGTTCCGGTTGGCGCGCATTGCCGGCTTGTTTTCTAGCTGTACACCATATATTTTCTATGCATCAATTGAACTCGATGCTTTCCATTATACAAATTAGCTGTAGAGGCTTCACGGGGAGAGAAATTCACATACTTCCACCATCATCGTCGGAGACAGTGCCCGGCCATGTCCACTGCCGACAGGCGGCCGCAAGGCACCCTAATCCAGTTTTCTGTTTTGTGCCCTCCCCAATCACAATATCATCCATTTATTTCTGCTCTAGTGTATTATTTTGTCTGTTTGGAGAGCTGCGAGAATCTCAAGAGCGGTGGAGAGCAGCAGTCCTCTAGCGCACAGACCGCAGGTGCCTCCTCGACAATCCATCCACGCAAAACCGCAAAATCCCAGCCCCTACCAACAACTTCCGTACAAAAATCTAGTGTCCAACCTGTACTGTGAGAGTACGCGCCAACCTGCCGCACTACTCATAAATCCCATTGCATCTCATCCCAGCAATTAGCTTGTGTCATCTGTCCCCCTAGCCAATAAAGGGACAAGCTTCACCATCGTTCGCCATGGACGCCCCACTAGCGACACTAGCTGTCCTAAAAATTGCAACAACTTGCTCCTACCTGTGACCCCCTCCACCCGCAATTCCTGAGGCTTAGTACAATCGCCCCAACAGTTGGCTTGGAGTTGCTTTCGGAATGATATACTTCAGCCCCTTAGGAGTGTAAAATACGCCACTTAGTGCGAATACTCTATAGATAGGGAACTTTAATTCACCAGCTGCTGACAGTTCCATGGACAGTGCACGCGCAACCGGTACGAAGAAAACCAGTGTGAAATAAGATTGTACTAAACGGGTTCCTGAAAGCATCCGAATATTGCATTCCTCCGAAGAATATATGGTACCTATCTTCGGAGGTAGGCACTCAAGATTTTGCCCGACAATGCATATGGAAGAACGGGCTGGTCTCCCTGTTGCCCATTCGTCACCAGTGCAGTGCCCATTGAGATGGCCTGCTGTGACACTCAATGATCTGAGCGACGTCCGACGATATGAGCTGGTTTGAATAATTTACCCTCCCTTAAACGTACATAATGTGTCGGCCTCACAAGAGTTGTACCTGGAACCCTGCCAATGTGCAGCGCATACCTGAAAAGATCAGGACTAGGCTGTTGGTGCGTTGTTCGTTGTGCATCTCCCCTAAGCAACCGGTTCGGGGCAATGTCTCAAGCTCAAAGATCATTCGTATCCTGTTTTCGACAGGAGGAAATAATGGTGTCGTTGCTAGCACAACGGTATTCGCCCCATGCTATGTATAATGCACTGCTTCGGTTGGCAGTGCTGGCCAAATGAAGAGGGACATCAACTTACATAATGTTACATTCTGTAACCCATACACATACTTCGATTAACGAATACCGCGGACGGGCATGGAGCATCCGGGAAAACATATCTCCGACGAACAAACTTCAATGACCAGCAAAAATTCACTGCTGCGTCTTATCACAAGAGTATCAGCAGCAGCGATGTTGCTTGCTCTTAGACCCAGAATAGGGGACCTACATACAAAGTGTGATGCATGCACATTTTTCGCCATCTACCCCGGGCTGACCGGCTCTTCTGCAGGATAAGTAGTTTCCAAGAATAATTGGGCCAGAAGAGCAGAAGCCTGACCAAGTTGAACCTCCCTCGCATAAAGCCCGCCGCAGCGGTATTTAGCTGACAGCAAATCCAAGAAAACTATTCGCCGTCAGGTGCATCAAAACCACTGAATGCACAAAGTGTTCTCCGAGCATCAAAACACATGTATTATCCATTACTTCCTCACCCAATAATATTGTTGTATCGATGACGCCTTGCCCTGCAAGAGGCAAGGATGTGCCGTTTATTCTGAGTATAACTCATGGTTCTCATTCCCCCCTCGCAATTGATCAATGGTTACCTTCTACTGGAACATGTGCCTAAGCAAGCGCCTCTCCGCTGCCTTGCATTACAGCATCGCTTCCCCCTTTGAGCGAAAAAGCATATTCACCATTTCAACTGCTGGCAAAAGGTTACGTTTGCGGCCAGCGACGATGAAGAACTTCAGCACCCTGATCAAACACACGCTCACCACCCACTGCGTCCTTAGCGTTGCAACTGGTCGGCTCCGCCGTTAGCGAGACCAACGGGTTCCCACCCCATGTACTCACCGCAGCACCCAGGACTGAATCCCCATAGGTTTGAATGGGATTCATGGCAGTATGTGGAGAGCACCCACATGCACCTTGTCTGTATCCAACAGGTTTGGGTGACTAACGGCATCCATGGGCACAAGGCGGGATTGCATAGACGGCGGAAGTTGAGCATTCAGTGCAGCTTATCTTTGTTCTTCTGGCAGAGTTTGTCACCTGCGCTGAGGCTCCTTTGAACCAGATGGTCTCGGCTCGCCCAGTGCAACCCCGTAAAAGGGTGTAGCCCTAGCCCGCTCTCTTGACTGGCGCCGGGGGATCTCACGGCGTGTGTTTGACGGCTGCACATGCGGCACACCTGCGGGTCCTACGGCTTGCAAAGCCGCAGGCACCTGATTTCCACCCAAGAAGCCTACAGGTGGTAGCCCTGGTAACCCTGCTGGAACCTCCCCCACTTTTGAATTGTGGTGAGTGGATACCCCAAATATTGGAACTTTGGCAGAAGGCGTTCCGCTTCTGTGCCAAGAAGTATTCTGCACTGAGTCGTCTGTAAGCCTGAAGGGAGGCTCTTCTGGGACTGGGTGAAGGGGCGGTTGACGAAGCAGCGGGTGACCGCGATCAAGCGTAACACTCAAACCCAAAGCTTGTCCACGGCTGAAACCACTATCTTGAACGACAGAGGGTGAACTTCCTGGCGTATATGTTCCGTTTGAACGGGGAGTTGGGATCGGTATCATCTGGTCTCCGGAGGCGGTACGGGGCCAAGTCCGTTGCGCGGATTCTGCACTGGCTGGGTGTCCAGACGTACGTGCAGTAGCAAGTTGCCCTGTTGCCCTTCTTAGTGCGTCCATTACGCGCTCAGCTTCCTCTCTCAGCTGCGTGACAAGCACACCCACTGGCGTCAAATCGTTATTTAGGAGGATTTGTCGTTGCCTCTCTCTCTGCACAACAGACTGGGGGGTCCCCATCGCCAGGTAGTGTGCTACCCACGGTCCGAGGCTGTGGTCGCTGAAAATCTGGCTTCGGCGTTGATGCCGGAGACTGGTCATTGCTGTGAGCATATCGGCCACTGCTTTGTCGGATGGCCTCCTTCGGTGTTCTGGGGAACCCAGAAGCCCTTTCAGCAGGGTAACTGTGCTAGTCAAGAACACCATCTGAACAATCCCTAGATGCTGCAGCCTTGCCATGCATTGCTTAATCCCTAACGTACACGTATTTGGGAGGCTTCGTAGCAGCTCGTTCAGGCCGATAAGCCGACGAATCCGTCGGCATGCGTTGCCGCCATATTCGCAACGAGGAAACTGGTTGAGGATGGCATTGGCCATAGCGGAGCCTGAATTCGTGAGCTGTAGTCTGCGCATCTCCAGGGTGTTTGGTAGCATCCCAGAAACAGCCGCAAGCTCTTGGGAACTGACGATTAAGTAGAAGCTGGCAATGCGGGTTTGCAGTAGAATCCCCCGTCCGTCAATAAGCTCTCCGCAGATGCGTTGCAGTTGATCCAAAAGGTTAAATACACTGTTAATTCTTCCGTACGTTGCACATTGGGTCTCATCTTCAGATATACCGACTCCACTTTCTACTCGTAACGCAGGTCGTTCACTGCCGCCGCAAGCTACCTCAACTGTGTAGCCTCCTTGCGCTGCTAGAGACCTACGAAACCAACCAGGGGCTCTCCCACCACCCAAATGAGAAGCGCATTTCAGGATAATGAAGGCCGCTGCCAATGCGGCAACGACGACTAACCTCTGCAACACTAATGTACCCCCAAGGCGTTCCCGTTGTCCATAACGACTCAGCCAAGCCGAGGAGCGCAGCCTTCCTCCTCGGTGAAGGGTAGGTCCTTCGCCTTCCGCGTCGAAGACGGCAGTGGAGGAGTCCCGATGCGCTGCGGTGGCAGCGCTGGCTGCAAAATACGCCGCACCTCCATGCATATTTTGCTATACTCCAACCCTCACAAAAGAACGACTGAAGTCTTCACTGTGTCTGACTTGATTTTGGGTTATCCCATCGTAATTGCTGCTGAATGACTTATTTTGGATAGCACCTCTCCAATCAAAGGCAGTCAATCCAAGAACGCGGAAAGTCTTAGTCCCAAACGTCCACCCTCTGCGAACTGTAACACACGACTACAAAAGCGGCTTGGCTCCCCCCGAGCGGCGCATGCATTAGTTTACTGCAGAAGAGTGGGCAGTGATAATTGTACCAACCATCGTTCCAACTGGCCGTTTCAGGCATGGATGCTCTACGGCACAGAGCTAGGCAACAAGGAAACTGAAGCTTTCAACAACCTTCCTGGAGAGCTGCAGGAGATGTTGGACCCAGCGCTCCTCCTCAAATCTGAAAAGTGTGGGGTTTGCAGAACAAGCGTTTAATACAGAATGGCTCAGCGGATGGAACCCGTCGTTTTAGATATTTCCTGTGCTGAACATTGGACCCAGAAAGGACCCCTCTCCTGTGTCCTGCATGTCACACCCCGGATGTCAGGTGGCAATCCTGTAGCGCCTGCCAGCACACTGTACGGGGCTTAAAACCGAGGTCATGTAGTGCAAGGCATACGGGATTTGAGAAGCGAATGAACCAAATAGGTATATCAGTAGGGAATTGGCTAACGGAATGAACATCAAGAAGAGACGGGACACTTTGGGGCTGGGCAAAACTGATGAGGAAAAGCACTCCGGCCATTACTGTTAATCTGGCTTCCTCTCAATCTGGTGAGAAGTGTTATTCCTAAATTTACTAGTGCTGTACTTCAATACTTTGTAGAACAGTGCGAATCCGGTTGCAGCAATGGTGCTCGAGTCCGGCGTGCTTCGATTCATTGGGTATGTAGGCCCAGGAAGCAGCGTCGCTCTACGAGCCCGCCCCATGCAATCTTGCGGAATTCACATTCCTAAATACACTTTGGCACTTAATAATTAAAAGGGAATTGTTTTGGTGCCACAATTGAATGCTCCTGGAGCCGAACAGAGAGCACTGTCAGGAAACCTGAATTGCCGGTGTTCCTGATAGGCGGCTGCAACCATGTGTTTATTGCTCGTCAACAGCCAGAGGCTGAAGCCCTTCACCTCGAATAGTCACTCTACAAGCCATACGAAGTGCTATTACTGAGTTTTAGTGTTACTGTTTTACTGTATTCAGCAGAAACAAGGAGAAACGGGCACTGTCTGGAGCAACGCTTGGGGCTACCCAGTTGCGCTGAGCGACTTCGGCAGCAGCTAGCACACGTAGCAAGTTTGCGGATGGCAGGCATCTACAACCGTAGACTAGCATCAGTAAATACTCTAGCTTACAGTCTGTACCAAAAGTTTTGTTTCTTGAGCGGCAAATTGCGACAAATAGGAAGGCAGATACTACAGGCGCAGGGGGTGTGCTGCACCAGCTCTCGATTGCGAACGGAGCCATCGATCTCATCCATAAACTATAGCCAACTGCAATGGAGACGAAGTACCTCATGTAAATTGGGTTGATCTAGTTGGCATCACCCCATGTCCCTAGGCGTCCTTGTCTCAGTGACCCCAGCAAGTAGAGCTACCACAAGACAGGTGGCGAATTGGGAGCACTGCTGCAACTCACACCTGCAAGAAGGCCCACAAGCAAAGCCAACACTACTTGTCTGAATGCTCTATCAGTGTAGACAATTACTGAATAGTTTAGGTAGTGTCTGTTGCATACTAAGGCCGAGTTAAGGTTTTGTGAATGAATTGCCGCATCGCATTCATTGCTCCAGTGGTCCCGAAGGGGGACTATAGGTAGGTTTCCTGGGATGAACAGGCTCAATTACATAGGGTTTGCGAGCATGCGGAGGAAATAATTATTCGCATAGGCCAATCAACCTTTCCTTGTACATCATGCGTCAGCGTGTATTTCACGTAGCTCCTGTAATTTCCTTAGTCCGGTGGGCGTAGACGACCAGCAGGGTGAGCTTCACTGGGGCCTACAGTTCGCGGAGTCTGTGCAACCAAACATTGGAAACTGTAGGATATGACTACACATCAGTTGTACGAATTAAGAGCGGCGTTGAGAAACGGAGTGGTTGTTCTAACTACGGCCGCGGTGATAATTTCTGTCAACTCAGTACCAAAAGATAGGCATTAGAAGTGTGTTCAATTTCCTCCAGCCTTTACTACGTAGACTACTTTCAAATACCCTAAATCCGAAGTTTAATATTAAATTTTAATTTAAAAGGTATAGGACAGTTGTGAAGTACACTCAAGTCAAACGACTGTCTTTAGCTGTCACTTGCTGGGGAGGCCCTCCGCCACAAACTGTCGTTCTGAGCCCCACGAAATGGCATGCAGCAGCGCCAGCGGCAATAGCCTCACGGCACGGGATAATGCTATCAACAGAAATGCTCTCCCTGCCACAGGCATTCATGAGGAATTCTGATTAATCGAGCAAGAGTGAAGGGGACTTAACCTCACTTAATATAAACCTGTACCCTGGTCTTTCCTTAGCTTCCTACGGCAAAATGCTGCCATTTACAATTCAGCGCAATGCCATCCCTTCCTTGTTACCAATGGAAAAAGAGCATAAGTTCACACAGCAGTAGTTTTACGTGATACACAACCAACGACTGACGCATGCCCGGGAGAGGCTGAAGCAGGATAAGGTGTTTGCTTATGAGCTGCGTCTTGCCTCCCACGGAAGAGATTGTAGACAATTGGCAGCACCCAGGAGGAAGAAGCGAACGGTAAAGCAGCCAGTACACTGTACTGCTATTCTAGCACGTGCAATCGCTAGGAATCAATCGTTGTGCTTTTTACTTGTTGGCCTGTTGGTTACTCAAACACTAAGTGGCGCATATGCTTGTGGCACTGCTTGCAGTGCGGCTGTTGCTACCGCGGTGTTATACCAATCAGCCTAGTCTCGGTGAAGGCGTGGCAGCGCTCCTAGTGCTGCTTGTGCTTTTCCGGGTGCTTCACCCAACAGCGTGATCCATGCACCCTCTAACAATTCAATTCTTGGGCACTTTCCCTCAAGGGCTTCGCGAGGAAAAGCGCCGAAAGTATGTGTTGCAGCTAATTGAATACAGTTTCCCCTCCGTTCATTCCATTTTCACTTCACCAGACGCTAACAAGTTGTTCTATTGATTTTCCTTCGGTGTTTAGGACTCGTTGTACAATCCCCAACGTCTTGGTACTTTCTTCTAGCTCTCTCTTTAGCGAGGTAATGTTGGTGGCCTTGGCAGCATGGCCCTTCCTCACCTTCGTCTTGGTTTTCTTTTCAACCATTTTGCCACTGACTTCAAATACTAGGGCACCACTAAGGCTTTCAGCTGTTGAGTCGTCGACTACAACAGTGAAGCTCTGAGCACAAACAAAAGTGGAGGTGCCATATTGCAAATTCCATCTTCCCTCATGGTTTGTTTAGCTCGACTGGCAAAAGCAGGTAACCGTGAAAATGTTTTGCCTGCTGCTGTGAATGCACAGACGTGTATGGCATGGGAATGTGAACTTAGGCTGACACACCCTTGAATTGTTGAAAGTCGGGCTGCAAGAAGCTTCTTCCAGGGACATCATAGAAACATCCGTCTCACCATCTAGCCATCGGTAGATAATCTGTAACGTAAGAGACGGCAAGATACTCACCTTCCTTGGGCTCCAAATGTCCATTTCTCAAATTCCGAGGTGCTGTTTCGGAATCCTTCCTTATTATTAACTCTAAGCAAGGGCTCTCCACTTGCCTGGGGGTGTTTGCAAAGCTTTTCTGGCAAATCATGTGCCGAGTGAACAGTTATTGTAAGGATCATCTCGCGACCTTTAATGTCCACTACTGAATGAAGAGCGTCTATGTTGACTTCTTGCTCAATCCGACCCTGGCTGGTGACTCAAAAAAGTTGCACTCGACAATGTCTGCTCATAGCATGCGCTGATTCGATCTTACAAACGGCTTGTGCGTAGAACAGTAGCTGATGGGAAGTGATTAGAGGATGTTGCAACCTGATTTAATCAGTCCTGCTAATAATGGGGAATATACGCGTTGTCGTACCAATCCGGATCATCAGTGTTCGAAGCAACTTCAATGCTAACGGAAAGGGTGAGCTTGCCGCACACTTTTCCGTTGGCATCAATGATTGGGAATACCTCTGACTCAATAGGCAAGAGGAAACGAATTGTGTCAAGGTATAGATAACTTTCTCCAATGACCTAAACCGCACGTAGCTCAAGCTCGGTCCCGCGTGGATATTCAAGCCTCTAAAGTCCGGTTACTTGGACAACGGAAGGGTTGACGATTTGCAACATCCACACACTTCATAGAAGTGAGAGGATGGTGCATATAGTCCATATTTGGCATGCGTATTTATATGTATGTCTCTACTAGGCTGTACCCACCTGGTAGCTGTCCAAATCCAGAGCGAAAGGATCTGTTACGCCTTCTTTTAGATATGACTCTGCCCTTGAACCCGCCGCCCATTGCGTATACAATTCTCTCATTTCAAAAACCTTTCTTTCGAACAAGTCCAAGTTCCACAGCTGTACAACGTCTGAGTCCACTCTCTGCACTCGGATTACGATCTCTGTTTGTTGTAAGGATGTTCCGATAAGAGTGCTCCTTAGGCCTCCCGTACTCCGTGTCTTTGTGTTTAGCTTGAGAGAAAAGTAAACGCCCACTCCAAGCTCTTGCGCATACCCATTCGCCTCTTCCACAAGCAACGCTGTTCTACTCATGACCTCGTGTAGAAAAACTTGAGCTGCCCGCTCAGCATCTTGCCGTCTTGCCTCTTCATTCTTTTCCCTTTCCAAAAGCAAGCGCCTAGCCTTCAACTCGTCTTCCTTTCTGTCTAGTTCCTGCAGCACTGCTCGTTTTTCAGCCGCAACCAACTTCAATTTTCTCTCTGCTTCTGCTTGATCCTCTTCACTAGCAAGCACAAGTGCTTCTTTGTCCTTAATCCTTCTCAGCAGCTCCTTCTTTTCAGATTCGAAAATTTGCATATCCGTTTGCAACTTTTCAACCTTTTCCTGGTATTTGAGTTCAGCAAGATTGGCCTGAGGTGTCTGTTGGGTCGCGCACTCATCAATAACATCTTTCGTCACCTCCCTCATTCCCTCTTCCCAGGAGGGTAGCGTCTTGTCCTCGTCTGTTGGATCAACGAAGACGAACATATTATTATGCCCGAATATTATTCTGTCCTTGTGTCCCAAGACTTTAGACTCGTTATTCCCGAGGACTAAACCGTTTATGCACGTCTTCCCGTGCGCTGTTAGCATCACTTCATAGACAGTTGCACCGCTCCCGTCTCCGTCCTGTTGGGCGTGTCTTACATCAACAACAGCGTGCAGAGGAGACACTCCAAGGCCACCAATGTGGAACTTAGGCTCTGTATTCCCCCCCGGTTTACCGATAGTGCTACTCCCTTCCGTCAGCGGGAAAACAATCTTCCCGGAAAGAAGCGGGTCTTCATTGAGATTGCTAAGGTAAGGTATAGTTAGTTGATCTGTATCCCTGACTTCTACACTTGTAGGTCGCCTTTTTTTTGCAGCTTCTAGCTTATCTTGCCATGACATTGTCATTTCTTGTAGGGCCTTTCTGTTTGCCTCCAGTTCCTCTTCGTACTGTCTGCGAAGTTCCTCCATCTGGGGGTCAGCGCCTCCACCCGGCACAGCATCTGGCAAGGCGCCACCCATTGCCTACAGATACTCGCATCCCCAATGTGAGGCAAAAATAACTATACCATCGTAGGCAAGCCTGTCAAGGGAATAGAAGCGTGTACATGGCTACGGTGGAGCTAGGGATGTCCTTTGCCATGCGAAAACCGTAGCCCATGGAGAGAGTAACTGTCGGCATCCATTCTGCAGCTCTACATATTTATTTGATGCAGACAGCAAAATCAAGAAGAAAAGTTCTAAGGGCACGACAGAGTTCCGGCAGGACAAGCAGAATTTCTTTCCCCCATAAAGTGTGGAGGAATGAACGCACTGTCTTCAACCTTTCGTTCTCCTCCCGAAGTTCCCGAATAAGCTTCTCTAAGGGGTTCTCATTGACAGTAGCTTCATTTTTTATTTGTTTGACCCGATCTGATGCAGCATGAAGTTGCAAGTTTCAACAGGAGAAGTTGCCTGTTGTGCGATTTTACAGAACGTTAAGTACAGTGGCCTTATTGCACAGCTGTATTACACCATGATTCCCACCAAATTAAGGGCTGCAAAAAGTCTTATCACCTGCGTAGCGGAGCGTGCTGAGAGTTTCTTCGTAATTTACAGTGGCGGGAGACAATGCTGCGATCATGCATGTCTTGCTGTTGCCCCCTAGAGCCGTCTGGAGTATGCGTGTGAGCGCAGAGTCCCTATACGGCACAACCTGCACCCAAAAGATACGTATCGGATACCATCATGGACCCTGCGAGAAGTAGGTGAGTAATCTTGCTCCCGGATTCTCAAGCTGGATGCAGAACAAATATGATTTCACGCATCCCAGTTAGGGAGGAGAGGATGCTTTAGTGCCATGAGTGCCCAAGATGTGCGTATGCGCATTGTGCCACTGGTTGACAGGTTTCAAAGGCATCGGCAGGCAAAATGAACTGCTGGGGTCACTGGCGAGAGATAGTCCAATCTTCAACTGGAACCACAACGAGGGTTTTGTCTAGTACAAGCAAGAGAATACAAGGGCTTGCCAACGAGAAAGAAGTTAACTCAAGACCGCAGAAGTGAATCCCTTACACAAGTTGTGCTCAGCGTTAACGTGGAACACGTATTCCCTAGTAGGGTTGTTTACACACAGTGCCGTGCTTAGCGCTGGTCAAAACAGGAGAGCGTGAGACTCTTCCTGTTGCAACTGTATGTAGTAGTTTGCGCTTAGGTTGAACATTCAGGTGTGCCTCTCACCTGCCCTGGTTTGAGCTTGCCAGCTGCTTTGTCTGCGAGAGCAGATATGACGTTTCCTAGAGCACTTAAGCTTTGGTTAATAGCACACCCTTCTTTCAAGCGATCGCCTGTTGCGCCCGTCGAGCCAGCCCTCTCACTCCCCGCGAGGTCCACCAAGCTTATTTCAGAAGACTTCTGTGAGACTGGTTCTCCGGTGCCAGCTGCGAAGTCCAACACGCTGTGGAGAGCACAGTCACTCTGCTGCGACAGCGTACGATTTCACATCACTTGTGGAGAATACTATTTCATGGAACATATGCTGAATTTTGTTCTTTCTGCATTACTCTGCAGGCATCACATTTTCTCCAGCTGGAGAGCAGTCTTGAAATTAAAATGCTCTATGGAAAATGAAATGCCTTTTATAGTGTCCTAAAGCTGGGTGCATGCCAATATTGCCTACGAAACACTATACTTAGTAGCTGTTAAGGAAATTCCCTCCTTCCCAAGCTAATGCATTGCCTTGAATCGCTGTGAGATTCATTTGCCCCGGGCAATACTCACGTACCGTCTATAGTGATCTGCCGGAAGTTAATTTGCAGCACAGTGTGTGCCCGTGATGACGTTGCGTTCATGAGCGTCGCTCCTACCGTCCGATTTGCTGTTCCTGCATGCGTTTAAACAACGCCATACGGTGTTGTTTGGATGCCCAACACTACATTCCGGGATAATTCGGGCAGTTTCTGTTGTCCCGTCTCACTTGCACAACAATCGATAGAAGGATTTTGCCATCTCACGTCCACACCATAGCTTTCCGACAACTGCAGAACCAGCAGCAATGACGAACTTTGTATATCCTATCCAACCAATGGATTCCAAGCAAGAAAGCTTGGCCCTCACCTTCATCAAGTTTTGCTTGGATGGCTGCATACGAGTCAACTGGACATTTTGTGAGATCTTGCACAAATGTTCCGAGCTGTGGGGTGTGCCGAATTTTGAGGCCTCCCTTGGGCCTTTTTTCTATCGGCATCAAAAGGTCCTGCACCTGTTCGTTATATATTTCAAGCATGCTAATTTGCACCTGGGCTTGTAGAGTAGGATCTGTGTTTGCGCCGATACGGGCAAATATCTCTTCACATGCACGAACAATGATACCTTTGTTCGCTCCATATCCAACCATGGAGTAGCTTTTCCCGGCTCCAGTCTGGCCATAGGCAAATAGGCATGCATTGTAGCCTTCGTAAGCGTTGTTGAGCACATCCTTTCCAATTTCATTGTACAGGCGTTGTTGATCTGCGTATTTTGAGCTAATGGGGCGAGAATAGCCGGTTTCATCGTTTTCAAAACCATCGTGGGACCAGTAAGAATAATCAAAAGAAAACGTCTTTTTACCACCTTTGGGATCTTCGGCATTGTCAATTGTTGTCGCCTTTCCCTCCATACTAATGCAAAGTTGTGCGTTCATGTTTTTCTCACGGTCATTGAAGGGCCGTACACGAACCGCCACTTTAACTGATGACATCCTCCCAGTGCGATCTTCGAAAGGCACCCTTTCCCATAAGTTACTTGGAGGTGATGTCGCAGATGCTGGCTATGTACCTGCCCTGCTCACAGCATCCAAACTTTCTACTGGATCCACCAGGAGGAAACACGTGGTTGTGCAGGATCGACAGGCCTCCCCTGCCTCTTTACGATAGTTCTGAGATGTATTTATGGTGGTTTATTAGCCGGCGAGCATACACCTGATCCCCCCTAGTACTGTATCTGGTGACCCTGAAATACTTCTCAGCACGCCCTTTAGTACGCTTGGCACCCGTCGTCTACAACCACACACCAAAGCTGATTCAAAAGCCCAGTGGAATTGTCATCTATGACGGAATACCAGGTGCAAAACAGCTCTCTCCCGCTTCGTGGACAGTCGCAATCGGACTCGCGTCTCCCTTCCGCCGTTCAGTGGCACCGTTCACGCTGTGAGCAATGCAGATTGCATGAATAATTCAGATTATTATTTCACTGATATCTTTTCTTAAGGTTAATCATAGGGGAGATGAAACGGGCAAATTTTTCTTCAGTAGGTTCCACCCCCGAACTGGAGTCTGTGCTTGTGGTTCCTGCCAACGACGTCAATTTGCCGTAGGAATTGGCCACTAATTGGTCTCGTTTCCTGTAAAAACAGCTTTAACAAATCGATGCGTAAGTTGTACTTTATGTTTGTTTAAGATCAAATATGTTCGTACAGTTGTAACACGGGCGCTTGTCCAATATTTGCGCGTTGGTGCGAGTGCTCGAGACCACCTGAGGAGGATGAATGCCTTAGTATTTACAAACGTAAAAACCTATGATACTGCGCCGCAAGTAAAATAGTGAGATATTCTGCCCCTTATTCTGGAGGTGTGCAAAACCAGGCACCCCGCCTCTGAACTCGTAGAGCCTGCTGTACTCTCTACACGGGACTTGCGAACCAAGGCGAGTACGGTGGTCAGTTACGTATAGCATCGAGACACAAAAATAATGTTCCCTTGAGCAACCTGCGAGTAGGCGAATAAGGACTTAAGGTGTTGCTGCCCAGTGAAACTCCTGTGCCACGAGCACCACAGGAATGCTACAGTTCCTCATAGACCGTCCAGGAACAGTTATAGGTTCATCTGTGGGTTGGTAGCACTTCCAAAGTCTGTCCGGAAACTCACCCCACCACAGATATGGCTAATTGAATGTCTATTAGTGGCACCACTCAATCCCCGTCCAAGCAAAAGCTTCGGAGAGTACAACAAATAGGTGTCAAACTCTCAAACCCGAAATAGGACAAATTTTCCCCTGGGAAAGCTCTGTTGTAGCTTCATTTGCGCGATGTATAAGCACCCGAGCAACCCGTCAGCTGCCCTTACAGCAATTAGTGCTACAGCCAAGCATCCTGCAGCTGGTCACTGCTGTGCAGTAAACAGATGTTATCAATATCCACCGCTAGGCGAACTCCAACCAACACACCGACATTAACGTGCCTTTCCAAAACCCCATAATGAAGTGTGCAAGAAGCCGAGTCTCTGCGCGGAAACACTGCAGCTAGAGTAGCAGCCCCGAAACCAAAACCGGGGCAATTTCCGTATATACGCATTCGACCACCACTGTATTCGTGAGCAATATTAAGAATATAACAGTTATTACACGCTTATTGCTTCCTTTTGTCGAACTGTGTCTTAATTGTTGTATAAGGCACGCCAATACCCCGCATCCAAGTTTACTCTAAGTCACCCGCCATTCGGGATTCAAGGAGTTCCACCTCCCGTTGTTGTAACTGAAGCTCTTCTTCCCTATCTTTCAGTGCCTTTTCAATGTACTTTATGTACGCCGTCAGCCTCTGTTGCCCACTGACCACCTGGGAAGCGTACACTGACAGTTCATGCCGCAGATGACCTTCTTGCTGGGCCACGTCGCGAGAGAGCCTGGAGAGTTCTGCATACGCCTCGCTCTCTAGCTGTTGTAGAAGGGACACAATGTTGCCACTGCCGAGGCTCATCTGTGTCGCCATCATGCGGAATCGGTCGATAAAAAAAGCTGCTTCTTGAGCTGCATACAAACGAACTTCCTCTGGCAACGCAGCATACTGCTCGTCAGATAATGCACTGGTAACCACGTCGTGAGGCAACTCTACAACTTTAAGCGGCTTCTCCCTTCGCCTCCTTTCTGCGTCCTCTTGCTTTAGCACCTCAGCGATATTTTCTTGTTTGTCCGTTGGCGTTGCACTTCCAAAATGCACGTTTGAGTCCTCCTGCAGTTTCAGGCGTTGTTGCTCCTGCATTTGCTGCTGCCTTTGTACCCTTGCACGTTTTGAACCCAATCTGCAGAAAAGCTCCGCAAAAAAGAGTTGTGCGGACTCTAATACTGAACGATCCGCAACCTTCCCAAGTCGCTCCATTGCTTTTATTTCAGCTGCACGGGATGCCAGCGATCGAAGCAGAACGCATAGGAAGAAGCTGAAGCATATTACCCCCATGAAAAAGAGATAAGGGAAAATAAAGGCCCCCGCTACAATAGCATCCGCATGGAAGAGTTGCGACAGCGGGAAAAAGCCTGTCGTCAGCATAATTGTGGACACAAAGGAATTCCTGAGGGTTGAATAGCTTTCCAATTGACGCCCAAAGGACAAGAAGCAGACATACGTAAACCCAATGAACACCAGTGTTGTCCCCATCAGAACCTGGATCATTTCCTCCGCTGCAGAAGCCAGAGCGAAGAACATCAAGGTTAACTGTTTGCGTTTGCGTCCAATGCGGATCAACCGAAGAAATGCAACAGCCAAGATAGCGGCGGCTAACTGAGCATAGGCTCTCAGTGAGTTAGCTGTTGAGCTTATTGCCGTGAAGAGTACGCCAGCGGCTGCAGTTGCTTCTGCTTCTTGTGTGCCACCGGCTGCAGCTGCTGCTGAAGCTGTGGCAAGGTCTGTCGTCATATTAAACACTTGGAAATGCGTTAAGGCAAGCACGTGAAGTGCCCACACAACGATTGAGCCTGCCAGCACTCCAAATCCAATTAAGTCGAAGACATTGAAGATGTCGTCGACGAAGAATACCCCCAAGCACAAGCCAAAACTGTAGTCATCACGCTCTTCCTTTAAGTTCCTCCTCAAACGGTATAGTTCCACAAAGAATGAACAGCCGAAAAACAGGAACAGAGCAACGGCTGCTACTTGCAAAGCGATTGATGCAATCGCTGTCGAGTGCCAGGTGGCATACGGTTGCAACTGAACCACAAGGAACACAATGGCAAACTGATACGTGACTTCAGAAAGTTCGTATCACCGGTACTCTCTCGTGATTGTGCATACCACCTGTTGCTTCACTGCGGCTGGTACAGCTTCGGGCCATAAAATCACCTCGTATGCTTCAACACAAAGGCTGGGAACTACTGTACCACCACGGTCTCGGCGGAATTTTATTGACAGCTCCAATACCATGTTGTCAGCATTGGGGTTTACGAGAACAGCGTAAAAAGCTAACTCTTCAACTACATCCCGCAGTATGTCTTGGTGTGCGAGTTCTTTCAAAAATGCTCGGAAGGCGGTCGTTTCGAAGAGCGGTTGATAGTTGCACTGGAGCGACTCACACGTAAAGCCAACTTGAGCTGGATACCCTACTTCGCACCGAAGTGCTAAAGTAACACGAACAGAACGTGGAATAATCGCGCTGTTCCAGTTAGACAGCACGAGTTGCTGATACGTTGCACCTGCAGCCACCAAGCGCAACGGCGAGGCCTGTACAGTAGGCTTCAGCGTAGAACGCGTGGGGCACGTGTGGGCTGGGGTCGGAATGTTGTCATAGTCACTCAAGAAGCTAAATCCAACCGATAAAGCTTATTACCTGACATGGTTAACCTTGGAAAGACTTCGTCGGAAATCGCAGCTGTTGGTGTAGAGGCTAACAGACCCATTAGTCCGCTGTCAGCCTGTAGCCAGCTGTACAGGGCCTTAGACGAGTTCACGCTAAAGAGGTGCTGGCTGGGAATAACTATTTTAGCATTTATATCCGGTAAGCCTGTAGAAGAAGGACATGATGTGTATCGTAACGGCACAAACACATCGCTATGGCCTATCGGTTTTCAAACCGACAGTTGCCTTAAATGAACTGGAAAACTCGGTGAGTGGTGCTATTTGACTGACGCAAACGATAAAAATATGAGCCACACCCAGAGAAGGATCCTTGCAGGTGAATTCGATAGGATCCGATGGAAATTCAGTCTTGGAAATCGCCTTCCCAGACATTTCTCTCATGTCTGCAGTTACGTCAACCGACAGCTGTACAAAGATACGCACAGAAATCGCTATTCGTTAGGAGATAATTCTGAAGTGTAGTGGTGCTGCTTCTCAAAGCCACACGAGAAGGTGCATTACTATGGAGCAGCTGTAGTCTCCGTCACGAAGTCATGATTCGGCAGGAGCGTGGTTCGGCATTTCTGCGAACTCACTTGTAGACTGACAGTGGCGACTATGACTGCAACAAACGCTATTACGAAGAGCTTCTTCCACGCGTCTTCGTGGTCTTCCTGTGTTTGTTTTCTCACCATCACGTATACCTACAGAGTGCCATGGGCACAGACAGCGGCAACGGCTTCGAGTGCTATAGAATTTCCCAAAGGGGCACACCGACAAAACGCTCTATGCCTGATGTGCTAAAAGTGTACCTTGGCAATGGAAGGGGCCGGATATTCGGCTACTTGGGTGCACGGGATAACCGGGGTGAAGTACCAGTTCGACCTGTCTGTTACGCCAGAGACGTTAAATCCGCTGAAACAGCCGTATGTCCTAGAGTATGTACCTGTGCAGAGGAACGATGGCTCGCAAGGCCCAATTAAGTGCAGTGCATTAACCGGAAACTCATTGCTTTTGCACCCCTGCTAAGTTCCCCACTCACTTCCTTCCATGCTGTCCATCCGACATATTCCCCACACATACACAGGAAAGAAACTTTGAGGAGGGCACTGAATTTAACGTGCTACCGTTTACATACTGGTGTCTTGCAGAATGATCAGAATGCAAGGATTATTCCGCACGTATAACGGGGAACGATTTCATTAGGTCAATAAACTTGAGTTATACCTATGCTGCCTGGGTCCACGTAGAACCCCTGTCCCTCCCCAGTTTGCAAACCGTATTTGTCTCGAGGATCTTGCATGCCAATTGCACTCCACACCCAAGGGGGGTAATAGGGCGGTGAAGCATTGTCTGCCTCGATAGAAGACGGTTCTTCCTCTTCGTTGTGTTCACGCCTGTAAAAATCTTCCCCTTTTTTTTTGTTCGCAAGGGCTGACCGCCGTTTGACCTTTCTTTTGCTTTTCAGCTCCCTTGCCTCTTCGACGTCATCATCCAGCCCGTAGTTAGCGCCATCAGCGGGAAGAGCCACCGTCTGCGCCCTCCAAAAGCCAATCATGGCCTTCCAGAAAGCTAAGCACCCATATTTTACGTTATGCACTAGCCACTCGTATCGCGTCCGAAATACCTGCTGTGCAACGACCGCGTACACAAGACATGTTCTCCAGCCAAGGCCGCTCTCCCGTCAAAAGTGCAGGCTGCAAGAATGCACGCCCTGGATGTGGAATGGGTGGCTACCATACTGCACGAAGATCGTAAACGAACTGGAGCACAGCGCGTGAGCACTTTACCTGTCCTTCGAGTCTGTATTTGATGACGCCTTGTTGTACTGATTCAGCACAGAAGTCATGTTTCCTCAGCACCACAGCAGTTACAATGGTAAATCCAAACGCCGAGAAGACCAAAAAAAGAGGCACGAAAAATACTCCAGCAAGGACAGGATTGACAGAAGTCATCATGTAAAGGTTGTAGTTCCCAACCGTCCCACCCAGCAGGAGAGCCGCAGATGTCGTTAAGCTGAAGCACACAAAACGAAGAAACTGACCTGCATAAGGGGGATGCATAAATGCAGCTGTCTTCGATTATGCCTGCTTGTTCCTCTTCAGTCATAATCCACGGAGGTGCACGCAAAAGCAAAGTTCTGAAGTGGAGCTACCATCGCCGTCATTGCGTGGACCTGCCTTTCGTAGTAGCCAGCAAAACTCCGAGTGGCAGTGCCAAATGATATGTTTCCAAGAGAGACAAAGACGAGGACGATTGCCAACATTCCTAAGCTCGATGCCAGTATGTAGAACTTGACTTTGCGAAATGTCATTTGTAATGATTTAGTTCCTATGCCTGCAGTAGCAGGGATCAATCGGGTTATCAAGACGCACCCTGATAAAGCGGTGACAGAACCAAATATAATGCATGCTTGTTGGGAGACGTCGTTTGCACTGAACAAATTGTAGTAGCTGTTGACCAACTGGAAAAACTCTGATTCGCTAGCTGCACGGGGTGCTTCCAAAGTATTGTAGTATCCATCAACCCCTATCGTTGTTCCAATTTCGGGAGCTAGAAGTGCAATGACTTGTGAGGCAGAAAAGGAGGAGAGAAAGCCAAGCAGCACAAAAAGATGGAACAGCAGAAATATCGTCCAGCCTCCTTTAAGCCAAGATTTGAAACCCAACCGTTTCATTTCCACGAATTCGCACAGTAGGTACAGAAGCAGGAATGTCAACATCAAGCCAAGTGATGTGTACCGCACCAGACCGTAGGATTGTGCCGAGAACGGCATCAATGACGAGACTAACACCAGAGGCCTCTGAACTGTGCCTGAATACGCACGCATCGGGAAAGAAAATGGGCTGCAGTGCCGGTAACCAAAGTCCACTGCATCTTACCTCCGATATTAAGTTTGAACCGTACCTGAACTGGTGAAGGCAAATAGGACAGCGCAGTGCGCGAACGTCTCCGTGATCGGGTTAATGGCAAAGAAGTCAACTACAGTTGAAATGGTCCGACGATCAGCAATTACTGGAAGCGGGACAAACCAAGGAGGGTAGCGAGAAGGGGCCTGGTTTTGTTGCAGTGCATTTTGAGCTGCTTGCATTGAATCTGCGGTAATTCATAACACACTACTAATCTCCAAGTGACCCATGCACAATGGAGATTACGTGTGGAGAATGGACAGCTATCGTGCATTGGCATTGGTGGTACTTTCCAGTGTTCATGCAACGCGGTTTACCTTCGCAAATGACTTGGTAGTGCCCCCCTATTTTATTAAAAGCCTTGTCATCCCCAACAGCAGCAAAAGGGTACGAGTAGGTGAACCTCGACCCTGATGGATTTACCAGGGGGTTGTCGGACCGCAGTCTTGCTGCTGCGATTCTAGAGGCGGCACCTGCCGTCGTTATGGGCCAAATACCATCATACCCGAGATCGAATCCATCAACGTTTTCCAGTTCAACCTGTACAGAAAAGTGGTTCTGACAGAGTAGGCGCCTCCGTGTGGCACTGGTCGCGTAGGCGCCTGCACTGTGGGCCCCACTATCCAAAGCGTATGTTGAAGGCTCATGGGGAAAATCAAGAACAGCTACGTACACGAAAAACGAAAAGTAGAACGAGAGCTTGTGTGTTTCCAGCAATGGAATACAGCTAGCTCTCTTCTTTCTTTTCAACACACCTGCCGAAAGGTTAGCCTGAAACAGTTGCCGACAATTCTTGCACTGCCCAAGTTACTCGTCTGTGATGATGGTCCATACAGAAGCGGGATAAAACCGTAGAGGAGCCAAGAAGCCACTCCTGCCTTACTCTTCAGCGTAAGGATACTCTCCGACGTACCCGAATCCTGAACAACAGCTGCTGGTGCTGCAGATGATATTTGTTCAGCTTTCGCCACCTTATAGCTAATCGAGTTGAAACTGGAAACCGTGGGTGCAAGTGCCGAGTTCAGCGGGGATGCAATTCCATCCGTTGTCTCGAATATCTTAGTGATCTCCAGAGCATGTGATAGAAAAAGAAGCAGCATTGCAAGATAGAGTAGGGAAATGACGAGCTGAGCAACAGATTGTCTCTTCATGAGCAGTTGCTGGACTTCTTCAACGTTCCTGGCGGAGTCTTCAAATCGAATGGGGAAAAGCTTCCTCCTGAACATATCCCTCCTTAAAAGTGGGGTCTGCCCATCTAGTACGTTTCCAAGACCAATTTGATCCGGGTCTTTTAGCAGAAGCCGCCTTTCGCAATGTTTCTTCTTTGCATTGTAGCCCACATCAATCAGTTCTCTCTTCCGTACTGATGAGCTGACAGGCCCATCAAATGTCTTCTGGTCCCTGATCGCCGAAGTTGCAGCTATGTTGGCTTCCCCCTCCAACTGTTGCTGCTGCGTCAGCTGACTTAACACGTTGTCCAAAGCACCGTGGAAGCGGGCGCCATGTTTCCGCGTCATGGTAAGCTTACACAAGGGGAACAGTAATAAGCGGACTGGAAGAGGCATAAATTGAATTTACTGGGATGACAATTGGAAGCCAGCTCCTCAGAGACGACAGCCGACATTCGGCTGCCACCGGCACAGCTGTGACGCCTTCTGCGGGTCACCTTCTCCGTACTACCATGATCATGTCCGCAAGTTTCAAAACGAAGCAGAAGAATGCACCTGTGTAAAATTAGCTTAAAGAGGAGATTGCTGCAAGCCGAACCTTTTTCGAAGCCACTGAGCTTTAGGGAAGGCACTACATGAGTGCTCAGGGCGCTCCGCCAGTGGTCCACGAAGCGCTGGGGAAGGTCACACGGCATTTCTCCTCCCCTAAAGTTCTATCTACTTTCCTGATTTACTAAGAAGAACATTACGCAGCTTCAAGCTGGGTAGAAGGGCCCCTTTCCCTTATCCGTTATCATCCGTCAAGCACTCCTGCACATCGACACACTGTCGATGTGGCAATAGCCTACTGTTCGGTACGAGGAACCCCATTTCAGATGAAGCCGAACGCGCTTCATATCTGGACATCTACAGAGTTTGCATTAGTGCTGTAGAGTTCGCGAAGAAGCTTTGGTGAACACCCCTGATAATTGCGCATACTGGCATGGCTGGCGATGGTACGCCGGTCCCCACTGGACTGGCTCACAGCCAATTGGCAAACATGGACAGTGAAATTGGTGATCCTCTCTGTAAATGCTATACGAATGGTGGGTAGGGTCATATGGACTGCTCTGCGGGCTGTTTTAATGCTGACCCATCTGACTGAAGGACGTTGGGGGGCATCTTCGACGGAAAAGATCCGCCTTTGCTGCCGTCAACAAAAGCACGATGCATTTGCATGCTAAACAATACTAACTGGTGCATATTCCAAAGGAAAGAAATGCAAGTGCAACAAACACTCATCCGGACCAGCGAATGTACATTTCAACACAACGGGGAAGGTTAGGCAGGTAGTAAGGCTCATTATCGTGGGAATGCTATCAGAAAAGCCGAGGCACCGTTGCATATAAGATGCGTGCTCCACTACTCGATTTGTCCACAAACTGCTCAACAGTTGCAGATGAGATGCACCTAAACAGGCCAAGTGGTGTGCTCAACACACAGATGTGGAGAAGTCTGTATGGCAATAATATATTCCAGTATACATATGAGTCCTTGCCTACAGCGCGTCGCATGTGAGTAGCTAAATTCTGAATATGGGATATACAAGTGTCATGTCCTTCAAGAAAAGAGGGCTTTCCCCCTACTGCAGCATGAATGCTCCATACGAAACAGCTTCTGACGAGTCCATGCACACTACCTTGGATTTTCGCCGAGGAATGCAAGAACTCAAAAGCGTGCATTGCCACATACGAATCGTGTATAGAGTGGCGGCCATCGGCTTGGAAAGATTGCCCAGTTGCAGAGGTTGTCAGAGCGTGTGTGGTTCCCTTTCAGGACAGCAGGCTTGATTACTTTCCTGCAATGGACGGCATGCTCGCAGGGGTCCGTCGGTGCGTGCTACAATGTGTTACTTTCCGGGTTCCTTAACTGTAGTGGCATCGGACAAAGCCTAGACTGGGTGGAGTCGGAACAAGTCCGATAATTTCCTCAGCCGTGCTGCTTCATGCGAGGTCAAAGCTGTCTAAGGTTTATAAAGCCCAGGATAGTTCTAGTTCGAAGCAAGCCATGTATGCTCAAGCTGCTTATTTTTGGCTATTTGCATTGGGTGGAAGCCCGATATTTCAAACGTAAGTGGATCATGTACGGTACAATCATTTAACATTAACAGAATCAGCTGACAGATGCAATACTTCTCCAAAAGGCCGCACAATAGATTGTCAATATGAAACTGCTGCCAGGAGCCACCACTGGTTGGGACCAACAAGGAACTAAATGCGTGAAACTATCTAGTGTATTGCTAGCGTGGTTTCCGCATGGAAGCTGCATGCCGGATCAGTCTATCACTTTCAGCGTGGAAGAAGGCGCCTCAGACGACGGCACGGAGAAGGGCCAATATGACCTTCTAGTGCTTGGGGAGGAACACGACAGTACTGTCTCCTGCCCATGTACCTCTACAGGGCAGCTGGCAGTTGTAACGCGGGTTTTGGGTCTTTGTCGATGAATATCGCGAGCCACAATGGACCAGAGGTACTCTAGAGTTACTCAGATACAACTGATATCTCTCAGCCGTTCACCAGCGTCCTGAGATCAGCGACTGGAGTTCCGGGAGTTGGGAGAGATTAGGCGGCCTGCAGTGAGTTGCAACGCACCTTGCTGCAACTCAAGGTGCGAAACGGCCTCGCAGACAGGCACAATCAAGCCTTCTTGGCTGTATGTACAGACACTTGAGGCAGTTTTTGCCAGGTTTTGTTGTCCTATAGTTTGTCTGAAAGGGTCATCTGGAGGTTCATGCGCCCGCTTGACAGAATTGCCAGTTGCACCACTGCTTTACGCCACGTTTTGTTGCGTAGTAGTTTCCGTATGGAAAACTGTAAACATGCAGTGTTCGTCAAATAATGAATTGCTTTCTGTCGCTAAAATACCCTTAAACTCAGCCGAAGTTAGCTTCCTTCAGCACACTCCTCAAGCACACGGAAGAAGGTCGTGCAAAGCCGAGGCATCTTACTGCCGCTACTGGCGTTTTGTCGATGTCGTAACAACTTAAGCTGGTGCTTCTGCCCCTGGCCCGCCAAAGAACAAAATAACCCAACATATATTAAGGCAAAAGCATAGCAAACAGTAAACGTAGATGGTCTGTGTGTTCTTTACGTGCCCCCAGCTCCATGAGGTCACGGTTGAACTCACAAAATTCATTAGCACCATTGTGGGTTAACACATCTGGTCAACTTTCACTTCAGTGGGCAGGAGTGAATTTGGGCACAACCTGGCGAAATACTAATGTGCTGGGTCTTGTAGGCTTTGTGGCTGGAATGGCCCCGCGCAGCACACACAGGGACCGGCTCCGCTCGCTGCTGGCACCCGCCGCGGTTGATTCCTGCAGGTCCCTTGCTTTTCAGAATAGTTGTGGATGAATTCATTTACTGTTGTTTGCTTAGTTATGATATCTTATTTTGCCATTCACTCTCTTTCTTCTTTCCTGAGTAGATTTCGGCCTCCCCAACACATACGCAGTCGCGGTCCAGTGGTCTGCCAGTGGTCCCTCAGGCTGCTAACCCACACTGAAGCGCGTTTCCTGAGCTGTGCTCAGCAAGTACGTTTTTGTTTCACATGAATGTAGGTGAAGCTATTTGAAATTTTTGCGTTAGTTCGTGGAGTGCCGAGGTTAGAGCCTTGTAACCACGGCAAGATGGCGAATCCACAGTCGAGGAAGACTGAAGCTCCTGAGTGGTTGGTCGAGCAAATTAAGAAGGAAACTGGTACCTCTCTGGCTGACATTGAGAAGGAGTGGGCAGTGCAGCTAAATGCCAGGCATGACCAGTTGAGGACTCTTGAGCGCGAGGGTCTTACAACTGCAGTACGCTTTTTCCAGAAAGTCGCAGAGGAGGGCCCCGACCGGGTGTTTTTGGTTTACGGAGGGGCGAGTGAAGGAAATGATGATGTGGATAGCTGCACACAGTGCTGCACGAGGGTCTTGACCTACCGCCACGTAGATCATGCCAGCAACAGCGTCGCAGCGTGGGCAACCAAATTAGAGGGTAAAGGACCTACCAAGTGTTGTTCTTGTGAGATTAAAAAGAGTACTCAGTCGTGTGCAGAGTGCACACGCAACTCCCATGTAGTTGCCTTGATGATGCACAGCAGTCCAGAATACTTGATAGTGTTGTTCGGCCTCTTGAAGGCAGGTATCACTGTAGCGCTGTTGCATCCTCAGCTTCGAGGGTGCCTCTTGCGCAAGGCGCTTGCAGAGGCAAGTGCAGAGACGCTGATCTGCGACGACCTGACTCTCAGTTCCATGAGGACAGCGTGGCTGAAGCCATCTGGAGAAGAAGCTGACGCGGCGGTGGCTGCTGTTCGTCTCGAAGACGAAGGGCAGCCCGGCTCCTATCCTTGCTCTGTGTACGTCTGTGGACTAGCAGATGCGAAAGAGCATGACGGGGAGCACAGCCTTATTCCCCACGTGCACAGTATTGTAAAGGAATTCCTCACAGACGAAGAAGCAGCGCGGCACAAGAACACGGACATACAAAAGGATGGACAGCACAAGTGCAAGCCCTCTGGATTCCCACTTTTATTGAAGGAGCCGCTACGCAAAATGGTCGGATCCCTTTCCGAACGACCGGCTGGGGTAGGCGCACATTGCGCTCATATGTCCCTCCCATGTTGCTGTCTATATACCGCCGACCTCAAAGGGCACTTGCGTGCGACGTGGGTTTCGAACAGCCGTTTCCTCTCTGCAGGTTTTTGTTGGATGCAAGCTGTGGAGTTGACTGAGTCTGACCGTCTCTTGCTAGGGGTGCAGCTGTCCCATGAGGTGGGGCTCCACGCTCTAGCAGCAGCAATTGCTTGTAGAGGGGCCTTGTTGCTGCGGTCTCGGAGCAGCTTGCTCAGTCTATGGCCTGATGTCAAGGCCATGGATGCAACTATTCTGTGGCATACGGGGATGATGTGGTCCCGGCTGCTGAAAGCCCACGAAAGCTTCCAGGGGGGTGACGAGGCGCAGCGTTTGGGCTCTTGGAGTGGCAATCCCCAGCTGCGCGCTAGCATAGGGACGGGGCTGGATGGGGCACTGTGGCCAGTGGTGAAAACGGTTTTCAACATACCCCGCCTACTCGAATTCTACTCTCCACGGAACCTTCAAACTCCCCAAATCCTTTTCAATGCTTGGAACATGCCGGGGGCTTGCGCTTTCGTGCCGGACTTCGCCTGGAATTCTAAGGAACTCGAAAGGATCGTAGAGTTCAATGAGGAAACTAATGAGGTCTACAGGGACCCTACAACCAAGAGGGGCAAGGAAGCCAGCCGAGATGAGAAGACGCTTGTCCAGAGAGGTCAGCTTATGCTTTCTTGGAAACCCTAGGGGAATACAGCGTGCGTGCGGACAACCAATGGCTTCCCTCATCTTACGTATGATTATTGTGATAACCTATCTTGCTCAGGCGAGCTGGTGTCCCACATTGACCCTGAACACGGCCTATGCCTCTTTACGAACTACGGTGAAACTGAGCAGTTTCTGTACAGAGACCTCCTGGAAGCAGGAGATCTCTGGTGTCGATCAGGGGATATAATGGAGAGGGACGCTGCTGGATTCCTTTATCTGTCTAAGCGCATAGGTACGTTCGCCGTATTGTACGTTTCTGGGTACTCCCCATGTACGTCTCCATAGCCGCAGCATGCCATGCACTCAGCCGCTCCCATCGCCACAAGTGTCGGTGAAATAAAGTCGCTGAAAGCATTATCATCGAAATGCAGGGTCCCTCAGATCGATATGATCAAATTCGTTCCCTTGTCTTACAGGGTCCAGCTTCTTCATTGATGGAGAGGCGGCGCCGGTGCACGAACTGGCAAAGTCGCTTGAACACGAGTCCGGCGTTCGGGAAGCACACGTAGAAGGGCTACAGGTGTTCGCGAACCCGCAAGCAGAGGATGAAGGAAAAGTTGAAGAGGAATTGAGAGAGCAGCAGGACGGTTGGCCGGGGACAGTCTTCAAACTATTGCAGATGGGCCAGCATCGCCACAGGCTTAAGGTAAGGAGTCTCCACTCCGTGTAACGAATCTCTGTGTAACGAATCCTTTGTTCACCTTGCAGTACATCTAAAAACAGACGAGTGCTCAGGATTAGGAGCACGTGGTAAGTGCCTGTTTATTTGGCATGCTGTTTTCTCCTGTGTTGTGTCGTTTCAGTGCCTTATTGCTTGCATTCACGCAAAGCTCGAGGCCAGTGAAAAGGAAGGAACCGAAGGAAGTGGCAGCAAGGTGGCAGGCTGTGGTTCCTTAGATCTCGACGATAATCTCGTTGTTCTGGGGGAAGAAAAAGAAATACGCGGTTGGAAAAGGCAAGAGGGGGATCTCGAGGAGGGCCTAGCTATGATTACAGTCCGAGCTTTCCTGCGGAGGATCCGCAGCAGGCTTGACCGGGGCGTCCACTTGGCTATCCGTCCGAAAGTCTTGATGCTATGCCTCTCTGCGTGCTCCAGCGAGGGCTGCGAGCACAAGCAAGAGGTTGTCAGCTGCACGTCTTGCTCTTGCAAGACTGACCAGAAAGAATGCCAGTGCTCTTGCGGTTGTTGCTTGGGCTGTGAGAAGTGCTTCTGTAGGCGGGAGAGCCTGGAGGGCCTCTGCGACCTGGTAGCCAGCCAGGATTGCTGCTCGCCAGGGAGTGCTTGCAAGGTGGACTGCAAGCGTTGTTGCTTCCTCTTCTACGCTGACTCAAACGGCGACGCCTTCGTTCCTCTTACAAAAGGAAGCTTTAGGGAGTTCGTGTGCGAGAGCTATCCGACCTTCGGCCTCTAAGCAAGAGGAAACCCATCCTCCTGTCGGCACTGCGTTATGCGGCATAGCTTACGGGGGGCGAGTCTTATTCTCTCAGCTCACCGAGCACCATTTGAGCGAGCCATAAGGTATTAAATGCTTGTCTTTTGCGTGAGGTCCACCCAGCTTGATTATAGAGGAGGGAGCGATCTGTAAACTCACTTTGGGGTATACGTGTTCGAGAGTGTATGTTGTTCATGTCTAAGTGTTTGGCTCCTAGTCTATGTTCATCGGCGTTCCCTTCACTTTGCACTTCTTTGAACCGAATTGTAAAGGTATGAATGGGTGCGCAAGTCATGTGGCAGACTTTGGCACACCTGCATGCTTATTTATGTCAATCAAGTGGACAGGCAGCGTTTCTCAGGTCATAAACGCAGCGGGTTATTTCGACCGAATTGCACTTGTACCTGCACGTTTGCGAAGTTAGCATGACTCCTTGTAAAGTTTGTCCCATGGAACGCTTGTTAACGCCTGTTGCTAAGAAGTGACCCGCGGCAAACAAAGAGGACAGTTAGAAGGATAAAGGGACGGAATAGCTACGAACGCTGCTCGTAATTCTGTATTAGTTTGCCAGCGCTGCTACGCAGCTCAACTAAATGAATGCTCTCCATCTTGACGGCGAACTGGCACTCGTATCAGTTGGTTTGCCTGGGCCCAGCTACCCCTATGAGTGTTGCACAAGGGCAACTCCGCATTTGTTAAATTAGTTGCCAAAATATATCCAAGCATTCCAACGACACAAAGCCCTCGCTAACTCTACAGCGCCCGCGGACGCACAGCAGCAGCAGCACAGCTGCCGGAGGCTAGTTTCCATGGGTAAGGAAATACAGAATTGCACAGCAGCAGCAGATGGTGCCAGTAACGGCGGGGCTGTGGTGCCGACAATCACTCTCCAAGTCCCGCGTAATGTGTAGACCGACTGAGCCTTTACTTCAATAGCTAAACTCTTACTTCGGCTTCACAATGGGCGTTACAAGAAGAACTTGGTCTCTTTCAAGATTGTGCGCTGGAGGGTGTTGGCTTTGATGCCTAACTTCATACGCTGATGTTGCCACTTTCGTTGCTGCTCGGCCTCTCGACGCCACGCCAACCGGCGCTGTTGCGGTTGCAGCAACGGACGTTTAGGCTGCTGCAGAGAAAACTCGCCTCCCACCATTCGAAGGTGCCTCTGCAGCTTCTCCCGTTTGCAGAGGGCCAAGGACTGTTTGCGTATGTCTAGGGCATGCTCCGGTGGGACCTGCCCAAGGCAGTGCACAAAACCACGCGTGCATTCCCATTTGCGCAACTGGCTGCAGTAGCAGATATGTAGAACAAGATCAAAAGAGCACACCGGCCTAACCAAAAGAGCCACTATGTGGGCCTCGATAGAATGCAGCACAAAAAGGTGCCAACAACCGGAATTAGGAATCGCAACAGAATCAACCAAAACAAACGGAAAAGGCGTCCGCAACAAGATACAACTTACCCCAGCCATGTCCTGCAAAACACACTGCTCAGCCAGCTGAGGCCCGAAGCGGCGGAGGCGTTGCCGACAAAAGATGGCATGAGAGCGATGCAGAACCCTAAGCCGAAGAACAACACAACGCCAGAACCCTAAACCCTCAACTTACAAAATACTCAGTACTGGCGCGGCTGGCAGATGAACCGCTCAACGATGCACGCAGCCAAGACTCCATAACCCTACACCTACACCCCGGGGAAGAACGCGAAACCCTCCAACGTACTCCTGGCCGTTGGGAAGCTGCAAGTGACCCTCGTCTGTCACGCGAGCATGACGCCATCCTCTGCAAACAAGTAATCAGCCCAAAGCCTTAAGTCCTACCAACACCATAAATCCTTAGCCCCAACTTCCAGATTGTGGGGGTATTTCTCTGAGGTGTGGGTCCCTGGCTAGGCGAGCGCTTGCTGCGATGTGTATCGTCATCTTACACAAACACACAGCACATATTGAGCCGCTCTACCTGGCTTTTAGAAGTGCCTCTAGCTTCTGCTGCTCAGAGGCAGCAGTTGTGCCATTTCCATCGTCGCTGCTGCAGTCCTCCCACTCGCTCTCTTCCTCCACTGTAATTTCCGCCACTTCTGCATCACCTGCTACTTCGGCTGGGTTGCTCTGTTCGCTGCCCTCGTTGCTATGGGCCTGCAGCTGCAGAGCCTTGGAAGCACCCAGCCGTTCCAGGAGCTGCACACCGCAAATCAGCTCACGTCATAGTGCTTCTTTTCACGCCTTTTAAGTCACCACGCAGAATACAGTCGCGCAGCCTCGTCTCAATTTCTGGGTCCCGAGTACTTACTTCGTAGTAAGATTTCTTGTAATCATAGAATCTATGCAACAAATCCTGCTGCTCTTCGCTCCATTTAAGCTGGAAGTGCCGTTGCTGCTGCATGTGTTGCATTGCAGCGCGGATCCCCCTGAAACGTTTGCAGCAAAGGAGGCAACGTGGCTGCTGCTGCTGCTCCCGCCATAGGCAACGTAGCAGTCCGGCTGTGTTCACGCAGTATTCTTCATCCGGTATCTGCGGACACCCACAAGTGGTGTGCAGAGAAGAGGAGCAAGTCAAATGCAACTGGTGCGACAACGAAGTGCAACATAAAGAGGGTAACTTATATCACGATCCACTACCCGAGCACCACAACAAACGGCAAGAGCAATGCTTATGCAAATGCAATGGTTCCACCGAACACACGAGGATCCAAAGCGGTGTTAAACCACTTCAGCAGCAGCAGCACTAGGCAGTTGACCTACAAAGAAGCCGTATGCCTTCCTCATATAGTTCACGTTCTCTGCTGCTGAAGCAAAGGCGGGCATCTGCTCGAATAAGTTACACCTCTCAGGGTATTGCTGCAGCGCAGCACGCCAAGCAGCTGCTGCAGCTTTTGCTGCTGCTGTCCTTTCGTCAGTTTCTGTTGCTGCCTCCGCACTACCCTTTTCTGGCCGCAGTTGCTGTTGTGTATGCGGCTTCTTAAGATGGTCCCTGCCCTTTTTATTGCAGCGAACAGCCGCATGGAATTCTGCGGCGGCGCCACTTAGGGTTTGGGGGCCCTCTGATGTCAGCGGTTGGAACGCCCCCAAGGGTCCTTCCCCTTCTGCATACTGCCGAGCCAACCGGAGGAGCTCAATCTTGCGCTCAAACTCATATATAGTCACTACGGGGAGCTGCTGGCTCCGACGACGCATGTTGTACCTGAAATTTACGCACACAGAAGAGGAGCCCGTGCTTAAGCACATACATATATAATATACCCAAAATATATACACGAAGTGTAGGTGCGCCCGACAATGTTTTCGAGCCAGTGTGAATGCGCGGCAGAGCCGATATCGCGCAAAGGAACTCCACAAGAGATGATGCAGCCGTTCCACGGGTCTCCCGGTCTACGTTTTACTGACAAGTGCCACGGCGTCCGGTGATGCTCATTAAAAGCGTGTCTGTCCTGAAGCTCGCAGCAGCAGATTCTACAGGATAGCGGCCCTGGACCTTGGGGTACCGCCACCGGAGGTCGGGGGTCCATCTTTAACCCTCAGTCCTCAATCCTATTCCGTAGATTCCAAACCATACATAAGACGAGCCCAGGCCTTTCGCCAAAGTCAGGAAGAACCAGCCAACCTATAAACTTCACTGAGGCTATTGAATCTAATCTAAACGGATAAACAGGGGATAAGAAAATCGGGCCTTCCTGCTAATTTTTTGCTGATTCTGCCAATGATACCCCTGTTGTTCGGCGAATCGCTTCTACTGTGGGGTGGCATTGGAAAACGCGTCTGAGGTGTGTGATATATATATTGATGCGAGAAGGGTACGAGGATTAAGTTTCGGCGACAAAGCCCCAATTGCTCGAAGTGCCCCAAGCAGAGGCCCTTGCTTGCATGCGCTCTGCTGCTCGGGAGCTGCTGGCGCTACTGGCTTTGTAGTTGCCCTGCTGAGGCCAGCGCTGCAGGAGAGCTTTTTTGAAGTTCAGATATAGCTGATGACACGATAAAGTACTGGAAGAAGCAGGAGGTGTACCCTTGCTGTATCCTATGGCGCAGCAGCAGCAGCTGCGCCTGCAGCAACAGCAGCAACAAAAACGCCGGAGTCTCTCTGGGAAAATTGATGGCGGCACAGAATTCCCTTATCAGGGTTTCTGCTGTTTCAGGCTTTTTATGGAGTGACTCGGGCGAATGCAGGGGCAACAGCAGCCGTTGGTGTACAGGCAGCCGCCCAACGCCACGCAGCAGCTGCAGCATGTACAACATGTCCCCCAGCACCTGCTTCTGTAGTTGCTGCGACACCAGAACGAATATAAGTGGCACTGCACAGGCTGCTGCATCTGCAGGACCTGAACACGAGCTCTCTAACCCCTCTGTCGCAGTAGGTGAAGCACCTGTTGCTGATGCTGCTGCAGCTCCTGTTGCTGCGGCTGCCCTTATTACTGTTAATTCTCAGGCTGTACCATTGACACAGCGCCGGTTAAGCACACTCCGTACCCCCCACACGCGTGAAACTGACGATAGCTCAGGCAACTGTTATTTGCCTTGTCTACCCGTCAGGGCGGCAGCAGCAAGGGCCTCTGCAGCACCCTCTACATGTGAGGTAGTCAATGCCACAAAAGCAGCAACAGTTGAAACAGCAGGACCGCAGCCCTCTAGCGAAGGGTTAGCAACGTCAACAGCAGCAGTAGATGTCCCATTGGGGCAGGTGCCACTCGCGTGGCACTTGCACTGGAGCAACTTTCACGATAGGAGACTTAGGCACTGCAGCTGCAATATATTCAACGATGGCGGCAGCAATGGGAAGTACGGAAGTGGCAACTACAGGTGCAGTCAAAACATTCACGACGGCAGCTACTGCACCGGCGGGAGCAGGTGTTTCAGCAGCAACAGTCGGAGCGGCTCCACTGTGCACCGGCTACCTGTCAGCAGGACGTGTTATGCTGCCTGCAGAAGCAGGCCGGCTGCTGCTTCTACGGCGTCTGCTGCAACATCTGGTGAGCATCAACCAGCGGTGGACGGTTCGAAGAAGCACTCAGACGTGCGGGAGCAGCAGTTGCTGGAACGGCAACACTTGCAGAAAAACGAGGAGGATGACCCGAGGATGTTGAAGATAATGCGCACCCATGCGTTCCTGCATCTTACCAGTGGAGCTGTGGCAGGTGAGGGCTCTGGAACTAGACAGGCTGCAGTCAAAGCCGAATACCTCAGACCCTATACGACAAATTGTAAAGCCATGGTGCTTCAGCGCAGACGACACAAGGACCGTGCATTTTATGGTGTTGGGCTTTCGGCGTAGGATAATGTAAAGTTTGGGTTTATGGTGTAGGATTTGGGCTTTGTGCTCTTAGGTGCCGTCTCTCGCACCGCCACAGCCCCGCTGGACCGCCTGAAGGTTATGCTGCAGTTGCAACCGTTTTCGGTGCCGTTGAGGCAGGCTGCTCGAGTTATCATGCAGCAAGAGCTGTCAGGCAAGGCTTCTGGGGTAGGTTGTGCATCTACTGCTGCCGTCGTTGCTGATGCACTAAGCAGCAGTAGCAACCCTAGAAGCAGCAGCAAAAATCAAAGGTCTCCGCAAACATCCAGATCAGTTGAAAGGGGCCCCTCGAAGCAGTTTCAGCAGCAGCACGGTGTGCGAGCGGATGTGCGGTCTGCATCAACAGTAAGAAGCAGCAGTAACGGTAGCTGCTGCTGCAGCACGGGTAGCAACAGGATGAGCAGCAGCGGCCACTTGCTGCTGGGGGGTTGGCGCGGTTTCTTTAGGGGGAATTTGACCAATTGTTTGAAAGTTGTGCCGGAGACAGCCGTCAAGTTCTACAGCTACGACATCTGCAAGCATGCGTTGGCCCACAGGAAGCAGCAGCAACAGCAACCACAGCAGCAGCACCAGCAGGGGGAACAGGGGGAGCCTCACTTGCAGCTTTTGGACAGGTTCCTCTGTGGAGCAACGGCGGGTCTGTGTGCACAGCTCCTCATTTACCCCATGGAGCTCGTAAGCGCCAGTCCGCGCATCATTCAACCATCGACCGCCATAGGGTTTGTGAACGCTGCGGGCGCAGAGTTTAAGGCTTGTGGTTTATTTCCGGCTGTCGAGGGTTTACTGTGTGCGTGTATGTAGGTGAAGACTCGTCTAGCAGCGTATGGCCCGGGGTGTATGTATACCGGAGTGCTGCAGTGTTTTAGGGCTATTTACAAAGAGGGTGGCTTCCGGCGGCTGTACAGAGGTGTGGGCCCGTCTTTGCTGGGCATTATACCGTATGCAGGAATTGACTTGGCTGTTTTTGAGACTTTAAAAGAAGCGTATGTGCAAAGAGTGATTGTCCCCAGACAGCAGCAGCAGCTGGACCAGCAGCCGCTACAATTGCGCCCGACGTGCAACAACTGTATCTCCGAGACCTCCCCTGGGGGGATGGTCCCCTTTGCCCCTGGTGCAACAGCAGCTACAGGAGGTGCCCCATTCGCTTCTGGGTCGTCGCGAAGCCGCTGCTGCTGTGATGAGAGCAGCAGTAGCAGCGGTTTGCCCCCCGCGTCGCCTCCTGCTGCGGTGCTGCTGTTGATGGGCGGCTGCAGCAGCCTCATTGGGCAGGTCCTGGCATATCCTACGGCATTAGTGAGGACGCGCATGCAGGTGGACGGGAGCGGGGGCCAGCCTTTGCTATACCGCAGTAGCGCGGCAGCTGCAGCCGCGGCCGTTCGCCAAGGGGGTCTCCGGGGTCTCTACCGAGGTCTTCAGGCGAATTGCTGCAAGGCCCTCCCAGCTGTATCACTTTCATGGATTGTGTATGAGAAGATGAAGTACGCCATAAGTAGCTTTGAGAGGGACTGGAGCCAAAAAGTGGAGCAGCAACGGCTCGCTGCAAAATCCAGGCCGTGATACACGCGCTGCAGCGACCGCAGCTTAGATGCAAGAAGCAGCTGCTGCGGCACGCCCTACAGAAGCAGCCGCTTCAACGGTTGTCATCGCAACTGTGGATTGGCGGAAGAGCTGGGCTTCTGCTCAGTTCCCCTCACGCCTGAGATGCATTTCTGCCGCAGCAGCAAGTGCTGCTGCTGCTGCAGCCTGGGCAACTGTTGCTGCGGCAGCAACTGTTGTAGCTTTTTTCTGGATACACTGCAAAAGACAGTTTGTCGATCTTCGCGCCTGGCACCTAAAGGGCGTACTTCGTAACACACTGGCTGGGTGTAAGTACAATGTTCTTCCACATCCGCACTACAGCTGCCCTCGGTGCAGCAACAGAAGCTCAAGCACACTTTGGTGTCACTCCAGCTGCAGACATCGAAGACCGATAGCATAGCATGCCGGCAATTACCCCGTAGTTGCTGCATGTGCAGCAGCACCACTTACCGCAACCATCCTGCGTTCAATTTGAAGCAGCACGCGGTGCCGCCGCTGCTGCAAATCTAGCAGCAGTCGGTCTCCGGTAGGACCGAATTGTAGGAAGCAATAAACGGCACGAGAAGTTGGTGGCTTCTAGGGAAGCCTAAGAAAAAAAAGTGCTACTAAGTGCAGTCAGTCTGCTGCTGGTCCACTGCGTTGCTGCCGCTGCTGCAGACGCAGCAACGCACGCAGGAGGAGTCCCATGTAACTGAAGGACAAGTTACTGATGTGATGTGCTACAGCTGCAGCAACTGCAGCAACAGCTGCTGCTGCTGTACTCGCCGCCGGCGATACTGCAACCGCTGCTCCGTCTCCTCCTGCTGCAGCAGTTGCCGCAGGTTTTGCCCGCCTTGCTGCAGCAACAGCTACTGCGAATACCCTGACACGGACAAGTTGGCCACAGCAACACCGTGTGTTGCAGCAGCATCAGCAGCACGACGTGCTGCTTTTGCGTGCCACTGCAGTTCGCCGCAGCAGCGGCAGCGACAACGGCGGGGTGCTCATGCTTTCTTGCTGCTCTTGGACTTCTTTGCTGGCGTCTTTTTCGTGGTTTGTTTCTTTATGGCCTTTTTGACCATCTTTGCCTTCGCCGGCTTCGTCTGCTTCTTGCTGATGGTCTTTTTCACCTTGGGTGCTGCTGCTGCTACTGCTGCTGGAGCACCAGATGCAGCACGCGATGTCTTCCTGCCGACAGTGGTGCTGCCCTTTGCTGCAGAAGCCTTAGAGGGCTTCTTTGTCGGGGACTTTTTGGGGGCCTTCCGGGCAGACTTCACACTGGGGCGGGCTGGCGCCATTTTGCTGCTGCAGTTGCTGCTGCAGTTGCTACTGCAGTTGCCGGCGTGAGAGGTGGCCTGTCCTGTGCGTCTGGTGCCTGCTGCGGCTGCAGCAACACCAAGAGTGAAAGAGACAAGAAATTAGAGACAGCAATGAGCTATGAAATGTAATTTTGTTTGTGACGGCCTGACACCGTTGTCTGGGTCGTGGTCAGGGGTGCCGCCGCTGTGCTGCTGCTGCTGCTGCCTGCCCCGCTGCAGCAGCAGCAGCAGCACTGCCAGTTAGCTGCTGCTGTGTCTGGCTAGCTGCTCTAGGGCTTCCTTGTTGCATTAAAACAACAAAGTGTGTGTTTAGAAGTGTGTGTCTGTTCTGTGCCAGTAGCAGCCTGTACACTCCAGGTTGCCTCCCCTCCATTCTCGCTCCCGCAACACACGGCCACTCGTCGCCCCAGCGGTCTCCAGGCCTGACCCCCGCGCATTTTTGTGTATTTCTGCTGTCTTTCCTCCCTAATCTTTCGGATCCATGTATTTTGTTTAATATTAATATGTTTCAACTCCATATAAGCGGATCTAGCAGCCAACGGAGGCGGGCGTTGCCAAGGCACGCAACTGGCAAAGGCACTTGCAATAAACTCAAACGGCCTATTGAAAAAGTGGTACATGCAACGGGTTAATGAGCTTGGTATCCTTCGAGCAGTGATTTAGGGCCTTTCAATAGAGGGGCACTGACAAACCTGGCGCTGCTGCTTGAGCAACCGCACTCAACTATGGCGTGGTGTAGCGCTTGTCCAGGATCGTATATCGTATCCAAGCTATAGTATTCGCTTTACTGGGACCAACGTACTCCTGATGAAAGCTCCTTAAATTTTCGTTAAACGCAACTGACCTCCCTCCCGAGTGTACAGTCGTCCACTGTTCGGCGGCTCAAGCGCCTGTAGCTGCTGAAGATGAGGCGGCCTAATATCAGCTATAATGCACCTTGCTGTAACTGAAGGTGCAAAGCAGCCCCATATACAAGCAGAGAAAAGCCTTCTTAGGTGTATGAGACAGTGTAGACAGTTGTTGAGAGATTTTGCTTGCGTACCGTCTGCCTACAAAGGCCTTGTAAAGGTCCAAGCAACCACTTCAGACAGACCTGGCTGCGCCGTACACGTTCTCGTGTGCCGGCCACAGCTCTGAATATGGCTGTATTGATTTGTAATTCCACCTGTTGCTGCGGACCAGCTGACCTTAGGGTTCTGCTGCTCCCCTCACCCAGTCTCTGTGCAGAATAGCCTCCAGCACATGGACGCTATGATTGCCCGAGTCTGCTGTAGGTATACCCTTGCAGGGGCTGCACTGAAGACTGCTTCTGGATGTAAAAACGTAGGTTGAACACCTCCATAATTCCCTCTGTGGCAATTACCTGTGCTCGTTGGGTCCGCCTCTCGGACGGTAAAAAGCAGATCAACGAAAGTAAGGGCGACCTGGGTGAGTGAACCGTGCGTCTCATTGATACTCGACGACAATCAGACTGTCAAGAGAAGAGGACCTGATGTACACATGGTTGAAAGAAGGTCGCAGTAAACGAAATCACAAACGGAATTGTTGGCACACCAGAGTATATATAATGCGATATTTAGGGGAGTCATGGGATACGAAAAGGCAATGATTACCTTTAACTTGACTGCTCACGCCGATGTCTGCAGCGATTGCTGACGAATCAACGATGGCCTCGAGATGTTCGCGAGGAATGGCTTGGCGCAAAAAGCTCACAAAAGCCCATTCGGATTGCACTTCGCATGAACACTAGACGTAATATTTACATTATTCTTTGGGCACTACGCATTGTTTCACAAATGTTTAACTCCTCTTGTTGTAGCTTCTTACTACGAAGTTGCTGTCCCTTTGCGGATACAGTTCGGGGTTATATCTAACCCGAACACGGAAAGTAAAAGCTCTAGCCAGCTTCGAGTGAACTTCTTTGGCTGATCCCCCTCCCGCTCTCTTCCAAAGGTTTGCAAATCCTCCCCAACCGAGTAACCTAGGTTGAATGCCGCTTCCGAACGTCGTTTACCGTATATTCTAGCCTGACATTGCCGTACTGTTATAATGTGTTCCCGTGCAGCTGCGAGGTGTGGGGATGCCTGCCGCTTCGGGCGTAAGGGGCTGCCTTCCTGCAGATACACGTGACGTCGGATCTGCCAACGGTGTCTCAGTGTAGGCAGGAGTGTCACTGACCAACGAGAGGAATTCTGCTGTGTAGTACCATTAATCGGCTTCACACAAGGGAGTAATCCAAGCCACTTTGAAGAAATCATATGGATACAGACACGCAAATAGTGAACCAGCGTGCGGCTGCTGCTCTCGCTCTGAACGTCTGCCTCCAGATGGTTTGCAGTGGCCAAGATACAATCGATGGTGAGCCGCTTCATGGATTGTCGCCAGAAGCTGCTAATGAACAACATATATATGACATACCTGTCAGTGGTCGTACTTTTGGGAAGGTTGTCAAGCTTCCAGACTTGAATGGTGAATAATTGGGCCACTTCCTCTAGTGTATCCATACTAGAACAGGGGATGAAACCGGCATAATTGTTGAGCATGCCCCCTACGATGTAGATGCTATCGCAGCTTCCAACTAGAAGGCCCGCTATGAGGTTCGTTGAAATGTCCGCCGATGGCCGTTCGGGAACCGGAGTGTTCTGCAGGAATCCAGGTTTGATAGGACTGCTGCTGACTTTCCGGGCAGGTTACGACTAAAGCCCTACTGCCAAGCGCAGGCTTAGACACTAAAAGGGCCTCTCTCTCCAATGTTGTATTGACCCATCCATGGCCTGCTAAAACCTGAGTTTGCAGTTTGAGTAAGGGTACAGTAGGTCGTGAAGCTGAAACGTACAGCTGGAAAAGCCCACGCTCCGTCTGGTACCACAAGAGGTCCCCGCCGATTCTGCAGTGTTTCAAACGTCACCCATGGTCGAGCCTAGCGATAAATACAACCCCATGAGTATCTAAGGAGCCGGAAACAACCAATTTTGAACGACCAGGGGAAACCCACATGCTAGCGCAGTTGCAGGACGCAGTGCCGGACCGGAAATGCATAGGAAAAAATCTGGGTGTTGCCAACGGCAGCGCGGGGGCTAGCATACTTCGAGGATGGGGTGTAGAGCAATCCAGAAAAATGATTAGCGCCGGAGAGCAAGTAAGCGTAAAGATGCAGGCCCCTCTACCCAAGTGATACAGCAACATTCGCCGAAATGCTTTTCTAATAAAAAGTGCTGCGCTCTGCTAGAGCACGCCTAGAGTTGGCTTCGCAAAGTTTTGGCGGGAGCCGGAGACGCGAAGGACGAAATGCTCTGAAGGTGCGTTCCCCTGGCAAGTTCATAAGGTTTCAGGCCCTGGCCAATTAAACTATTACTTTTGTTGGTTTGTATGACATCTGCTCGCCGCATAGGTCATATCAATCCTAGTTAATTCCCCACAGTTGCCTAGATATTAATGTGTGGAGCGTGCTTGAGAAAATTCCCGTAATTCTCCAAACCTGTTCCAGTGCTGGCTAGACTGCCTGGCTATAAACCAGGCCTGCACGAGAAAGAACATCCGGACATTTCGATGAGGGGTGCTGATTGCCGAGTGGCAAAGAATAAAGGAGTGGTGCTACTACAACATCCGGGTTGCTCTGGGTCGTCATCATATGGACGATATAGTGGCGCTTCATGGATTTTCTCAATGTTGAGTTCATTGTAGGTAATGATTCACTTCGGAGGGTTATGGAGCTTCCATACGTGTTTAGTTAGCTGTTAGGTTACGTCCAGTTGAGGCCTAGAATGACTTGCGTTCCGCAACTTACAGGACGCGGGCACCTGACATATCCAGGAGGGACGGTGCAGATGGCAGTTCCCTCAGTCAGGCCTGTCCCCCCTTTGATTTGAAGTTAAGTGGATTTTCAAATGCTTTGAAATACCAAATACGCCCCTCAATCAGACTAACTTCGGAAGATATGTTGCATCACCTCCTTAGGTCTTTTTGCAAACAGTCTTGACATGACTAGCGAACCCAGCGTTCGAGCAGGAAGATGCAAATTCCTCCCCTTGGAACGCTTGATGTTTGCCCTTTAATGCAAGGAAACTAACCATGGAGACCCGAAGCCGAGGGTCGATTCGCTTTTCCGTTTAGTTCTACCTAGCACTGGGCAGGTTGCTGTATATAACGCCGCTAGGCCCCTTGTGGATACAAATTCTACAAATTCTTGGGCCCTTTAGGACAGCAGGACGTTTCACTGGAGTCAATATCTTCACTCCCCCAATGAAGCCCTAACCTTATCGCATGGCCTCCATACAATATGATGACCATCTTACGAACATGGCATTGCTGCCTTCATTGACTGCAGTGAGAATTCAATGCAATTCAACTCGGTGTGAGGATCCCGGAGCTTACAAGAGAGGAATCAAAAAGGACCGACCAAACGGCCGATGTGCAAATGCTACAGAGCCCGTAGGCAACGCCCCACACAGTCCATGCTGGCAAAGAATGACAGGGGATGCGCTGCTTTATATCTGTTATTACCTCTACTACTGCTGCAGCAACTACTCTAAACCTGCCACTGAACTCCCTACTCTTCCCCTACAAGTGGCAGCTACTGCCTTTGCCACTGCCGCTGGTGTTGCTCTTTTCTGCCGCTGCTGCTGTTACCTCTACCCGTGCTGGTGCTAATGCTGCAGCGCAGCTGATAAAAGCAGTAGGGAGTTAGTCTCAAAGTGGTTACTGCGCGTCTCAACGGGTTTTTATAGACGTTGCGAAAGTAACCATCCTCAGCTTATTGGCAGAGAGAAAGGAGACCGATTCTGCCATGCGATTTTGCTGGAGTACAGCAGTGGGAAAGATACAGCAGAAACACCGCCTGCTACAGCAGTGAGGTCGATGCTACAGAGTTGCTCCTGTGCAGCAGATACCCAATCGTTCCTGCGGATTACTGCTTACAGGCATGGTGATTAGGTCTCCGAGTTTGTAACATGGTACAGCAATCAGTTGTGGAGCAATTCATGTTGCTGCTGCAGCTGCACCTCCAGTACAAGAAACTGATTACCTGCATTAAGGAGTTGTAAAAAGCACAGTCACAGAGATGTTGCCTCTCTTAGCAACAATAGCAGCAACATAGCTTTTGCTGCTGCAGCGCCACCGGCGTTCCCTCTATATGTATGGCTTGCAGCATCCGCGCAGCGCCTCCACCTTAACCGCCTACGGTGCTAGAACGTTCCAGCGTCTACTGCAATGTTACGATGCACGACTGCTTCTCCGTTTGCTATTGTTGCGGCCCCTGCTCCCGATGCCGCTGTTGGCGCTCGAGATGGAACTGCTGCTGATGCTGCTGCGCTGCTTCACGAGCTCCTGTTGCTGCTGTCCTTGAGAATGCGATTGTTGCAACTTTTGCTGCCTCTGTTGGCATCGTGTCGGGAAAATGGGGTTCGCACAAGGAAAGAACTTCCCTAAAACCCGCTGCGGCCCCGTGGTGCTGTCGTTGCTTTTGCTGCTGCTGCTGCAGCTGCTACTTGTCCGCGCCGTTGCCTTCTGAGGATATCCAACACTGCCGCGACTTGTTCGCTGACGAAGTGTAAAACTAGGCGGGACTCGTCTTTGCCGCTGCACCTGCTGCTTCTGTTGCTGCACCCTTGAAACCTTTGCTGAGCCTTGTGCAGACTCCTGCTTAGCGTGGCTGTTGCTTAGTCTCCTTGTAATTCCTGCTCTACAAGCAGCATCCGCAGCAGGTGCCACCTCCGCCGTTGCAACATCAGTCGATGCTGGCTGTGGTGCTGCTTGCCTCCCCGGGGAGTCGGCAGTACCAACAGCGGGCGAAGACGCATCTGGCGTCTGTTCCCCTTCTGCCGCTGACGCCGATGGTGGTGCATCTAGATTGCACGCGGCACCAGCAGCAGCGCGTGCCTTTGGATCTGCCAGAAGCAGCTGCTGCAGAAGCGTGTCGGTGACGAAGCCACCACAGTAGAATAGTACCCGTTCCCAGAGCCAAGGAGACGGCAGTTCTGTCTCCCAACCCTGCAGCACGAGACCGCACTAGCCAAAAACAAGGAAGTGTGTCCAAGCAAAGGCAAAACGGTGCGGAGAAAATCACCAATAAGATGAAACTACGACGTGCACAGGCCGAAGTACACAAATGCACAAAGCGGGATGCAGACACTGGACGCACCAAGAAGACGCTTCGCGCCAGTCACATGCATGAAGACAGCAGCCCAAAAATATCAAATACAAAGCCTCATCAGCCTTCAATTTCATAACAGAGAAATGAGACTTGGGTTTTACAACATCCGTGGACTCCTGACCTGGAGCGGATGTAAATGGCACATGGACTCACGGGTTCAAAGAGACCGCGCTCCGTGGCATACCGAAAAATGCGCGCCAGCAGACAAGCGAAGCCCAAGCCGTGATTCATGTGCCTACAGACAGCCGCATCAGGAGCAACACAGTGTACAATGCGTGATAGACGAAGAAGAATCATCGACGGCGGCACGAGCAGATCTACAGTTTGCAACAGGAGCAGCACCAGCTACACAAGGGACAGCAGCTGTCACATGTACTAGTAAACTTCGCGTCTATAACAAGGCACTAAATCTGGAAAGCGGCGAAGGGTCAGAAGTGCAGGGAATGGCAGCGTTGATGGCAGAGACGGAGAAGAGGGGTCGGTGTTTGTGCAACCTACCGCAGGTGCGCCAACTCGTGAAAGAATATTCCGAGCTGTGTAGGCAGCTGCAACAACTCCTGAGGCTTCTGCAGCTTTCGCATACGGATTCGGATGCAGTAAGACCATTTGGTTCCGTTGCTTACTGCTCCTGTTGCGGAGCGCCCTTGATTTTCGTTGTTGCTGCCTTTCTTGCTGAGGCCCTTCAGCTGAAGTTCATCAAGCCGTTCTTTGCTGCAGAAACACCACGCCAGGCAGCCTCTCCCTACCTGTCTTTCTGCAGAATTGCTATTATTAGGCTTTGGATTCGTGCTCTCAGTCCGAGCGCATTCAACAGCAGCAAAAGCAGCAACAGGAGCAATGGAGGGCATTCGGGTGGTAGGATAGCCGGTGGACAGAGGCAAGCAGATACTGAAGTAACGCAGCTCCCTTTCAGCATAAAGGAAGTACAACGGTCTACTTGGGGCAGGCGTGGAGCTAACGAAGCTCAGGCAACACTTGCATGTTGTTTAGGGGCTTCCGAATGACTGAGCCCGCCTTGCGGTGCAGCGGATGTTGTTCTGCCAAGAAGAAGTAACTGCAAACGTGAGAACAACGAAAGACAGACAATTCAGCGCACGCCCTCCACGTGCTCTGCTGCTTTCAGGGTGTGGTACGGCGAAGTCATCTCAAAGGAAACCCAGAGAGGCAGAGTCACAGCAGGGAGGAAACAGGTGCACAGACAAAAGAGAAACTCGGAAGGGACTCAGGCTTGAAAATGGACGCAGAACGGAAAATGCACAGAGCCCACGGGGGGAACCCGTTGCCGTAGTCTTAAACCTTCAACCATCAATCCTAGAACCTACGGGCCAACCCCCCAACCGGCGGACTGTAGATTCGGAAAAGGGGGCCTAGAGCCAAACCTCATAACCCTCTGTGCAGATTGAGTAATTGTCTACTAAACCCTTTCCTCTGAGCTATGGGCACTAGACATTTTTCTCTACTTTCCAGACCCGAAACCCTTGGCCTTAAACCCCAAACTTCTTCACACCCCTAGATTCACCGGAAGCCGAATTCTCTGCAAAGCGGAACTCCGTATTCGCAGTGGAGTCTATGAATCGACGCGGCAACCTCTCCTCTGTTTTTCAACTCCACTGTAACCCCATTAACCTGCGCACACCAAACACCCTAAAACCTGCACCCTAATCCATACACCATACATATGACTTAAACCCTGAAATCTAAAATCTAAAGCATATGCTCCACAGAGTGATGCGCAGCAGGATTCTGGCTTCGTGAAGGCCCAGTTAGGCTGTTCCTGTCTCTTCACCAAAAGATTTGATCCCGGAGGCAACGCCTGAACTGCAGCCCTTAAATCCCATGCCCCAGACCCTAAAGCCTTGCCTTTGCTGACTTGAAGGTGTAGTAAGACCCCTCGTCCAGTCGGCACTTCCGGGTACTTTTTTCTGTTCAGCAGGTACACAGAGGCATAGAGAGCGACAAAAGACACTCTCTGCAGAGATATTACTGCATGAACGGCGTCCTGAAAACTTTTAAACAATGCATGACATCACTTATATAGACCTAATTAAGCTGTGAGATAACTGAATTAAAGGAATATGGAGACAGGACTACACGAAGCCCAGAGAGGACAAGACCTGACAGCAGCACAGTTGAGGGGACAACGATATGCGTGCGCAGAGACAAATGACTAAACAGCCATTCAAAAGTCCTGCTGCTCTCTATTCGTAGTGCTCTTTCCGCAGTGTGCCACTTCTCCTCAACCGTAAGAGTTCTGCATCCGATACGCTCTCCCCTATCCGTTTAGTGTCCACATGTATGCTCCCTTACGGAGTAGCTGGGGACGTGCAGGTAAGGTGTTAACTGATCGCCGCTGCTGCTGAGAACCCTTTACACGTTGCTGCAACCGTTCCTGCTGCTGCTGCTGTCTCAGTTGCTTCTCCTGAAGCCGAGCGCGGGCCAGGCGAACTTCTTCCGGGGCACATCTCATCGCTCTTGCAGCTGCTGTAAGTGCCTCCGGCGGCAGGTCCGGCGGGCTGCTCTCGCTGTTGCCCCTGTTGCTGACACCAATTAAATACTCTGCAGCTGAAATAGGTAGACCGTATGGCCCTCCTGCAGGTGTCTGGGTTGGCTGCAAGGGTGCAGCAGTAGCAGCAGCAGGAAAGGTGAGGAAGCTGCCTGGGTGCTCATCAGGCCCTTCGTGATGTTGTTGTGTTCGCTCCTGCTGTTGCTTTACTTCCTCGTGCTGCTGGTTCCCTTCGGCCTGCAGGCAAGGTGACGAGGGTTCTGAAGAAGGCGTGGAGCAAGTTGCTGCAGCAACTGAGTGCTGCTGACTGCTGCTGTTGTGGCTGCTGTTGTTGGTTTTCCTACTGCTAGTGCTTATCAAGTAGAGACTATCCAGCGAGGGCAGGAAGTGTCGGCCTCCCCGTGGGAGGGGAAACGATCGTAGGCGGCGTTGTTCACTGGTGTGGCTGCTGTTGTTGTTGCTGCCGCTGCTGGCAGTCAATGAGGCTCTGCTTGGAAGCCGGGACCCGGATAGCCCTAGCTCTATGCCACTGCCACTGTTATTGATGGTGCTTGTATTAGTGGAAGCCAGGGTTCTTCTACTGGGCAGTGCAGCCTTGCAGCTGCTGGCCGTTATTAGCAGACCCCCCCGAAGGAACTGCTGCTTCTGCTGCTGTTTGACTTGGGATCCCCAACTCCAGCGTAGATGCCAATGATTTCCAAAAGAGGGGACAAAGCGTTTGAGCAGGGGTGAAGGCCCTCCACCTGGGGGCTCCTCTCCTCGAGCCTCCACAGGAAGAAGAAGGGATCCCTCCGACATGAGGTCAGAGACGATTGAGGTGTTGCAGAGCTTTTGGCAGCATACTGTTGTATGTGTACACTTCAGACACTAGTGCGTGGGCAGATAAGCGTGGGTTTGAGGTGGTTTGCGATGAGAAAGCAGAGAAATAGATAAAGCGCGACTGCCCACACACACGACCAACGGGTGCCTTCGCAGCCGCCAGCACTATTGCCTACGCCCCATATTTTAGTAGGCTTTAGTGGAGTTTACGGCCTACTCCTTCAGGGGTGTCGTTAGAGGGTCGTGCCCAACAGATGTCGAGTGAAAAGCTGTAAGCCTTAGAGTTAAACGATGAACATTGGCCCTGGAATAAGTTTGTGGCATATGTACACCTTGTGCACCTAGTCCTTTTGGAAGCCAAAGAATATAAGGAGTAAAAAAGAAATGTGTAGCCGGTGAATTGCCTTGAACTACAAGGATTGTAATGGGAACGGTGTCGGGGGTCACTCAATTCGTGTGACTAGAGTGATTGAGCGATGGAGAGTGCGTAAGGGAGGGGAAAAGACAAAACAAACCAAATGAGCAAAAAAACAAAACTAATAATTAACTTAAGACAGAAGCCCATGCTCTGCAGTAGCAGGAGCAGTAGCAGCATCACCAGCAAGACTCTGGCTAGCTGCGAGTCCCCCTCCGAGCATCGAAAGTAAGGGCTGTCTGCTCACATGGCTCCTCATTGGAGGTGTACAGGCACCAAGACACAACAGGTAGAACTTACATGATACGAAACCAGAGTAAAATATGGCAAGGGCAAACTTCATTGTAGGAGGACGGAGTTCAGCGAACCCCGGCCGGCACGCGCAGGTGTACCGACGCCTGAACGACGTCAGCACAAGCAGCAGCAGTTGCCGCTGCTACTGCATACAAGCTAAAATGGCAATCTATGGGGTAAAATTATGGGAAAGCTCAACGTGAAAATCACGTGCACTGCACATCAGCGGGGACAATTGGGATCGGCCAACCCTCGTCGCCAATGGATCACCATGGGTCTCCGTGGGCCACTTAGGGCCACCGGGGCACTCCGAAAGCCACACTGGGCCTTCAAGCACTAGAATGCACCTGGTAGATGTGTTAGGACTATATCGGTAGATTCATCCAAAACGACATGAAGACCTTTATCCAGTGAGTTAGGGGAACTGAGGCCGCCGATGTAATGCAAAAAGGTATGTTAGTCGAGGACCTTCGTGAGCAACGATAGTCAAAACGTTGAGGCAAACGTTCCCCGAAGAACAGCTATAATTCATTCCATTCGCGGTAGGTGGGCATATCACTGGGCATGTGGCTGATGAGGAGGCGGCCTCTGCTGAACCGCAGCATTCCTTGCTGCAACTCGTGCAAGAAGGGCCACAGTCTGCCAGCAAAAAGTGGTACAAGTGGCAGACTTGCTCCTCCCTGCTTCCTAGACGGGTCCAAACAGACTCTCTGCCAATATATGGATCCCTTACCCCGAAACCACATTGCGGTAGCGAAGTTGACGGTGTGGCATTGATACTTTTAGTCTAATGGATCAACGGGATTTGCAAATTTGCGCATTTGATGCTGCAGTGGCAACTCCTAAGGTGCAAAGTTCAGCTCTACTTTTGGGGAGGTGGCAAAGTGAGCAGAGGGTCCAGTCCCAGCCGAAAGCAAGCGAAACCGTTGGGTGGGACTGCTGCTAATAGCAAAAATCTGTGGCATCAAATCTGTAGAGAGGTATCGACTTCTTGGTGATGCACATATGCCTTGACAAGTTTGCTGCAATTGCTCTTTTCTGGATTTGGGGCTCTAGTACAAGAATGCAGATCACTCTGCAGGCGAGTGCAGTTTTCATTTTTTTGTGTTGAAGGTGGAAGGGGTCTGTGAAGTATATAACTTGCAAGCGGATGGGGTACTGCAAAGTGGGCAGGGGAATAGACACTCCGATGCTACTGCTAAACATTTCCGTTTGTAGAGGCTCATGAGGTAATGTAAATATGCTGAATGCAACTGCACGCAACGTCAGTGTGGAGAAAGTCGACTGGCCAGTCAGGTGCAGTCAGGGCACAATTGCCCCTCTTGAGTCCATGGGCAACTAGAGAAGGTAGGCACGGCGACTTTCCATATAGGGTAACTAGTCAAGTTTCTTCTGAAGTTGCTCCCTTGCTTTTCTGGGCCCTGCATTTGTCGTTACAGCGGTCAGCGGAAGGCTAACAACCCAGCGGTCTAATTCGTGGACGACTCTTCACACTGCGGAGACCACGGGGACTATCATTGTTCTGGCTAGGAGAATTGCATTAAAGCCAAGTGCAGATTGATGTGCTTCTTCCAATTATAAATGCCGGTTCTACTGTAAGAGTTTGTCGTCTTGGGCTTCAATTTTGTATTAAAATGCTCAGTGCTTGTCCGAATTTCCCAGCACTTCATCTCTACAATCATGGACAAATTTTAGCTGTAGTTATGTAAATTGTTTGTTAAGCATACAAACGAAGATGCTTTTTAATATAAATTAGTGTCGGGAGTTCAAGTACTGTTCAACAGCAACTCGTGGATTCAGCCCTTCGGGCTGAATCCACGAGTTGCTGGTGAACAGGGACTCCGCGGGCCGGTCGGAACGCAGCCGGCAACGGACAGGGGGAGGCCGGTGGACAAAAACAGTTTTTCCTAGACAAAAGTCAAAAGTAAATCCCACCATGGCATCAGAGATGATTATTCAGGGTAACTGTTGTTCACTGAGCCGTTCGAATGAATAGTACGGTAGACACGCGCAGCCGCCACATAGAAACAACGGGATGCTGCAGATTCCCTGTAGGCAGCCGGCAGAAAAGCGCCACCATTATCTCTCCCTAGTTCGTTGCTGCCTCAAGACAAAACCCTTGAATTTTAATTGTGGCTCTTACGTCGTTATCCCATGCGTTTCCACACTCGAGAATTCGCCCCTTCTTGATGAGCCCCTGCACGAGCCAAGCAACCAGACACCCAGGGAGACTGCCGAACTGTCCGGCAGTCTCTGGCACTAGCTGTTGGATATGAAGTGAAGGAACAATGAAATAGCCCAGCAGTAACTCAATTTTCAGTTCCTCAACATGCAACGCGTGCTTCTTCTTGCGCGCTTCCGCACTCGCTGGAGTCCGTTACTGTAGCCCCTGGGGACGTTACTCAATGGCACAGCGAAGGTGGGCTGGCTTCCACGGGGAGGAACAAGATGTGGTTTCCCTCCTAGCAAATGAGCCCCTAAAATCAAGGGAGGCAGGCACCCGAGCACCTGCTTTTCCAGGGGAAGTCAAACAATGTCATGGGCCCATACCAGCACCAGAGAACATGGCACCTCTAGCTAAGGCGGGAGAGAGCAGGAAGCGCCGGTGTCTAGAAAAACGACTACTGCTAGAAGATCCAAGTGCTTCCAGTCTTGGAGACGTACTTAGAGGGCAAATACCTCTTATGAGGAGGGAAATGTTTAGAAGAAGGCTCTTCCCAATTCGATTTGAGGAATCAGCCAAAAACGTCGAAGAAGTACAGCAACTCCTAAAGCAAAGGCAACCTGTGGGCCAGCTTATCATTTCTCTGTTTTACGTAGGTGTGCTGCTACTCTTCCTATCGTATGCTCTGGAGATCACGAAGATATTCGAAGCAGCAGACGGTATTGAGTCCCCCATAAAATCCGCGTTGGTACCGACGCTCTCTAATTTCAACTCTATGACTTATACGGTGGCTAAAGCTGAACAAATAGGTCAAGCGCCGACAACAATAGGAGCGACACCAGACTCCGGCCACCCAGCCGATATTCTAATGCTGAAGGATAAAGGCGACGTGGCTTCTTGGCTCATTTATGGCTTTATTCCCCTTATTTACGGGCCCTCGTCAGAAACAAGTAGTTTTGGCTCCTCAAGAGTGGTCGGCAATTGCTTTAGACTAACATTTCGTCAGGTATGTGGGTCTGTAATGGAAGAGCGAGGAGTTGGTTGTTGAAAACAAGTGGCTTCGGTGTAACTGTCATTTTATTTTCACGCCCAAGACGTTTTTCTGAACAACTGAGTAGCACAAAGCCATGATCGTGCTCCCAACCGTGATTTTCGTGCTGCAGCTCAGATATGGCTTCTGGGGACCTCTATTTGTGTGCACCATCATCTGCCTAGGTTGAGCTAGAGGACGTGGATGGGTTCGATTTGGGCTATGAAGGAATTTGGCCCATGGCCACGACTGGTGCTGCTTCAAGGATTGCAACAGCGAAGCTGCGGTCTGACAACCCCCTCATCAACCCACCAGAGTCCAGGTTCACCTACTCGTACCCTTTCGCTGGCCCTGGGGAACAGGAGGCCTTTTATCAGAGGGGAGGACACTACCAAGTCATTTGCGAAGGTGCATCTGCGCATAGAAGCGTTTTAATTTTCCACGTAGTCTGGGATATGCGTGGGTTAGATGGGGTGAAGCAGCGTGCTGTGTTTTATCTCAGATTCAATACAAGCAGCTCAGAATGCGCTACAGCAGAACCAGGCCGCATCTCGCTACCCTCCTTGGTTTGTCCCCTTACCAGTAATTGCCGATCGTCGGACCATTTCCACTGTAGTTGACTTCTTCGCCATTAACCCGGTCACAGAGACGTTCTCTCACTGCGCTATCCTATTTGCTTTCACCAGTTCAGGTACGGTCCACAAGCAGTCATAGAAGAGCAATATGTAGGCATGGGATTGCCTGCACTCCTGCATATTTTGGCTCGTTCAAATTGCGTGTTCAGGCACTCTTCAGAGACCCATGGTGTGGATCTCGTCTCTGATACCATTCTCGGCGCAGTCCGATGTTCTGGTGCGGTATATTTCACTTGGTTTGATGCTGGCATTCCTGCTTCTATACTTATTGTGCGAGTACGCGGAATTGAAAAAGTTGGGTTTCAAGGCATGGCTTAGAGGTGGTTGGACGATGTTCCTCTTATTTCATATTTTGGTGTTAATTTGTCTCCTCACTTCATTTGTCGCTGCACAAATTATTGCGCTTATTGCCCCAAAAATCGAGACGACACTGGGGGAAAATGGATATTACATCATTTCGGAAGCACCCACTGCAACCAACGGGGCAGGGTTTTTCCAGCTGATCAGTGACTACGGCAATCTGTTTTTTGCCAATGCTGCAGTGCAGCAGGCCTCCATTGTATTTGGTTCTCTTACAGCACTGACAGGGTGCATTTTGATAACTAGGCTACTTCCTGCCATTGCAGGGCTAGAAACGAAGGCCCTACAAATGGCATTTCGCAAAGTTAAGTTTTACATTCTCGCTTGCAGTTTAGGAATGCTGGCAATAGTCCTCATCTTCGTCTCATTTGGAAACATATCATTCGGCGCCTCCGCTGACAGTTTCGCTGGATACTACGAAAGGCATGTCCTCACCACGCGTGCATGGAATTTACCCTCCTGTAGCTGAACTTTTATTCACAATGCCGTAGTTCCAGTTCCGAAATTTGCAACTGAGTGGTCGATATGCGAAAAGAATGTTGTGCCAGTTCCTCGGTTCTCATCGTTTTTGCACGTTGTGTTTTCCTTTGGCGATTTTCAGCTTAACAACATCGGCGGCTTTTTTGCTGGGCGGAATTCTTGGGAACTACGATGTTTACACTATGGCCTCTGTCGATCCCGTCCTTGCAGGAATATTTTTCGTGCCGCTCTTCCTTCTTTTTTCCGTTTTCGGATTCACATTCCTGACTGCAATGGTTCTGAGAAAGTATGACTTCTGTGCGCAGTCCATAGATCAGAGCCTCATCAAGTACAAGCTCGACGAACAGGTAACAATACGCTGTAATAATGACAAGTTACACTGTCGCCTTCCATGCAATGTGGCAATATTCTCACTAAGTCCGAAAAGCAATGCGTACAGTAATACGAGCGCCCCCGTATATGCCCCCATTCACTGACCGTCCGGAAGCCGCTAACGATCCCCAGTTCAAGTTTGCGGCACCCCACTGTCCCGTCTGTTCAGGGGCTGTTTCGAACACGGTACGAATGGTTAAGATATGCACTTGCAAAGTTGTGGATAGGATTTTGGAAGGCATTGTGTGGATGCCGGACGAAGGAAAGGCTAGAGATGCTTGCTGCAGACGAATTTGAAGACGACCTGCGGGAAGCAAAGGAGCTCAAAGCCATGGAAAAGGCAAAAAAGAGCGTCCGTAGGCGTAAGAAAAGTGGGAGCGACTATTACAGGCGCGACAGCGTGAATTCGCACTCGGATGAATGCGACGATGCCCCTCCTCAATACCCTGCATGGGTGTGGCAAGCGATTGGCATCAAAGACCCTCTCACTCTGTATGATGCGCAGCCTACAGCGGAAACAGGGTTCTATGTGGACCCAGCGAATATGGGTAAGGTATGAAGACAGCATTGGGCTGTGGAGGTCCGTTGCGCTCCGGCGTTCCCACATTTGAAGATTTACACGACTGGGTTGAAGCGTTAATCACCAAGACTGCCATTCATGGTCTCCGTTTGACAATGATCTATCTGGCGCAGCGGAATACACGAGAACATACGGCGTTTTTAGAGAATTCGACGCGACAGACTTCTCAAGCAAGGAAGAAAGCTATTTCACGCCCAACCTTGCGGCGAGTACAATACCTAAAGCTCCAGCACCCTCTGTCGCCAAGGTATTCATTGGTTTAATGATTGGCATTCAATACAGTATTCCAGACTACATGCCTGTTAGCTGAATAGTCTTATCGTTGCACGAAAGGTAAATATACTTTACGCACAGGTCGAAAGCAACACAGCCTGCACGCTCAAGTATTCTGTGCACAACCACCTTCAGGTGTACCTTATGGTGAGGCACCAAATGCAGAAAGACCACCAAGACGCATGGAAAAAACTATTTGTACTAGCCTTTGTTGCAGTCCTAATCGGGACAATTACCCTTCAAGTGAGCGGAAAACTGCGTTTCCTTTTCGGCGGTGAAGGCAGCTCTACAGTCATGCATGGAGCTTCCCTCACACTACCCTCACACGCAGTGAAGAACTCTTCTGTGTATACCGCACGTACGGACGGATGCGCGCAAATAAATGTGATTGGAGCTAGTGGGAATTCCGTACTAGCGATGCCAGTGACAGTTCCGCTCGTGAAAAAACAAGCGGACACGTACATTACAGCTTTGCGGAAGTTTGTCGTGTCCGCTGATGTTTTCATAGTGGAAGTGTCATTGGTGTCTCCCGAATGCCTGCCCATTTTTGCAGCTCTCGGTGGATGATGTAGCAGAAATGCGGGAAATGGCGGGTCTGGCGGTCGCTAGTACGGCATTCCCACTAGCTCCTATCACATTTACTTGTGCGGATCCCTCCCTAGGTGCGGTATACACAGAAGAGCTTTTCACTGCATCACAGCAGCCTGTTGACGCTCTTCAGTTGCATTTGAAACCTTCCAGGACATTAGGATCTGCAGAGGTGAGAATTTCACAGCCTGTGAAATTCTCACCTCTGCAGAGCCTAGATGAGGTTTGAGTTGCAGCAAGTTCTCAAGTTTATGGCCTGCCTTTTTGAGCTGCTGTGTGCTCGTTCCGGTCTGCAGGTGTTCCCGATGTGACTGCTTCAGTTACCTTTCCCACTCAGCCCTTGTTCGGAATAAGCACAGCGCGAGACCTCTATAGTTGGCTAGTTGCTGATGAAGGACTAATGGCCTTCTTAGCTCCCCCCTCTAATACAGCGTTGTTCGGTCAGGCATTCCCACAGCTGACGATGCCAAATGGTAGGGTAATCGCCCATTACTTCAGGCTGTCGGTGTTTACTCCCACAGGTCCAATTGCTCATTTAGGTTTGGCTTGTTCGCATTTGCGCTTGCACATGCCTTGGGCGCTGAGTGGCATGCTATTTTCACCAGTTTCTGTTGGTTCATCTGCAGGGCAGACGTATGAACAGCTCGTTGTCTACAACTGGAACACCAGCGTGACTACACGCTCTGTCCGTGTAATCTTAGATCTCCGCCAGGAGACATCCTTTCCGGTTGAGCTAGGTTTTTCTTGTGAATCGCTTCAATGCAAATACCAGCCCCTCTTCGAAGCTTCTACATTCAAGGAATTCCTGAAAAAACTTGCGCAGGCGAACGTGTTGAGAGATGTTGTCGCAGAGCTGACGCTTCACGTTGTGCTACTGAATCAGAACCAATCGAGCATTCTGTCGGAAGCGTACATAAAATTCTCCAGGAATCGAGGAGGTAGCATTTCGCCGAATTTCTACGTGGAAGCTTTCAATGTGAGTCCCTGTGCACCCACGACGGGCGTCAAACACACGTGCAGAAAGACTTGACGTGAAATGATTTTTCTACTTGACATGTATGCGATTCCTCAGCTGCAGCCGTACTCCACCTGGGACATAACAACAGTTACTATCGTTGCTTTACAAGTAGCTACAGTTACGCTCTTCCTGTTTTTCGGCTGTTCCTTCTTTGTGGAGCTCCACCGGTTGAGGAAGAGCTTGGAGCAGGAGCGTGAAGACTATAGTCTTGGCTTGTGCTTGGGGGTTTTCTTCGTCGATGACCTATTCAATTTATTCGACTTAGTTGGATTCGGAGTGCTAGCAGGCTCAATCGCGGTGTGGGCACACCACGCGCTTGCCGCAACACACTTTGAAGTATTCAATTTAGCAGAGGACCTCGCTACAGCGTCAGCAGCTGCTGCAGCCGGTGGCACACAAGAAGAAGATGGAACTGCAGCGGCTGGGGTGTTTTTCGACGCCGTCAGGTCAACAGCTGGCTCACTGCGCTCCTATGCTCAGCTAGCCGCCGCTATTTTGGCCGTTGCCTTCCTTCGGTTGCTACGTATTGGGCGTAAACGCAGACGCGCAACCCTCATGTTCTTCGCTCTGGCTTCTGCGGCGGAGGAGATGATCCAGGTCCTCATGGGGACGACACTGGTGTTCATTGGCTTCTCCTACTTATGCTTTTTGTCCTTCGGGCGCCAACTGGAGAGCTACTCAACCCTCAAGAATTCCTTCGTTTCCACGATTATGCTGACGACAGGCTTCTTCCCGCTCTCGCAACTTTTTCACGCGGACGCTGCTATGGCCGGGACTTTTGTCTATCCCTATCTCTTTTTTATAGGGACCATATGCTTCAGCTTCTTTTTGTGCGTTCTGCTTCGGTCGTTGGCTTTCCGCTCAGCTGAAATCAAGGCAATGGAGAAAATTGGAAAGGTTGAACAGTCTTCCCTACTGAAATCCCTGCAACTTTTTTTCCAAGAGCTCTCTTGCAGATTTCAACCTTCCGATGAAGAACTTGAGGCTCAACAAAAGGCACTGGAGGTGGAACACCTGCAGCAGGAGGACGCCGATGCAACAGCTTTCGGAAAGAAAACTGCCAGCGACCAGCAGGCGGAATTTGAACTTTTACGCGTGACCGAGCAGAGTGAACGCAAACGAAGGGAGAGACCCCTAAAAGTGGTAGAACAGCCGCCAGATGTGGTAACAAGCGCACTTTCAGACGAACAGTATGCAGCTTTGCCTGGAGAAGTCCATTTCTTCGCAAACCAGGAAGTGGCCTCCTTCGTGGACCGATTTCGGCTGCTGGCAATGCAGTTTCGGCTTGGCAGTGGTGACGTAGTATCTCTGCTACAACAGCTAGAAAATGACGCGTATAAAGAGTTATCAACGCTTTCTCGTGAAGTGGCTCAGCAGGAGGGCCATCTGCAGCATGAATTGTCAGTATACACTTCTCGGGTCGTCAATGGGCAGCAGCGCCTCACAGGCTATATCAAATTCCTCGAACAGGCTTTGCAAGACAGAGAGGAAGAGCTTCAACTGCAACTCCAAGAGCTGAAGCTCATCGAAACCAAATTCGAAGATGAGAAACAAGCTGCTGAAAGATACAGAAAAAAGCGGTGAATCCACTTGGAGCAGCGCACCAGAGACAAACAGGTTCAACGCAGCTATGCGCGTGCCTTGGGCCTCCATCTTGGTTTGCCGTGCAGTGCCCCTTAACAAGATGGCAAACCGAGACGCAGTGCCATTTGGAATGAGGTACCGGCACGCCGCCGTCTACCTTTCTGAGGTCTGGGGAACAAGGGACGGCCCTTGTAGTTCCACCTCCAACACTACTCACAAGGCGCGTTTAGCTTAATGCCCATTTAAAAGCCTTATGCATGTATGGTAGAACCATCGTACATCGCCGTATAGCGCCGTAGCCCGCTGGTTAACTAGAAACATTCGGTCCCAAATCTGCTGCTCGTTTGTTTAAATAGGCGTCAGAGGAGTTTGGTCATAATGTGACTCCACAGTTCATTAATTTCCATGCAAGTCCGACCGTTTCATCATACGTAAGGAATGAATGCCGCAATGGTAACTCAGAAGCTCTGAAACTGCAATGCCGATGTGGCCAAGCTAGGAACACGTCATGCCACGTAGTTGTATTGTGTGGGTTTGTCCTTGTCTCTTTCCAAAAATTCCCTTGCAATCAGGTCCTGTATTCTCTCCTTCAGAAGCTTCGGGGGCGGCTGGAAGAAATGCAGTTGGGCCATGACCTCTCCTACTAGCTGCTGGTGTGACAAGCTCTGTTCAGCAAAGAAAAACAGAATTAACATTCAACAACTAAGTGGTTCGTCAAACAGTTATGCGCAAACACACTGCACCGAAAAATGTCACTGGCAACACTGGTAATGGGAGCTAATTTGTAAGGAAACTTACCTTCCGTGTTTTCATAATACGCACAATTGCCGCGTCAACGGTAATTGACCTGTCCTCCTCAACACGAGCTGCGCCAAACTCAGGGAGGCACAAATGCTCTGCCATGCAATCACTCGACAAGATAATAAACAAAACCTACCCGTCGCTGTGACATCAGCCTACCGTCACCTGGCCCTTAAAACAGATTAACCCTGCTACTCCCAATTTCTCGACATTTGTGTTCACCTCTGCATTGTGTTTCTTCCTGCACGGGGGTCGGCAGCTTGATCTTTCGATGAAGGCACGAAAAGTTCTCATTAACCTGAAACATGTCGTTCTCAACCTGCGGAAATGCGTCGACAACGCTGCACGCAAGCGATATGGCATTCCACCAGCAGAGCCCGAGGACACCGTGCCAATGGCTTCCACCAAGACTTGAAACAACACCAGGCAGCAGCCTGTTGCCTGCTGTTGTTGCATGCCAACCAGGACAAGTCCACAGGCTATGCAGTTAGGGTAAACCTGCTTCGGCCTGCAATAACTAGGTCACTGTCGCCTTCCCACCTTCTTTAGTATTTTGAAGCGGCCAAGCATCAGCGAGCCCAGCAGCTTCTTCACTGTCAGCTCGTCAAGACGCAAGTCTTCCACCAGCTGCTGCACCGATAGGGCAGGATCATCTGCGCAGCCACCATTGATACCATTATTACCGTCATCTTGCTTCCTGTTGAATCTTAGCAGAAGGGTCGCTTGCATTGTATTACAGATAAGATCTTGCCGCTTTTGAAGCTGCGCAGCGACGAGGGCAGTCCCTACAAGCAAAAACACCGATCTACGAGCGTTCGTGAGCAGGCACAGACTTATCGGCGGTGAACTGCGCCCTGGTTGCGCGTGCTCCATAATTAGGGGCAAAATGATTTGGCATATGGGTCATGGGCATTCCGTTCGTGCACAATTGACCCACCTAAAGAATTCACCCATGTTAGCTTCCGGTGCTGGGTTTGCGACGCGTAAAATTGCTCAAAGGCCCCCACACATTGAGCCAATTCTGGAGGAAGCCGCAACTCAGGCGCTGCAAACAATAGACACAAACCACAGGGAAAGTCGTGCTCACTCTCAAAGTATAATATTCACTGTGCTTGAGATGCGCCATATCTGCGCTAACTACAGGGCCCTGTATTCGCTTGCCTGGATATGTTGGCCAATGTGCAGTGCTTAGAGCTTGCACGCAGAACTCTACATCGCCAATCATTACCGTTTCCACAGAGGTTGATGGAACAGATGCATCCTTAAGGCGGGATGCAGACTCATCCAGGCTTTGATCGCGATGGCCTGCTTGTTTCGTCAGTTGGTCTTCTTGTTGCTGCTGCTGGAAGGCACGCATAAGACCGGCAGCAACTTGCAAGTCGTTCACCATCCCCTCTACTTTTGCTGTAAAGTGCGCCCCGCACTTGAGGCGTAGTTTTGCTATCAGTAGCCGCTCCAATTCAAGTGATGCTGATGTCTCGTGCAACAGCCGGCGGCCCAACTGCGTTCTGCGAAAAGATGGGACACGCGCAACGTGGGCTCTAAGTCGAGTACATCCCATACTTAACACATGAGACTCTTGCCTCAGTGCAAAAAATGTTCGTACTGCACCCGACAGAAAAACTTCATAAAAGTTGCCACACAATGCCCACCTGTACTGCTCAGCGAAAAGGTCTTTGTCGGTCACGTAGTTGAATATTTCCACTACCTTCATAAGACATTCTTCAATTTCCTCGTCACCCATTCGCTCGCCTGGCAGAAGGAGAGCAAAGTCTTGAAACAAAGAAGTGCACAATCCATGGAAGATGCAGAACAGCAATGGAATGAACAACCCATAGACCGATATATATGATGCTTCCCAAAACTCAACGGCCTCAGACGAGCAGGCGACAAGGACAGAAGTAGTCGCGAGAAGCAGTTTGTACCCTGAATTACTTTTAAGCGGCGAGATTGCTCGCCGATAACATGCCACATACGCAATATACAAGATGCCGTACCTCCTGCCTTTCTCAAGATACGATCGCAGAAAGAAGCCAGCAACTGCGCAAAAGGCGGTTGCAGGGACTGCGCGTTGACAAAGCTCTCGAATGCTGAAACAGTGAGGGAAAACGCAATGTAACCTCCAGGAGAATGCATACATGGCAAGTGCGCATGATGGTGTGGCATCTTGCCTTGAGCAGAAAAGGCAGCTATCCCTTTCTGGCATGACTGGCTGGTGGTAACACCGTACGGACCTTCTTTCAATGCCTTCTGAAACAAGGAATCGGCCTGAGGTGTAGGTCGTGTTGAAGGCCCAAAAGCATCTTGGGACACCCGCGGCTGGGCGCGGAAGCAGTCCAGGGTAATACTCTTGAACCTGTCATGCAGATCTAGCACGCTCTCCACAAATCGGTGCTCGCATATGATGTCCTGTTGCCTTTGTTGCTGTTGTGACATCGCGGTGTTGCTGTTGCTGCTATTCGAACCTTGAGCCCTCATCTGCTGTGCCTCTCGCATTGCGGCAATCCTTTGCTGCACCAGCTAAGAAAAACAGAAGGCAGCAAACTGCAGCAATTTGTGATGACGTTGAGCAAACATAGCAGCACCTAAAATGCTTGAACGGGGACACCTAGATCGGCTCTCCAGCATGCCTGTTAAACGACGAGATCTTGCTTCCCACCTTTTCTCCACATGCTGAGATGTACATCTTAAACTGCTTCGCCAAATCCTCAACCGCTCCATCCACGAGGGCAAAAAGCCTATGCGCCAGCCGTAGTTCAGCTCGCCCCTCCCCAGCAAGCAAGAAAGGTATAGCAGTGTCCTTCTCCAGGAGTTCCTGTTGGTGTTGCTGCAGCGTGCTCTTGACAACGACTCCTAGCAGCTTGCTACTGCTGCTGCTATGAAGATACCTCTCGCATCTGCGCGCTTCAGCTTCAAGCGCGGCCTGCAATTCGAAAATCAGAGATGCATGCATTCGTAAGGGCCAACAATCAAATTCATTCGCCAGTGTGGATCGAATACTACGCAAGCCAGGATAGGCGCATGTCAAGGCAAATGAACCGGTGTTTAGCGGCCGGAGTAGTTTGCAAACGCGCATCCAAAATGCTCACCTCTGTAAGTTGCAGGTACTCGGCAAAGGTGCTGCTCGCAATCCACTCTCTGGCCTTGCGATCGTAAAACTGCTTGGTGGATGCTAGGAGCAAATCCTCCAACTCACGCTGATAGAGACCTAAGCCCTCATCTTCAGGGTCAAGTCCAATATACATGCATACCAGCTGGGCGACACTCTCTTCATCAAGGGACTCTCCTGCAGCCAATACATAGAACACATTGTGCTTCCTTTTTTATCGACCGAAAAACTTGGGGAGGAAATCCAAAATATGTTCTGCTGCTGCCATCATGACTTGCGCTACTGGAAAGGGCGGATTCATCCGTAGCAACGACTGTACCTTCCCGCTGACGCCGGATCGCCTCGTCGATAGCGGCAGACACAGGTTGCTTCACTCGTTCGAAGACCTGCAAAGGCCCCGCATGCTTCCAAACAGCCGCAAAGTGGACAGCTGACAAAAACACACTGGACATTTTAGGACAAAGCAGGACAACATTTATGAGGTTGGCCCAGCCTCAGCCTACATGGTCTTTGAAAATCGCAATTCCTCTCTTCACAAGGGGTGCCTCCATGTACATCTTGACATAGTAGCGGTCCAAGTACGCAAAGAATTTCTGTAGCCACTTCACCAGGGTGCGATGGTTCTCCCATCGACAGAGCAACTCTTCTAGGAGATCGGAGCCCCTCCGATTTTCCAGCGATGGAAGGACCTGAACAAAGGGGAAACGAGAACAGCAGCATGCATGCTTCCGTAATTCGTAATGTCCTTTCATTGTGTACGCCAAACCAATGAGTACTCAGCGCAGCGAAGGGTCAGGATAAGCTGCGACTGCTGGGAAAATAAACAATGAAGGCGCAAGCCACGAATTATGTCGTTGTCATCTGTGAGGTATGCTTGGAAGCTGAGCTCTTACAGTAGAGTGGACGTAACGAACAATTGAGTCTCCATAGAGCTGGTACAGGTCTTGTGAGAAATTGTATGGGGAACGCTGTGTGCACATCGTGTAGACCATCCTGTATCAATCGCTCCGCCAAATCGCACAGCCAGGCGGAGGCGGAGTAGCATGTGAGGTCCGTGGCAAGTGGTGTACTGCATACGAGATCACTTGGTAATGGGTGTTCGGAAGTGCCAGTCTATCGGAGCATGAGAGACTAATCGGCCTGTGTACACTGCGGCGCGTAAGCGCCCCAGAAAGGCGGTTGCCACCCTACGTGTAAATTGCGGCATAGTCCTCGTTGGACACCACGCAGACGCGCTTTGTTGTATGTCCTCGCTCGGGCCGCTGCTCCAAGAACCGTTGAACCTTCTCAATCCCCTGGAGACGCAGTTTGGTCCAACCCTCTTCTAAGGTCACCAGTTCTCCGTGGCCGTCCATCCTTGCTACTCGGGAACCCGCAGTGCGTCACACTTCCTTCGAACTGCTGATACAAATACTCACAACACAATTACGCTCCCTGGCGTAGTCGTGAGCCCCGCCTCCAAGGTAACAAAGGGACAGCACGAACTGCAATGCCACGTCTGCGTGCGGAAGGCCCCAATGGAAGCAAGTCCCTGTTTATGGCAGCCATGAGCAAAGTATTGACGGCCTCAGGGGAAATCCGTCACTTTCCCAAATGTCTCTGCTCCCATATATCGTCTGCAGTGACAATTGTCACCCCTATTGTAGTGCACAGGCACTACAATGTGGCTCTGGTGTGATCTCAAGTAGCTCAGTGACCATAAATGGAAGGAATATGACATTAGCAACTAAGAAAGGGAATTAATACTGCTAGATGTTCTAAGAATCGAGTACTGTAGATGGAGCCATAGGTTAGTAGGATTACCCCCGCCGGCAGCCACTATCGGCAGTGTGGCGTACAACCTAGTCACTACTTGAGTACCAGGTAAGCTCCTTTAGAGATCTGACTGGATATGAAATAGAATTATTACTATATAGGTGTATTATATCTATAATTACGACTTTGGTAGAGTGCGAGGTCCGGCTCCTGACCGTCCCACCACCGTTGATATCCCCCCGTCATCCTGTAGGTTGGGCACCCAGACATCACCGGGGTGATTTCGGAACACAGTTCTTTTATTCTATGAACCTGCCTTGTTAATAACAGGGACTCTAAAATGATTTGGTACTTGCAGCATAGACCTCTGGGGATGTTGGTAGTTAGAGGTTGTACTTAGGAAGCCCGGAACTACGAGATGAAATAAGTAGGCACAGCCTACGACGGCTGCGCACTACATTTGGGGGCTGTTCCGTTCCAACCCCGTGACCTCTTCTCTATAGTGGAATGCATAACAAGAATCAGCCGCAGCACAACCGAAGAGCCACGGCAGAAGTTTACCACAACGATAGTATCTGCGGACCACCGGCTGAACAGAAGGCAGCAGAGGCGGCGTGAGCCAGCCAGCGAGCTAGCGAAATTGACCGTCAAGAAGGCAACGGCGGGGAATCCGTTAGTACAGAGTACGCGGGTGCAGAGGCCCGACGTAAGTTATGCATATGAGTATATAGGGGTTCTGTGCGGAGGGGTGCCAGAACTTCATGCCATTCCAGTTTCCCCGAGGTGGGGAAAGACGCTGAAGCGTGCGAGCAGATCCGCACAGGCAGAGGCTGTTGACTATGAGCAGGCCCCACAGAGGATAGGGGTGCAGCCTGATGTAGAGTCCATTAGGGACGAAGTCGAGGGGATGCAGCAAGCAGAACAGGAGTTCTGCGAAAGGGGCACAGAAGGGGCGGGAGAACCCGCTAACGCGACTGACGAGGGTGTAATGACGCCATAGTGGCGAAAGGCTGGTGAGGCCGCAGAGTTTCATAGGCGTGGAGTATGGTGCGGTGTGGGCACTACCGCATTGCTTAGGTTAGATGTGGTTGGGAGTCAATGCGAGGCGTTCGTGGACTCGGAGAAATCTAGGAGTTTCATTAGTCAGGAAAAAGTTGATCGTGTACAACTGAAGGCGCGCCAACCTTCAGAAGAGTGATGTTTATGGAGATCACTGGCGAGCAGATTCGCAGTGATCGGGTTGTCATGAGATCGACGACATGGAGTGGACGTGAGCATTCCACGGGAGAATTCTTGAAGGGGCTTGCACCCTGTGAAGTTGTATTCAGCCTTGTTTTTTACGTTGCGTACGCCCCTCTCCGCACTACACCTATGCCGTCGTGGTGCTCCCTGGGATTCCTCGGCGCCTGCCGTGCTGGCAGGAGGAAACGTAACAACAGTTCCAATATACGCGGCGCTTTCGTGGCAAAAGCAGCCAATGTAGCGCTGAATTGTAGGAAAGTTGCTCGCTGAAGCCTCCGCGTGCTCTCCAGCAGACTACCAGGCCCAACAGCGACGGCGCAGGTACACTTGTGCCCGAACAGTTCTGTACTACTTTAGCAACAACCAGAGTATTAATGCATAGCCCCATACACAATAGAAAATCACGCTTATCTTCTCCGAAAATTTGAAAACTCGGCTTCGGAGCTGTGAACTTCTACCCCGAAAAATGAGTTTAAAAGTGGGTGCGAGGGAACACCAACCCCTACGGCACGCCCAGAGATGGAGCCAACCGTCTTCACGAGTCCGGAAATTTCCTTGTTGCTACAGAGTGTGCTACTGCCTGTTTCTTATTTGTCTACCAGTGTATCATGCAGCTTAAGATGTGTGTGCACGACAACGACCCCTCCTTCTGTCCTCTGTTTCCTCGTGGCGTTTTCTGCTATGTGAAAACCACATGTTTGGTACCTGTATCTGAACCAATCAGTGCTAAATTAGCGTTGGATGTCCCACACTCCGCGTTCGATGATCCCACGTTTTTGTGTAGGCACTTCTCTGTTCTCTTGTGCAATACAACCGATGAACCCACATACTAATGCCACTACAATGACACACGGTATCCACTGTGTTCATTATGTTCCTTGATGCCCTTATATTTCGCTCATTTGTTTAGACGAGCCGCTTCAAATAAATTCTCCTTGTAATCGTCGCATGCAATAGCATCATCAGCTACTGCTATAAGCTTGCGCTTATTGTCTCTGAAAAGGATGTCAGGCCTTAATACGGTATCCATGTATGTCGGACCGCTGTCAGCCTGTCGAGTTGTACCCTTACTCACCGCACTGTTCTCGATTGCTGCTGTGATTCTCTCCATAACCTTGTCATGTCTGAGTTTTGTTTGTTGCTGTCAAGGCCGTGTGCACAGACAGTGACGAAGCGCATGCGCAAGGGTTTCACGGTCACCTATGCAGTGCCGGCAGCATGATACCTTTGAGGCTTTGATCCTTCTTAGGGATACTCGCGTAGGAAGTTGCGCAGAGCGTGCTCTCAAGCTTCTGCATCAGACGAGTCGGACCGCTCAGTAAATTGTTGCTAGTTGCTGTCTTGTAGGCCGCCGACTTTCCTTGGTCTATCTTCTTCTTCAGCACATCGCGCTGCCACCCTGCCATGTACTTGTTGATACTTTTGACGATATTCTGATTGTCTATGTCGGGTCCATCTGCTTTCGTTACCAGATAATTACCATTACTCCCAGTCTCGATTCTCGTTTTGCACGTCGTTATGCTTCTTGGGAGCGCCAAATGTAAGCTAATATGCACCTTCTTGTTTCGCTCCTTGAGACATCCAAGATATTGGTTGTTAACGTAGGCAAGAATTTTTTCGCGGTTGCTAGTTTCTCTATCGGGTGTGTGCATGAACACCCGCTGGGTGGCCTCCAGAAAATGCCCTTGTGCACCGGCTTGAACCATGCTGTCCTTCCTGTTGCGTATCTGGATGGCATGTCCTATATGCGTTGCTGTTGCGATCGTCTGCAATGAGGTACATCTCAGCGCTCCATTTGAGGTGGGCTAGTGGAACACCTCTGATGCCGTACCCTTCGACACCATGAGGGTACCCTTCAGAGCGGCACGGATACGACAACCGAAGGAGACCAGATGCTGTTTGTATGGGTTGCAGTGTCTGAGATTGTAGTCAAACCGAGATATCACACAAATGAGCACCACACTCAACTTCTGCCAAGGGAGTAATGCAGTCCTGAACATCTTGGTAATGTCCTTCTTAGCCTTGCTCATGACGCGAAGGGTTTTTCCCTGATGCACTGAGATCTCTAGGGAGTCCTTGATTCCAACGTACTTGTACGCCTCCTCGAGCTTCACCGCCGGCGAGGCCTCATTATACAGCTTGAGTTCTCCTCGATCTGGTTGCAGCCTGGTCTTACACACCTTCAATCCCTTTCTAGCTCACTTGGACGGACTGGCCTCTAGACCTCTCCATTGAAAGAAGCCCTTCGCCCCCTGATGAAGGACGTTGATGGCCGCACAGCTATTGACGACAGTATTCAAGTCATCTGCATACGCCATATGAGATACCTTCACTGAAGGTTTCCTTGTGTTGTATGTAGTTCAAGGCTATCATTGGATGCTGCCAGCCTTTGCAACAGTGGCTCAATGGCTAGATTGACAGGTTCGGTATAGGAGGAAAGCCTTTTGGGGGTCCCCTCTTATTCAGTATTCTGCCTGAGCACCCTTCCTTCTTCGAGATACAGAAACTCGCTCCTTGGCAGAGATTTCTGGTGGTTTCCTGGGCGTGCTTTGGAAGGCATTGAGCCTGCAGAACAGTGTGTATGAGCTTGTGGCGAATTGACCCAAAGGCGTTCTTCAAGTCGTAGTAGGCCATGGAATGTGACTTCTTGCTACTGCGGGTTGAGAGCAAGAAAGAGATGCTCTTGGCACCCATTCACTGGCATGAAACCTTTATGCTACCTGGAGGCGACTCTTGACTTCATTGCCCAGTCGGTGATCCTGTTGGCCCACAGTGCTGCGTAGAGTTTGTAGATGCAGTCCCGTAGACTGATGGGTCGCCAGATCTTTACAGCGTTCGGATCTCCTCCCTTAGGTACCAACACAATCGCGCTCTCACCCGCCCTTGCTGACACTATTCGATGTTGGGAGCAAGCTGTAGATCGCAGGCATCGCTGGAACAAGCACTTCTTCGAACCGCTTGCACACCTATAACCCTATCCCATCTGGCCCTGCTGCAGATATAAGGTTGCCGTTTAGCAGCTGAGCACGCACATCCTCTTCGGTGAAGTGTGGATCATCCCCTTGAGCTCCTTAAAGAGCTGCAGGCAACGGCTCTAGGAATTCGTGAGCAACTTTAGAAGTATTGTCAATTGTATGCTCTGTGTGCTGGTTTTTGTAGTTTCCAACTCCCTGGTTTGGATAGGACAGTCTTGTCCTTTCGATTGATCTTCAGCGACAAGCCATTTCTCCACACACTTCTGTCTATCTGTTTTATCTACTGCTTGGAGGTTGTTGGCCGAATCTTCTTGGAGAATATTGATGTGGCGAAGACGGTTCTTCTCCACAGCCCGCTTCAGTACAAATCCTCGGACAATTCAGAGGCCTGAAGGAACACTAAGGGTGGATTTGGAGCCTTTATATCGATAGATCCCACCATGGTTAACCCAACTAGAGGCAGCCCTGAGCTGGCTACTCTTTGGAGCAAGACCTTCGGGATAAGGGGGTGATAGCTGCCAAGATGAAGAAGTGCTTGGAGCCGGGAAGGAAGGGGGAAAGGCAATTTAACCGTATTAGCTGGAATGAAAAAGGTTTGGGAAGCTACATATGTACGGAGCCTTTGGCTGTTTAAGCAGTAGAGGCACTCACATCGCCAACTCATAGCAGAGCGGGAGCACAGTGCGCAGCATCGGACGTGCTCAACACCTTGAAAGCCAAGACTAAGGTTATGCTTAGTGGTTCAGAGCAATGAAAAGAGGGAATGTTCCTTTTGCAGTATCTATGGATGTACGCTTCGAAATTGCATGCACTCGACGGGATCTGGATATTAACAGCTTTGAGCAGCGTTGCCTGTGAAGCAAACGAAGCCAATGGGGAGTAGGCATGGTACCCGCAATACTTGGGGCGCAGATATGGGGCCAACAGTATTGACAGCCGCACCTGCAGATCCGCCACGAGCCAACTGTGCGCATGTGCACGCTGTCAGAAGCAGCTAGTGCTATTCGGTAAAGAGTATACAGTGGGTCTAAGACATGCAGAGACGTTAGAAATGTGCAGTCTACCAATCTCCTCATTGGGCTAGTCTCTACGATAACGCGTCGCCGGTGGCAGGCGAGGTACGAGGATTACTAAACATATGAACATTGCACGCGGGCTCCATTAATTGAAGACCCATTACCATGAGCCTCATTACCATGAGGCTCTAATTCTACTTTGGGCTAGTTTTCGCCATGGAGTCCAATGAAGGCAATGGATGACTCTGGTGGGTGTGCATGCTGCCGCCAGGAGACATTACTGTGTTTTAAGGATACTCTACGCGCTAAAAGCTAGGCGAACGTTTGCTTGTCGTACAAACACCGCTCTTCACGAAAAACAACAAGGATAGCCAGCTGCTGTCAACGATATAAACGGGTTTTGCACGTTTTGCGATGCAAGAACTCGGAAACAGTTTCCCAAGAGAGGAAGATCTTGAGGATTACGACGAAGTGCAGAGCTGCTGCCAACAACGACCGACAAATGCTTGCAGTCCAAAAGCTAGCCTCTTATGGTTCTTTGCCTTTACATACTTTTACAGCAAGGGTTTAATCATGCCCAACGGTGATTAAAGGGACGGTCAGAACTTCGTCAGTCTACCGTGAGGCATGATGCCGTGATTCGCTCCCATTGCCTCCTCTACCGCGTCTAATCAGTAGTGTCTTGGGAGTGCGGGTACTGGAGACTGTGTCAGTTATCTGATAAGGCTTCTGGCGACAAAGCGGCTGGCCTCCTGAATCACTGGCAAAAGATCCCTTTGAATAACACCTCAAGGGTTGCACGGAGCCCCTATATTTGAGGGAAAAGGTGTGCCAAAGGTGGTTGTGTGCTTGCTCGGTTCTGAAAGGCATGGAAAGGGTGCTGAGTGGCAATCGGATAATAGTTCATAATGAATCCATCTGCCACTGCCTTGACCGCGCAATATGTGCAACCACACGCATGCATGCGGCGTTGGCATGTCAGGACTGGCACGCCTTAGTGAGGATGAGTACAGGACAGAAGTTGGGCCAACACGCATTGGTCGCTGACAACAGTTCTCGCAGTGTTGAATGGTATCATGGGATCAATACGGGTAAATGGGCAATGAGCAAAGACTAACGAGCCTGGCGTGTGAAGTAATGGACGCAGGGCCGCAGTGCAGCGCCATGGCCCGAAGAGGCTAGTAGCTTGTAGAGGAAATGCAATAAGCATCTTGGGTGCTGCTTCATAGTTGTTTTCCAGTGGAAACTTTAGAAGAGATGTTGAAACCAAGCGCACGCCGAATTCCAGTTAGATTACATGTGCATGTTGGAAGGGTGCACAGACTGACGGTAGCTGCTATCCATGGGCCAGGTACGAATATCCAGCCCAAAGGCCTAAATGTGGCCTTTAGAAACAGTCGCAGAGGTGACAACGCTCAAGTTGTCCACCTGCTGTAATTTCATCTGCTCTATTCTCTGGGATACAGGTAGTGTCGTCGATGCCGGGAGTAGTCCTTCTTCCTCTTTTTGGTGCCTCAAGAACGATGCCATTGCACTGTCTTTGGTGCAACGACTCCAGTTGTTTTTCACGGGAATAGGCCCGTTTTCCCTTTTAGAATTAAGGGCAGCCTGCCACAGCACGAAACGGCCAAACGAAGTCCCACTGTATTCTACTTCTTGTTTAGTTAGACACCGTGCCTACCGCACGGTTGTGTGGGGGTGCCGCAGAATCTCACCAACAGTAGATATGCATATGGAGTTTTTACCGTGCACTGATATCCTTCATATAAATTTACCTGCGCCATTTGCTTCAGCGAGGCGGTGAAACTGCATGACATCTTCTTATTCGCAATCCTTACTCTACAGAATTTAAAGTCAAGGGCCAAGTCATAGTTGTTGCCAACTGCAACCAAAAAAACGCGCATACTACTGGCTGATTTCTAGAATATTCAACTAAAAACTCTGCATGAATTAAATTAACTGAAAGCTAAGACAGAGCCTGGTACAGTATCTGCTCCCCTTCGTAGCTAGCAGTGCCAAAGCGCCTAGCTGCATGCTCTTCTCAGATGACATATCATCGTACGAGAATGGCGATGAAAAGCCACCACAAAGAATGGTTTTGCTTTTTTGCGTACTTAACTGGGGAATGGCAGAGAAGAATGCGCGCAATGCCGATGCCACCACGGCCGTCTCTAAATAGCATGCCGCTCCAATGGGAACTGGATTCAAGAACCTTTCAAAACACTCAGTACCGGCAGTAATACAGATACGCAGGTAGTACGCCGACGCATTCATTAACTTTTGGGATTTGTAACTGTATATGCATGTATTTGAATATGAGTAGTACTCTGCTTAAATGTATTGTCCTTTTAACGAACTACACAGTTTGTCAAGCGGGTAGATACGATTCAGAATCTAGACGAATTGGCTTGCCAAACATTGCAGCTTTCCACCCTCATTCTATAGGTCTCACTTCATGTTCTTTGTCTGAAAAATAGAGCCTTTGTTGTGATTTTTCTCCAGCATATTGGTAGTCGGCTGTCTGTGTACCTCTGCCGCAAGCTCAGCAGCCATTACGAAACGAGGCTCCACAGTTTCTGCTTCCTTTCCAACGTGGTTTAGCTCAGGTATGGATGGTGGTAGTTGATGCACAGCTCTCTCAAAAGTAAAGGAGCCTGAATGGCAAGTTCAGCACTACTCTTCCAGCCAGTCGCTAGATGAGGACTTCAGACTCCGTACCACACATGTATTCCCTAAGTATTTAGGTGAATGATGTGTAACGCAGTTGAGAACCACTAGGTTGTTGCTTCTTGCTCCAGTGATCACGTCTTCACGGTGTTTGTGAGATTTTTTACTAGGCGGCAGTTGCCACTAGAAATGAAAACTTACCGAAACCTTTTGCAGTTACTCCGTTGCCTTGCTGGAGCTGTTCTTTGATCCAGTCGCACATGCAATCCCAGACCAGCAGCAGCTGACTCCTTGGATCAAGAGGCAGCAAGTCCGGGTCAGTGCGTTCTGCTCGCAAGTATATACCTCCGACAGACCTTCCCTAGTTTCTCGTGGCGATTAAGTGGTATATCTTAACAGAATATTCAAAAGACAGTATCAGTATTTACATCTCGAGCAGGCGGTGACGATGACGCATCGTACCTTGGGTAAAATTGTGGGGACCAGGATAAGAACTAGGGACATCCAGAATATGCTCCGCAACACCGGTAACTGTATCGCATTCACTAGTGTTGCTTGTTATTAAACCGAGAACCATGCTAATTTGATGTTGCAATAGTCTTTCTGTAATATGCCTTCTATACATACATATATGTAGGTAGATACTTACTCAGAACTGGCGCCATGATCAGGTTTAAGTACCAGCGGAAAGCAAGAGTAATGCGCAAAGATCCTCCCTCCGAATTGTTGTTGAGTGATTTTCAAAGTGTTTGCAGGAACCATATGTTGAAATTTCACAGCAGTTGTCTTTCGATCCCTAGGAGATGCCCGTGAAACTGTTAGCACGCTCTCTTATCATAAATCACCAGGCTATTCCCTGTTGGTATCAGGAGTCTGCAGAACACGTAAGCAAGTATGGGAGTGTTTTTGCTCCTCTTGCAATGCTTTTTGGCACGATCCCCCTTAGCTTGGTGAGGCGATTGCTCAATAATCACGTTTGCGATGATGTCATATAGCGACTTCCTTTCAAGACAACGCAAAAAAGGGTTAAAAAGGCCTGCACAATTTTCATCAAAACATTCAATATTTTCCAGCGCTCAGACGCATCATGCTGGCATCTACTCAAACTACACAGTCTTTGCCCGGGTGGAGTCGATAAGAACACCATTTTGTACGGGCAATCATGCTGCTCTGAACCGTACCGAAGGTGCCCGTGAATTCATATTATGCATGCAAGAGGACTATTGTGTGTTGCTACAGCGAAACACATTTACTTCGAGGACAAATAAAATACTTAATTTAACACTGACCAGCGAAAATCGGGAACTCTTACTATCACTGGTGAGACGGAGCCTTGTTCTCCACTGGGTACACACCAGTAGCGGGTCAACCCATAATTGTTCGCAACGGTGAGCATCCTACTCCTCCAGTAGCAGTACATAAATATATGTTCTTGCAACATAAAAGTTCGGAGCAAAGAATACTTACTGGCCGCATGGAAGGCACATGCCTTTTATGCTTCAGTGGCCGTTGATTGCATGCATCTGGCTTCTAGCCCCATAGCCAGTGCATGCATCTGGCGGGCAGCCCCATGTTTCATACAAGAAGACGGTAAACGATCCGACTTAAAGGAAAAGGAAAATCCTTAAAACGAGCCCATGCAAGTGGCACATTTTTTCCGTTGCTTGTGAGCAAGGTCTAGGCGTTACCCTGCAAGCCGTAGACACCTGGTTTCTTGTATTGATGGGGGACAGGACGTCCTTCGTGGTAACTTCGTGGGCGCTGTTGTTTCTTCAGCAGCTCAACGTGCCTTAGAAACTTCAGCTTCAACCGAAGCTGCGTATTCCCCAAAAGGTCACCACGTCGGATGCTGGCTTTCCCAGGACACCTTCATGAAGGCACTCTGCAGGGCCTTGACCAGTTTAGAAGAAGGGTCTTGCAGAGTTGCAGTCTTGTTGAAAGGCCAGACTATTGTGCATTGAAGAGGCGCTTTCCAGAAGATGTTCGCCAACGCGTTACAGTCGGGATTCATATCCATTCTGTATAGCATCGGGTCCTTCTAGGCAATTCCACTATGCAGATGTCTCCACAACATTTCTTCATTATCGGAAGTAGAGTTGAATGAATTAGTCGGAATAAGTAGCTAGCATGAGAAGTAAATATTGCAGTAATTTTAGAAGTACACCCAAACGAAGAATTGGCAGTGATAATTCGGTTCAACCGAGTAAAGACGCTGTCATCAAGGCCCTGCGTTTTCGAGAGCTGCTGCAACTTTAAGAAATAAAAGTCAGCAGTTTTAGTGGGGTTTATTCTACTTGCGAACTTTGAGAATCCGGAAGGCTACGGATCACACAAGTGGCACGCATCTGTACTAGCTGGAAAGGACCGTCTGCTGTTAAGTGTCAAAGGCAGATGCGCATATGAGCCTTAATTAAAGCAGCTTCTCAAATGCCAACATGTAGTGACCCCTATTTTAACGACTGCTTCTTTTTCAGGTCTCAGCCCCTGCAACTGTGGGACAAAGCTGTCCAAAATGGCCACATTAAGAGGGTGACCGATGAAGAAATTCAGTCTTTCGTAATTGAAATTCTCGGGGCAAATGTGTCAACGACCTATATAACGTGTCCGTTGAACAGGATGTCACTGGGAATCAAGCTGCCTATTCTTGTAATGATTGTCAAAAATGTGAGCCAGTGTTGTTTTAATGGTAGATTTTAGGCCATTCACCTTTGCAACAATTTGGGATAAACTTCCTGTAAATCAATGCAAGCCGGTAGCCTAACAATTGCAATGAAATCCAGCTTGTTTGAGCGGAAGAGATATACTCTGAATCCGACAGTCGGATTGCCTAGCGGAAAATGGCACGTCAGGAGCCTTCTTGTTATCCGTATGGACTCTAAAAACCTACTGTGGCTATGATTTTCTATAGAAAAAATGGCATGGTAGGAGAAGGGCAGCTTCCACTAAAGCAATTACGCTTAATCAGTGACTGACCGTTGGGCGTCTTTATGCCTCAGATGAAAAAATATTTTACGTTTGAAGTACAGGTTCTTGACGATCAAAATGTTCGCAGACGGTTTCGGGCATCAAACTACCAAGTGAGTCTCGGCACCCAAGCATTGAATTTTGAACTCATGTATCACCTGATAGCAGCCAATTGCAATTACCGCAGGAGTCTCAGCTAAGCAACTACGAACAGCCAGGGCATCAACACTCTGGCAATAGTTGAGGCATAGTTCGAACGACGGTAGCTGTGGATTTTTGTGTACAGAGTGCAACAAGGGTTCAGCCCTTTGTGTGTACAATGCCGCTGCGACTAGACGAAGGGTGGAATCAGGTGCAGTTTAACCTGGCAGACTTTACACGTAGGGCATATGGGACAAATTTCGTGGAATGCATCAAGATGCAACTGCATGCCAACTGCCGTGTCCGAAGAATATTCTTCTCTGACAAACTCTACGCCGAAGACGAGCTGCCTCCAGAGTACAAGCTTTTCATTCCAAACGGCAGGCAGTGACCAGCTTGGTGAGCGTCCAATTCATTCCAAACGGCAGACAGTGGTTTGAACGCTCACCAAGGGGTCTACCAGAGGGCAAATCCCTAAAACACGCGCTTCCGTGTCAGGGATATGCATACTTGCCATTTTGATACCTACTTGCAACGACGAAAAAGTTGGCTCTTACTCTCCTGTCAATGAGAGAACCTTACTGCAGAGGCCTCCGAAGGCAGCACTGGCTTTGAACGACAGGCATTATTCAAATAATTTAAAATCTAGTTTGGTGCGTTCGCAGTCCAGTAGGCAGCTCTAAAGTGGACCGCACTATTCTTGACAGCAAGCTGCCAGTAGAGAGTTAGCATCGTTTAGTTGCCACCATTGAGGCGCCAAACGCACGCTGCAACGCCTCGCTACACCCAAGAGAGGCCTTTATTACCATGTAACCGACTAATGCGGAGATGTCGAGCAAGAGTTAAAATAGTTAGCCATGAGCTCCAAAAAGCCTAGGTCGTTGTTCTAGCAAGGGATCTGTTAAGGCTCCGACAAGATTTTCTTGCTTACAGTGGCCTCGATATAAATAAAATTTGTGGACGAACGATTGAATAAGCATTGCCGGAAGCAATCACATTTTCATCGTTATCTGACAATGCAAGCTATGACGGAAGATCTACGGTCGTTTTGAGATAGTGGTTCCTTACTGGGTAAATCAGGGATCCGGAATACCTCAACAATAGTCGCTATAAACTGTCAAAACCAGTACTTATCACCAGGAAATGCGTAGTAAGGTCCCACGTATACTGACCTAAATGCACAGTCGAAAAGGGCTGTCCTTGCGTTCCTCCTACGCTCGTTGCGCTCCCCACGGAGTCGCACAGTTTGGGGGGCTTTGGGGCTGGCAATCACCAGACCACTGGTGACCCTGGCTAGCTGCGTTGCGGAACTTGATTGGTTCTTATCCTGTTCGTTTTCCATAAATGGTCCTCTTTATAATGCTTCAGTGTGCTCCTGTAAAGTTGTTTGCGAAATTCTAGTGCCAAACTCTATACCAGCAGAGTAGCCCCCTACACGTTGTATACACTACGGGCTTTGAGCTTCTTACATAATGGTGGTGAGGAAGATGACCTGCTTTTGCAGTGATTTTACAATGCAAACATGGTTTGCGGTGAGGTCCACCTCCTGGCCCACTATAAGCAGCCCTATCCCGAACCGTGGGGAGTACGATAACAGTAAAAAAGTAGGGAGCAAAAGTACACGAGCTTCGTAACTCCTTTCTCCGCATTCTCCGCAAGGTAGCAGTCTCAAAACGGGAGGGACATTGATGTTGGCGGTACACCCGGCGATGTGACTGAGATAGCGCCTGAGCCGTGGCCTGGTCTCGGCGAGCGCCCCAGCTGGTAACCAGGTGGCTTTTGCCATTGTCTTTGACGGATCCTGGGCGGTAAGAAAATGGCTTTACAGGTAACGGTCCCCTCCGCCGTATATGTGCTGTCTGCAAGTGAGCCTAGCTCTGACGACGGATGGAAACGGCTCATATTGGACAGCCATGGTGGACCTCGAGGAGTGTGCTAGGAAACAGCGTAACCTTGGTGAAAAGCTTTATTGCATCTACCAGGAGCTTTGCCGGTCTGTGCTTATTTACTCACGATAACAACATAAATCAACTTCTAGTGGGGTACTCCGGTACTCTGGGGAGGCCCTCTGACTCCCTGGATAGATTGTAAAGCTTTTCGGAAAAGGTCTTATCTCAGGAGGCACACGGCTCCATCTCATGGAACTCAAAGTCAACTGGGGCTAATTCTTGGTAAATCGGTCGATAGCAGCCGAACAGTATTGGCTGGAATGGTAAAACTGGCACAAACTCCAGCACAAATAGGTGACACCAAAATGCCGGAGACTTTTTCCAAGAATGGCCCTTAGCACAGATAACATACTGGGCCTCATCAGGCTTGCCTGCATCCCCGGGAACCAATAAAGTCGCGGTGCAGAGTCCCCTAGACGATCGACGTGGGGTGCCTTGAGTACGCATTCGAGGACCTGTAGTGGGACGAACGAACAGCCGCATTGTGAGGCCGTTGCGTGCTGGGCATCGGAAATGAGTGGGAATGCTTCGCCTAAGTATCCATCATAGCTATCTCCCACCGACGAGTAAGCCGGGTTTGTAATGTGGTATTCACGGTGAGCACTAAAAAA